GAGATTGACTCTAGACAGATAAATAAGTAAATAAATAAGAAAGAAGAAAAGAAGGAGAAAGCAGGCATAATAGCCGAAAGGTTCAGGCATTACACTGGCCTGCCTTGTTACCCAGCAGAATGCACTCAGGCATCACTCTGGCCAGCCCAGAATTCCATGAGAACCAGTCTACACACAGGTACTTATGGAGGCTGCCATCTTGGCCGTCTCGGCCATGTGGCCTACTTGGTGGCCACCATGTTTACTGCGTGACCTAGCTGTAGGCACGCCCACTCAGTCCAGCCAGCTTCTGCCTACAAAGCCTGCTGACAAATACAATTCACTTACTTTTTGTCTCTTTTGCGCTTTTATTTTTGCCTCTAATTTCATCTTTCATTGGCCCTGTTGCGCATGGCTTGCTTAATACTGTGCCTTTCCAGGGTCCCCTGTTCTATCTGCAGTGGATCTGTCTTCTCGTCACTAACTCTGTCTCTTTAAATATGTATGTGTCTATGTAGCCACTGTTTAAAAAATATAAGGTAACTTTATATACAATTTACAATTTAAATTCAACTATACTAAATATCAAATATTTCTAAATTATTATGTTTAAAGTTATAAAGGTCTATTTCAAATTAACAGAGTATTATATCACACAGTACTTCCTGTAAGCTGTTTACACAGGTAAAACTTCTATTAAAAAAGGGAATTTTTCTCCAGTCACCTATGTGCTTAAGACAAGTCACTAAAGACAGCCCTCAAATGCTCAAATGGTAATACTTTCAGCCAAGTTGCTTCTAACATAAATATGCTGCTAATGTGTCTAATACTTGTGATTTCACAAACTCAAAGGATTCTTGTAAGTTCCAGGGAGGCAAATTGGACCCATCCAAACAGGTAAGATTCATTCTAAATAAATATTATTCAACGTCTCCCTGGTCCCAGGATTCCCTTTCCTTATCTTGGGACATCTTGGGAATCCCTCTCTCTTCTTACAATATTCCCCTAAGAAAAAAAATTTTTTTTCTATCCTTAACCTTGTCCTCTACTCTGCTAACATCCTACCAGGTCTAAGAGGCACCAGAGCATTACAAACAACCAGGACTGCAATGGAGCAACCAGCTACTCCAGACTTGGCAACACCCCAGCTTTCTCAGGTTCCCCCCCAAAATGGTCGATGTCCTCCAGGTCAGCAGGAAGCAGTCTTAAGAACTCAACGTCCTTATTCCTTAACCTGCCATGTCTAACACCCCACCTCTTTTTAATAAAAAATAAAGGTGAGAATAAAAGGTTCAGGCATTACACTGGCTTGCCCTGTTACCTGGCAGAATGCACTCAGGCCAGCCCAGAGTTCCATGAGAACCAGTCTACATGCAGGTGCAAAGGACCCCTTTAAAGGACAGACCCCTGCCCACTTACGCCCTCTGTCTGTCGTCGTCTTCTCTCTCTCATCATCTCTTCTCTCTTACCTCACTCTCTCTCTCATGTCTGTCTTCCCCCTTTTGGTCTCCTTATAATAAACTATGATTAATATGCTCTCCATGGCTTGTGCTCCATCCATCGCGCCAGTCCTGGTTCCCTAATTAACAACAATAGCTCTTAACCGGGTGTTGGTGCCACACGCCTTTAATCCCAGCACTCAGGAGGCAGAGACGGGTGGATCTCTGTGAGTTCGAGGCCAGCCTGGTCTACCGAGCTAGTTCCAGGGCAAGCTCCAAAACAATATAGAGAAACCCTGTCTCGAAAAACAAAACAAACAGGCAGAGGCAGGCAGATCTCTGTGAGTTCGAGATCAGCCTGGACTACCAAGGGAGTTCCAGGACAGTCTCCAAAGCCACAAAGAGACCCTGTCTCGAAAAACCAAACCAAAACAAAAACAAAACAAAGAAAAACAACAACAACAAAAACAAAACAAAAAATAGCTTTTGTCTAATTCCAGCATTCAATGATGCAGGAAGCTTGTCCCAGGTGTTTGGGGTCTTTCTGGGTTATACAATGAGTTCTAAGCTAAATTAGGCTACAAAGGGAAACCCTGTAAAGAACAAGGAAAAAGGAACCAAGGAACAGCAAAAATCACATGTACAAATCCACTCTCTTCCTCTTCGAATGGAGTTTGGAGGGTGGGGATGCTGGTATCTCACAGTGGAAGTCGTTGGTAGGTGCCACTTTCTGGTGGTTTGACATAGTAAACTCCTTCACTCAGACTGCTCGCCTGTTCCACACACTGTAAAGGGCTCTGAAGCAACCCTGAGCAAGACAGAACTCGCCAAAGGCCGTCTGGTGCTTAATCTGATACTGAGTCTGGAGACTCAAAGCTGAGCCTGGAGGAATCCCCTTCTTCCATGAGCCTAGCTCTCCATTAGCGCAGTGAGGAAAGAGCCAACTACACTGTGAAGCGAGCTACAATGAGCAAGGACTCCCAGCTAGACACCCGTGAGGTAGAAAAGCTTGAAAGCAGTCTGATAAGGGCTGCTCCGGTGGCAGAACTGACCCTAAGACTCCGCCCCCAGTCGCAGCCCCACCCCTACTCCACCCATCCCTACCCCACTCCTTCTCCACCCCACCCCACACTGGATTTAGGGGAACGTCTTGAAAGTCTGACAATACAGGCTTAGAAATTTCATCACCGTCCAGCACCGAGATTTTTTTTTTCTCATTAGGAAGCTTATTTGGTCAGTTACACAGATAAAGGGTAGAAATCTGAAATTGGGAAACCAATTAGTAATGGGACTTACTGCAGAGTTGAGTTACGCATAAAGGAACTGGATTTTTAGCTTCAGTAAGAACAAAGATGAGCCGGGCGGTGGTGGCGCACGCCTTTAATCCCAGCACTCGGGAGGCAGAGGCAGGCGGATCTTTGTGCGTTCAAGGCCAGGCTGGACCGATAGCCTCCGAAACAATACAGAGAAACCCTGTCTCGTAAAAAAAACAAACAAACAAAAAAAAACAAAACAAAACAAAGATGAGATGGGAGAAATGTTTGGAAGATGGTCTCTTGAGCACCGAGAGAATATACTGAGTGACCAGGGACAGCCAGGTGAGACAGCTCACGCTTGTAATCCCAGCATTCAGGAGGCTGAGGCAGGAGAATTTCTTTGACCTGGAGATCAGTCTGATGACATATTTCCAGGCTGAACTGCAGTGATATTAAAAAAAAAAAAAAGCCTTCAGGGTTACTACAGACAGAAGCGCCATGAAGAGCAAAGACTGGTACCAGTAATGTAAGCAGCTTCAGGGAAGGTGGGACTCAGGGTTGGCTATCAGGGGCTGGGGATGCAGGGGCAAATGTAACTATGGAGCTTGGTCCTGATGCTGGTAACTTTCTAGACCTCAGATCACTTGACCTCTGTATCTGGTCATTCAAGCACCTTACCTAAAAGCCTACCTCTAATTTCAGTGTTTTCTCTCTTCTGTGATCAGACCCACAGATCAACACCCTTGACCTAAATTCCAGTCCCTTCTCTTTTGCAGGCCACCCTCATTCTGATTTGTATCTTGATATACCTCTCAGTCTTTATCTTGTTCCAGGTCTCTTTCAATCCTAGAGTGGTGAAATCTGGGTGGCCTCAGGCTAGGATCCACCTCAATGGTAGGACACCTGCTTCTCCTTTGCACACTTTGTGTAGAGCCGCAGTAGCTCATGTAGAAACCACAGACTTCCTAAAACAGAAATGTGGTACACATACTTCCCAGTCGTCATCCTGAGACTCCTATTTTGGGTGGTGTTGATGTGTCCTAACCCCTAAGCCAGATGGCCTACAAGGCTGGGTTGATGTTCCTAAGAATCATTTGCTCACCTGTTTGCTCAGTGGGTTTCCTCCAGGACCCAGTGTGCCAGACCTCCAAAACAGCTCCAGGACCAAATGTTGTGCCTGCAAAGGCGTCTCCTGCCTGACTCAAACCTCTTCTTGGCTAGCTTTCACCAGCCTTCTAAAGGCCATAGCAGTGTGTGCCAGGCTTCTCCATTGCTCTGTATTTTAACTGCCTATTTGCTCCCTGGACAGAATTCTGAGTGCTTAGCCGGCATTAACACACACAACAAGCCACACTATGAAAGGCCTTATGCAGGTGCTATTATCCCCATTTTACAAACCAGGAAACTGAGACACAGACTCAGCAACTGGATGGGGTTCAATGAGTTGTCAGGTTTGACTGTTTCTTGCTCATCACTATCCCTGGTATAGGACCTGGCTAATACACTGATGTTAAATAATTCCTGTCAATCTCCTTGAGGTCATCCAGTTCACTCTCTCAATAAACACTAGGTTCCTAGGGCTTCTATAAGAAAGAACAAAATTGAATGTTCTTCATATATCCATTAGTTGATAGATAATTCCTGAACACCTATTATATGTCTAGCTCTGGGCTTAATGCTAGGCAGTGAAGATATCACCTTAGCTCTACAGGAGTTCAGAGTAGGTGAGGTTCAAGTGATCATGAAAAAAAATCAAAGCCTTCAAAAGTTCATTGCATTTCTCTTTGATATTCATAAAGTCATCGTGGATGATCTATCTCATCCTGAAAATAATTCAGGCTTGGAGCCCTGCCAGAAAAGGTTCCTAAGGCTACAGCAAAATCCAGTGCTGCCACCTGCTGGCCACAGAACTGTGTTCCCAGGCCATGTGCCACCTGTATTTGGCTCCAGAATAAGCCAACTCTTATCCCTTTAGAAGTGAGAACCTTTTAACCTTCTCTAACTTATTTGTTCCTCCTGTGTATTGAAATGTGTAAACTACAGCAAAACAGAGTGTTTGTGGCAGGGATAGTGTCAGAGCCCTGTGGTCTCGTGTTCTAGACTGTCCCTTCCCAGGATGCCAGCTTGCCAGGCTCTGTGGCTAACCTTGTGAGACCACAGGGGTCTGTCCTACCTTCTCTCTGTGAAACCTAGTTATATTATCAGGAGAAAAGATGCACAGTCTTGCCTTTATTTCTTGGAAATAAAGATGAATACTATTGTGAATTGAATGTTTTTTTAAACATGTTTACAAACTTGGAGCATGTAAAATATACCCACATCAAAATTACTGTTTCCACTTGAAGCATTTATTTCTGCAGGTTTGAGGTGCTGGTGGGGCATCCCCATGGCTCCGGAAGCTGCACTTAGGCTTTGCAAATTGTATTCTTTCTAATCCTGTCAGTTGAGACTGTCACAGGGATTTGACATTTGCAGTGTTGTGCTACCTCCAAGCCACTGAGCAAACTGAGGTTGATCCCTGGAACCACATACAGGTGGAAGGACAGAACCCACTCCATAACATTTCTTCTGACCCCTGGGTAGGTGCGTGTGTGCGTGCGTGCGTATGTGTGTGTGTTAGCATGCAACACAAGACATCACATTACCTTGCTATCAGTATTTCTCTTACTGAGGCAGGAGAATGGGGCAGACTGAGGGCTGGAAGACTCCTAAAGCCTTCTGAAGGCTGGAAGCACCTCCCAAGTGAGTGAGGCCAACTAAAACCAGCTCCTCTGCCACTACAACAAAAGCCAGTGTCCAAACATGACCCTGCTTATTATGTTACTAACCCTCATCCCAGAGTTAAGATGCTGATGAAAGGCACAACATTGTATGTAGAACTGTGTATCAGCAAGGTATGAGGAAAAAGCCTGAATCTTTTGTGCTGCCCTTGGAGCTACTAAACTTTCTTGCTTTTGCCCAAGTTCCTCCTGGGTGAAGAGCACTATCCCTTAATGAGCTCTGCTTCTGTTGGGACTGCAAGTCTCTGTCAAGCCCTCGTACAGGGATACCTGTGCCCCTCTGATGTCGATATGATTGGATTTTCATGAGCTGAGCACCACAGGTCAAACAAACAGCCTGAGAATGCAAAGGCAGCTGTGTAAAGTTAAAGCTAGTCAGGTGCTGACCCACTAGGAAGGAATCTAGGTGTCTGGTTCAAGGTCTGAACTGGAGGGTCTGGCTATAGAGAAAGGACAATAATAGATCATGGCAAAAAAGGAAAAAAAGTTTCTTACTGCAATCTTTGTTCTTGTTCATGAATTATTAGAAAGGATTGTCCAGGATATTAACTCTCATAAGAAATTTGTTCTTTTGAACATCCTGAAGGGGTACACTGCCTGATACGATTTTATCCCATGACGGAAGACTCAAGACCGTCTGAAGCCAGTGATCTCCCATGAACTCAGAGGCTGAGTACCACCATTCCTGAGAGGAAGAAAAGAGAACAAAAGGCCTAGTCAGGGCTCTTGGCTCGTAGAAGACCGACTAGATTCCCACCAGATTCCAGAAACTGTAATGTGTCCTGAGCATGTTTCTTTTGAGATAGGGTCTTCACTGTGCAGCCTTGGCTGGGCTAACCTTGAACATAGGCTGACTCTCCTGCTCTGTGTACAGAGAGCTGGAATTATAAAGTTGTACTGCCACACATGGCTCTGACTCCTTTGAGCTTTTAAGAACACGGTAATGCACAGGCAAAAATGATTTGTTTTCCTTCCCTTTTTGAGTTTTTGAGACAAGGTTTCTCTTGTGTAACATCCCTGGCTGTCCTGGAACTCACTCTGTAAACCAGGCTGGCCCCAAACTCAGAGATCTGCCTTCCTCTGCCTCCTGAGTGCTGGGGTTAAAGAAGTGCACCACCACAGCCAGGCTTCTTTTTACTTTTGCTTTGTTTCTCCTGTCTCTTTCTTTTGTTTTCCCGAGATGGTTCCCTCCAACCAAAGCTGGCCTTGAATTCTCTGTGTGGCTGAGGATGACCTTGAATTCCTGATCCTCCTGATTCCACCTCCGAAGTATTAAAGGCATGCATTAACATGCACAATTGACAAAAATGATTTTTTTGTTCAAATTAGTAGAACTCCGATGCATCTTCAAATACGCACACATAATTGCACATGTGGTCACTCGTTTCACAGTACCCTTCTGGGTGCTGAGCCTGGGTTTGACCTTTGAAGTATTCCCATGTGGACAGTCATGGAAGCAAAAGGAAAGTGGAAGGAGCCACAGAGATGGGGAGAAACCATGCTAAGGGGGTTTGCATGAGGGAAATGTCTGAAGAATAAGAAGCAGCACCTAACCATGAACTCTGGATACAGACCCTCTTTAGGTAAGGTCTATGATGATTAGTGTAGTTGGAATATGTGTATATTCCCTCACAATCCACATGTTGGAGCCCAACCCCAAGGTGATAGTATTGAAAATCAGGGTCAAGGCATTAAGAAAGGCAAAGACCACTGCTCTAGAGTCTGGTTGAAGTTAAGAATACCTGCTCAATTAACATAGAGACAAGGTTCCTCTCCCATACAAGTATCTTAAATGTGAATACTAAAATAGTAACCATCCATGCTGAAGCCCCACAAGGCACTTCCAATATGGTTTTGTTCCTTCCCTAGCTGCGAAGCTGCAGGTTTCTGGAAACCTCAGAAAAAGATCATAAACGTCATTTGCAGTTAAAAAAAAATCTTAGGTTCCTTGTGCAGTCCTTATGACAGATGGTGTCATACAATCCAATGCAGATATCTCCAGGAACCACCTTTGTACAATGCAATTTCAGGGACCATCAGAATCATGCAATATTTGATTCTCTCTCGAAAAGTTCACATTAATCTGTGTGTGTGCTATCATTGCAAGTACTATTAATGCCCATGCTTAAACCTGTGTTTAAACCTCATCTTAATACACCCAGCTCTACTTTTTTTTTTTTTTTTGGTTTTCGAGACAGGGTTTCTCTGTGGCTTTGGAGGCTGTCCTGGAACTCGCGTGGTAGTCCAGGCTGGTCTCGAACTCACAGAGATCCGCCTGCCTCTGCCTCCCGAGTGCTGGGATTAAAGGTGCGCACCACCAACGCCTGGCCCAGCTCTACTTCTATTTATGAACTTAGCCTCAAATTATTTTCAGCAGCAATGTTAAGAATCCCAGCTTCCACTGAGTGGAGGCCTCTGTTGGGAATTCTTCAGGTGACAGGTGGCAGAGTGGGGTTGTGTCTCTGGCTCCTGCTCCTTCTGCCACTGATGGGGGCGTAGCCAGAGGTACCATCAATGAGGAAATCATCCTCATCAGATATTGAATTCTAGTACCACAGTCTTAGACTTGCCAGTCTGTAAAACTGTGGGCTGTAAACTTCTTGTGAGCCCAAGTGACTGCCCATGCCTCCTAAAACCCAACTGAGAAGTGGGTTCTGTTGCTTCCTCAGAAGGGTGAGCACCCTCACATATATAACCCCAATACACACTGTGGCCTGGCGACTGATGGTCCATACCTTGCTCATGCTCAGCCAGCATTTCTCCAGTAAGTTCCCTTGTGTCTCAGAAAGCTTCAAGGCTGTGTTCAAGAAGAAGTCACAATTGTGACCATTGCCCATTAGTATGCAGACATAAGCCATCAGATGGTAGAGCCTTGGGTAGAAGACGGGGCCAGTGGTATTTTGAGCCACAAGTCTCTCTAAGGTCTAGAGAAGACAAACAACAAATATAACCAGGGACTGGGGATATAGGCCACTCAGATGTGAAGTGCTTGTCAATATGAGTTCAATCCCCAGAACCCACATCTAAAGAGCATGGCAACAGCCAAGGGTGTGGTGGCACAAACCTTTCCCCAGCATTTGAGAGACAGAGTCAAAAGGATCTCTGGAAATTTGAGGTCAGCCTGGTCTACATAATAAGTTTCAGGATGGCTGGGACTACATAGAGAGACCTTGTATCAAATAAGTAAACAGGTAGGTAGGTAGGTAGATAGATAGATAGATAGATAGATAGATAGATAGATAAATGATTGATAGAGAGAGAGAAAGAAAGAAAGAAAGAAAGAAAGAAAGAAAGAAAGAAAGAAAGAAAGAAAGAAAAAAGAAAGCAAACCTGGCATGGTATCACAAGCTTAAAATCCTAGCCTACTATTGAGGTCTACCCCCATAGCTTCCCCAGGAACCACACGTCACTAGAAATACCTCATACTGTACCCGTGGTTTTGCTTGACTCATGGGAATGAGCCAGTGTTTCCTAGGTTTGTGGGAAGGAACTGCAAGTCAGTTCATAAAATATTATAGACTGCCTAATCTGACGTTTGACCTCAGATGTTTGGCATATCCTGCAGATCTGTAGTATCTCTTGGGTGTGATAGTTTAGGAATCAATGTGATCTGAATTCAGTCACATGTAGAGATGTGGGATATCAGCAATTGAGAAGATTATCTGTCCTAAAATGGATCCTGAAGTAACTCATTTCAAGAAATTGGACACTGAAAGGTCTCAGATGGAGAAATTTGTCATGCATATGTCCCTAACTCAGGCTCAGATAACAGAATTTAAATAGTGCCTGAGTAGGTAAACAGCACTCATCAACAGGGAACCTGAGCTCCATACCTGGGGAGCCACGTGGAAGGAAAGAACTGACTTCAAGTTGTTCTCTGGTCTCCACAGGTTCATTGTAGCATGAGCAAGTTCTTCTCTCTCTGCCTCTATCTCTGTCTCTCTGTCTCTCTCTCACACACACACATACACAGAAGCTTAAATAAAATAACTATAGGCTGACTGGACTAAACATCAGTTCCTACACAAAGGGACTGAAATCATGAATTTGGAGGAGGGTGAACTCTATGGACAGTGAAGGAATCACATGAAATCCCTTAAAAACAAACAAACAAAACAGTAATATGCAAAACAATGTAATGGTGGGGAGTCAGTCATTGATAGTCTATTTGATAGCAAATTTCAGCAAATGGAAATATATGTGTAAACATATGCAGGGAAACTTGAGTCATGGTATCATATAGTGTATAAAAAGTACAATCTCTAAATAGAGCAGTTACAATTTGTGAACTTTTTTAATTTAAAATTTTATTACAATTATTGTGTAAGTGTGTGTGAGAGAGAGAATGTGTGTGTGTGTGTGTGCACGTGTGCTACATGTATGTGGAGCTCAAAGAATGACTTTAAGGAGTTGATTCTCTACTTCTACCATGTAGGTCTCATGAATCAAATTCTGGTCATCGGGTTGGGCAGCAAGTATGTTTACCTGCTGAGCCATCTCTCTGCTCCTCCCCCTTTTCTAACTTTTTAGGAGGGTTGTCTTGAAAAAACTTTTAGCATACATATGTGCAAATTCTGTAATGAGAGGACAGTTAGCCAGGAGGCAGATGGGAGTCCACTAGAGGAGGGCAGTTAGCCAGGAGGCAGATGGGAGTCCACTAGAGGAGGGATTTATGCTGGACAACAGCGAGCGGGCCTCACCTTGAGGAGCTCAGCACCACAGTCCTGTACATTCTCCACCTGCTCTTCTATTTGCTTCTGAAGGTGGAGAACTTGCCCTTCCATGTACCTAGAGATTCCTTCATAGTAAAGAACTGTTGGGGTTCTCCGTGTCACCAGAGTTTTAGCTCTATTGGAAAACTTGTAGAAGTTGTCCCATTCCTGAAGTCTGGCATACCTGCACCACCAGGGAACAAATGAGAATCAGTATGGCTTTCTGGGTGGGCTAGTTTCCTGAGCGATCTCTCTGGATGTCAGTTTTCAGTACTTTGGCCCTCTGCCTGCCTCTTGTCTAACACAGCAGAATGGTAGGCGATGGGGATCGGGTAAAGGGTAGCATCATATGATTCCGGAGGAACAGAGCCCTCAAGAGCACACACATAGTGTTGGCCACCATCTGTTATGCTCCTTAGACTCTAGGAAGTGAGACAGATTACACACTTCAGACTTGAAGACACTGCCCTAGTTGCAAAGAGAGGTGGTACTCAGAGTGGCCTGTGGAAGGGCCAGTGTCATCTGCAGATCCCCAGGTCTGACTTGGTTGGTTGGTAATTTGGGAGAGACTGAGATAAGCACAGCTCAGTACCTGTGCTGTCTCCATCCTAAGAACCAGTGAAGCTGACAGGGAACATGGCATTGAGCTTCTCTGTCATAGAACAGAAAGAGGCCTGCCTTGATGGGGAAACCCAAGGTTTCTAGAACCTTCCATTGCAGAGTAATTAGGTCTAATGCTGGAGCATTAGTGTTATTTCCTGAAGATACTATATAGCCCATATTTTCCAACGTCACCACCTCAAAACAACATTTTCCCATCTGTTTAGATCTGGGCAGGTGTATGTGGGCAAGTGGTGCTATTTCTTCATGTGCTCCAACCATAGCACTCCTTAGAAATTGGTAGAATTGTCCTTCAATAGCCCCTCAGTGCCAGGATGCCCCCAGACCACAGATACTCAAGTTCACAGAGGTTCGAAATTCTTACATAAAATGGTGTAGCATTCGAAAACCCCACGCACATCTTCCTGCATCCCCACTCTCAATGTAACCCTGTGCAAACAGTTGTTACACTTATTGTTTAAGGAATAATGACTATGAAGCAGGCTCCACATGTTCAGGGCGGTGTAACTCTTCCCCCATGCATCATAGCTTCTCTTTTAGGTTCATGGAATCCACTGCCACAAAACTCCTGGCCACCCAAGCTGTCTATGCAACAAGCTTTGTATCGCTGTGCCATTGAGACAAGTGAGACAACTGCTTTTCTGTCCTTGGCTGAAGATTCCTAGAGGATCCCTCAGGAGGCTTTCTCCACAAATACTCTCTGGTACCTTTAAGCTGTCTCAGATATAAACTATGAATATGTTTTCTTTATTTTAAAGAATTTCACCGAACTCTTCTTTCACTTCAGAAATGAAACTGTGTCTAACACATCGTTACCAAACAGCTATGCAGGAGTAAAGCCCCAGGAGGAGTCCATTCTGGAACTTGAGGATTCTGTTGTCTTCGTTGTGGTGTATGAAATCCAAGCATTCTTCAAATGTTCTGTAAATGAAACCTGGAAAAGAGAGAAGCAGAGTGATCTTGCAGTGGTAGCATGTCGTAGGGGTGGGGACAGGGTCTTTCTGGTCTTTAGTTCCCCAGTAGAATTTCCCAGTGCAGAGAACATAGGATCTGGTCACTTTAGGTATTCAAAAGGTCCTGTAGGTTGCAGCAATCACATTTCTGCATTGGCCTGTTTCCCAGCTACATTGTGGATTCTTATGGATACATAGCCTGGTTTATAGATGAGACCATACTCAACTACTACAAGAAGTCCTGGCAGTCCAGGATTTGTTTTCCACCCATAGGTCCTTTATTGGCAGCAGCCTGTGTCTTTGCTTTGTGAAGCATGTGTGGAAAACAAACCCCTGATTGGTCTCTTGGCTTAACATGAGGACCACCTACTCAATACTATTTAGAGGTTGTCAGGAAAGAACTTGTTTTTCCAGATTACTGTGATTGCGGATTCCTGGAAATAAGATGTTTGCAGAGGCTGACTGACTGATAGAACTTCAGTGATAAAGAGAAGTTGGTATATTGCAGGTCCAGAGGTTGAATGTAATTTATCCTGGACTATCTTTAGCACCTTGCTCACTTCTGTATTGGACCCAACAATCTGTGACTGACATGTAAAAACCTTTAGAATGTTCTTAGCAGACCACTAGTTTCTACCAACTGAACCCTTAAACCTCACACAACATCTGAGGCCTATAGTTGAGATTTGTCCACTTTCCTGTAATGGGTGTCTCTGATGTACCCACCTATATATTTGAAAAGGATCTTGATTTATGACTTTCCTTGTAATATTATTATAAAAGAGTTCAAGCCCGTATTGGTGGCATATGCCTTTAATCCCAGCACTGGGGGAGGGGGATTGGGCACAGAGGCAGGCAGATCTCTGTGAGTTCAAGGCCAGCGTGGTCTACAGAGCGAGTTCAAGGACAACCTCCAAAACAATACAGAGAAACCCTGTCTTGAAAAACAAAACAAAACAAAAAACAAAAACAAAAACAAAAAACAAAAAGCAAGAGTTCAAGGAACTACTTCATGTTGGAACATGGAATTGTATTCCTGGGCCCTCATCTCTCATACTTGGCTCCAGAATAGACTCTTTCTTATCCTCTTTGAGGCCAGAGCTGTGTTTCTGTGTTGACATTACCAACAACTACTAATGCCTGTAAATGTCGTTCTCAACAGGCCAACCATTGTATGCATGTTAAAGCATTCGCATAGCAACGCATTGTTACTGACAATGTTCATGCTCAAGAATCATGCAACCAAGTTACAAAAGAAGGTCTCATAAAGTTCTAAGTAAATTTACAGTTTTTGTGTTGGGCCATGTGCTGGTTAGTTTTCTGTCAACTTGACATAAGCTAGAGTCATCTAGGAAGACAAAACCTCAATTGAAGAGAGGCTTCTGTCAGTCCTATAAGCCTTGATGTGGGAAGGTCCAGCCCATTGTGGTAGGTGGTCTGAGGTTGTATAAGAAAACAGGCTAAGCAAGCCAGAAGAACAGGCCAGTGAGTAGCACCCCTCCACGGCCTCTGCCTCTAGGTTCCTAACTTGAGTTCCTGCCCTGACTTTCCCTAATAATAGATTGTAACCTCTAAGGTGAAATACATCCCGTCCTCCCCAAGTTGCTATCAATCACAATGTTTTATCACAGCAACAAAGACCAAAAAAGGACAGGCCACACTAATAGCTATGTAGCCTGCTGGCCATGTGTTGGACATGTTTTTCAACATGAAGTCTTAAATAAATCCTGCAAAAATTAAACACTCCTAGTAAAAGGCGCATTATAAAAACAATCCCAGTGACTACACTCATTCAGAAACAGACATGACAGCTCAGACCTACAAGCTTCTTCCAGATTTTATTATCCTTTGTCACTGTTCTCCCCCACTTCACCCCAAGCATGCTACCCCCCAACCTTTTAAGACAGAGTCTCACTATGTAGCCCTGGCTGTCCTGGGATTCACTATGTAGACCAGGCTAGCCATGAACTCTCAGAGATCTGCCTGCCTCTACCTCTCAAGCGTTGTGATTAAAGATGTGCACCATTACACCTGGCATTCACTGTTCCCTGACAATTCTGGTAATTGCTAAATAGCTCCTTGAATCACATCATCAGGCTCTCTCCATTCCTGAACACTAGGTGGCCCCAAAGTCCTGAGAACTGCCTCCTCATTCCAGCATGGGGATCCACCCCTATTTCTTTTAATTCTGAAGCCAGAATAAATTCCATGCTTACCACAATAAAGCATGATGTCCAAACAGACAAAATAGAAAAACGCCTTGCTGAAGATGTGCTCCTCTGTTACAGAAAGGTCCCACAACCATTCTAGTACCTGGACCAAATGTTTGTACCTGTGGAACAGAATGGGTAGTGGGATTAAAAAGCAGTGAGAGCAAAGGATGGAGTTGGGTCCTGGTATAGGTTAGTCTTGGTCATGAACAGTAATTCAGAAACAAATACAATTCTTTTTGTTTGTTTGCTTTTCAAGATGGGGATTTCTCTGCAGCTCTATAGACCAGGCTGGCCTTGAACTCACAGAGATCCATCTGTCTCTGCCTCCTGAGTGCTGGAATTAGAGACTGCCCATCTACAAATACAACATTAAAACAGACTTCAGCTGAGGGGGTGGCACACCCCTTTAATCCTAGTACTTGGGAGAAAGAAGCAGGTGGATCTCTGTGAGTTCAAGGCCAGCCTGGTCTACAGATAGAGTTCCAGACAGCACAGAGAAACCCTGTCTCAAAAAACAACAAACAAATAAACAGAATTAAAACCTTCCCTCTCTCAGAACTAGAACCTAAGTCTCCAACTGGATCCCCCCAAACTGTTCTTTTAGGGTTCCCCATGTCATAGGGTCTGGCATCAGGTCAAATTGGCCAGGCTCTTAAGTCTTTGTTGCTGTTCTTCGGGCATACACAATGCTTTCCTAATTTCCTTGTACCTGGCAGGGATGCAGACCTAATTCCCACAATAGGTGTGATGGATTGCCCGTCTGTCCCTGGTCAGAGCAGCCAGATCAGGGATGAAGAACACAGAACTCCATTAAAAGAATTAACAGGAGCCAGGTGTGGTAGAGCATGCATTTAATTCCAGCACTCAGGAGGCAGAGGCAGGTGGATCTCTATGAGTTCAAGGTCAGTCTGATCTACAAAGTGAGTTCCAGGACAGCCAAGGTTACACAGAGAAACCCTGTCTCAAAAAAACAAAAACAAAAACAAAACAAAACAAAACAAAAAACCCAAAAACAAAAACCCACCCAAAAAAAAATTAACAGGAAAAAAAAGTTTTACTGATTGGTAAAAGATGACAGTTACCAGTTACATTATCTTGCTATAAACCGCAGTTCCTTTCCTATGCTATGGTCAGGGTGAAATAAGCCAGAACCCCCAAACAGCTTCCTGTTCTAGTTAGCTTTAATTGCCACCCCAATAGCCTAGAGTCATCTGGGAGGAAAGCTTCCTGACTAAGGGATTGCCTAGATCATATTGACCTGTGGTAATGTCTGTGGGAGATTGTCTTGATTATTAATTGCTGCTGGAGGGTCCAGCCTACTGGGGAAGGCGCCATCTCTGGTTCTAACAGCTAGCTAATCCTGGACTGGAGAGGGAAAAAGAGTACAAGCCAGCAACAAGCCATGGTTTCTGTTCAGGTTCCTGCCTGAGTTTCTGCCCTGAGTTTCCTCAGTGATAGACCGTGACCTGCAAGTATAAACTGGAATAATTACCACCACCCCCTCTGCTTTTGGGCAGTGTTCTATCACATGACAGGAAGGAAAGGAGACTCCTAACTTTGGAAAATGCTTTAGAACAAATACCTGCTTTTCAAGAAGAGAGATTTACTCAGTCTGCAGAGAACTATATGGTATTTGTTGGGATTCCGGAGAAGTGACCACATCCTATGGGCTCGGGAGCCTGGGAAGAAAGCAATTGTGGTGTATTTGGGGGTTATTACATGTAACTTTATGCCCTTTCTTGATTAGCTAGCATTTACCTAACTCAATGGCCAAGTCCAGATGACCCATTAAGAACTTGATATGGCTCAGTGTGTCAGCCACATAAGCCATGATTTCGATGGCCTCGCCTTTCATGGGGAGGTTCAGGAGCTGCTCCATGACCAGGATTTCATATTTGAACCACAAGCCCTGGTATCCAGCCAAATAGTGGTACAGTGAATAGTCCAGAAAAGCCTTGATGATCTATAAGGGCAGCAACAGAGAGAGGAGGAGGGAGACTGAGGAAGAATTCCAAGGTGAAAGACTCAGTGCCTACTGCTGGACTGCAGCTAGTCAATGCCATGGACTTAGGTGCAGTAATCAAACTAGGTGTCTGCCACCTATTTACTGGGTCTTCCAGGATAGGCTTCATGGTTTCACTTGTATACAGTCTTTAAACAAAATACAAAAAATAGTTTACATATGTGCATAAATGGCTATACAGCACAAAACTAAGCTGGTGCAATCAAGTCTACACAGTAAGTAGCTATGTTAAGGTTGAGGGAGTATTTGAGAGGGAAGAATTATTCTTTCTTATAATTTCTTTTGTAATGCATAAGAAGTGTTCTAATGGTTTGGTTAGTTTAATAAAGTAAGGACTAATTTAAAGCATAATCGGAGTCTTGAGAAGTTGCTTACTCTTTAGTCAACTTTAAAATGAGAAAGTTGCCTGAGACTATAAATGCTTACAGAAAAGCAAAGACAAAAGAATTCCTTCCGAAGAATCAGTTTACACACACACACACACATACACACACACACACACACACACACACACTCATATATACAAACACTCATAAACGCATACATAATACATACAAAATTCATTGTATAAACTGCTTTGAAAAATACAGATGAGACAAAAATACAGACTACTAATAGTTTCTCTAATAGTCCATGTATTTTATGTTGGGGTGTGATTATACAGGGAAGGCTTTTTAGGGCTTTTCCCAGGAGAACTTTTCTTCCTAGAATTCCTCAAATTCTGTCAAAGGCAAGTCTCTACATATTTTTTAAGTCACAACATTCTTCTTTGCAAACTACAAATTCCTGGTGTGAACATGCAAAATGCTACCACAAAGAAAGCATGGCCATACATGGTTGTGGGCAAATGAAAATTCTACAGCAGCAACAGTCTCTGACTCCTCGTATGTGTACCAAGAGAAGAACGTTCGGTTGTTTCATATTGTGGGGCAAACATAAAGCTCAGAGGTTGTGTGGCTTGCCTGTGTGACTTGCTGGTGGTCACACTAAGGATGGCTGTGGTCTGGAAGCCACTCTCTGAGTTCTCATCTTGTCCTTCTATTACCTTAAACTGTCAATGGCTTGATTTCATCTTTTGAAAGCTAACTATCTTTTACATTAGCTTCTTCAGCTCTCACTCTCTGAGTATACTACTGAGTTTTCCAGAAACACCTTAGTAAACATCTAATTATCCAAGCAGGCCTAGTGGCACACACCTGTAATTCCAGAACTCAAGATAATGCAAGCTGGGGGCCATCCTGGGCTATACAGTGAGGCCTGTCTCAAACAAACATGAATCTTCTTCAGACAAAATAAGACACACAAGCCTGGCATGGAGGTGCACACATTTAATCCCAGCATTAGGGAGGCAGAGGTATGTGGGTCTCTGTGAGTTTAAGGCCAGCCTGGTCTACAAAACTAGCTCCAGGACAACCAGGGTTATATGGAGAAACCCTGTCTCAAACAAAGCAAAATAAGACAAAAACTACAGTGAATCTATATAACAAAAAATTAAGATTTTACAAAAGCAATACAATGCCATGCTTCTCATTGTATTTTGCTGCTGTTGTTTTTAATGCAAATGTTATGTTGATATATACTTACTACTGCTGTTTTTAAGAAATTTAAGTTTTTCTCACTTTGTGTCCTATAATATCAATTCCAACCCACAAAAGTAAAAGCTGTTTGACTCTTTAATGATTTCTGACCGTGTAGTTATCTGGAGTCAAAATGTTTGTTAGCTGCTGGCAAAACCACCCAACCAGAGAGGCTTCCATTACAACTATGTGATTTTCAGTTCCCATTGGCTTTGGCTAAAAGGCTTGTTGTTTTCTAAATAAGATTCAGCAATTTCAAGGACAGCTATGAACATACCTGGAAATCATGATGAGTTTCCAGGGAGGCATTCATTTGCATCATTGCTGCCAGTTGACCATAATACTTGTAGCGGAAAAAGAAATCAAAGCTATAGATCTTCCACAGCAAGGAGAAGCAGTAGGCTTGCAGGTAAAGTTGTGCCAGTTTCTTCCTGTCACAAGGATGGCAGATGGACAGAGGAGGTTTTGTCACTGTCGGGTTCATGTGTTCAGGCCCTCCTGCAGTTCTTCCCAGAGCCCTTACCTGAACTGGAGGCCTGACCCATGACTGGAGAGCGTGATCCTTTTTACGAAGTACTTAAGTAGGTTACATTGGATTAACTGTCTGAATCTCACCTTCTGTGTAAAACGGGGTCAGGTCATCCCTTCCCTTCCTGTAGACTCAAATGTGATGAGCGGCATCCAAGTACCTTTAACCAGCTTCACTTAATTATTGATACTTGACAAGAGCAAGTGTTCTTATCTAAACTATATTGTGGGGCAGCGGAGATGACTCAGCTGTTAAGAGTACTTGTTGCTGAGGACACAGGTTTAATTCCTAGCACCTGAATGACAGCTCAAGACCAACCTAAATACAGATGCAGGGGATCTGACACCCTAGTCTGACCCTAGTGGGCACCAGACATACATATGGCACACAGGCATACATGTAGGAAAAATATTCATACAGATAAAAGTAAGTAAATAGAAAAATGGTCTCCATTTTATAAGGAAGAAAACGTGCTTCATAAAAATGAAACAGGTTAGTTCCAAATACCTCAGGTGCTATCCTGCCTCTGTCTCCCAAGTGTCAAGATTACAGGCCTGTGATACCACTTCCATTATTGTTTTCTTTCTAATAGTCATTTAATTTATTTGCTTATTTTGTATGTTTTATAGGTACAAGTGATACCCACACCTATACATATGCATAAGAGTATGCCAGATCCCTCAGAAACGGAGTTACAAGCATTCTTGGGATGCATGGTGCAGTGGTTTGAATGAGAATCTTCTGCACACCTGTGGAATTTGAGTACTTGGTTGGAGGAAGTATGTTGCTGGGGGCCGGTTTAGATGCCATATTGAGTTCACTCTGTTTCCTGATTATGGTTCAAAATATGAGCTCTTAGCTGTTCCTCCCACCACACCTCACGCTTCTGTCATGCTCATCAATACAAGGCTGCTTATATTAAAGGGACCTCACCCAGCCCCTGTTTTAGCAGCCATGATAGGCTGCAGAAATGACATATAGGTCTCTGACTCAGCATATGTCACAAAGGAACTCCAGGGCAGACCAAACCCTCCCCCTTAGCCTCCAGGGTGCTTAGTTCCTGGAAACTGTGTGTACCAGGCCACCTGCAAGAAACAAAACCTCAAAAACCACAGAATGTTCCCAGCAACAACCAACGAGAATAGCTAGCAAAATTACATGCCAAAATATGACTTTAAAAATTTTCCCTAATTGTTCTCAAGTATCAACCAATCAAGAACTAACCCATATCTCTCCCCACCCAATGAACCCTGCAGTTTTTGCCTTCAAATACCCCAGCAATAGACAAGGAACATACTTCCTCTGGTGGCTGCTGAGCCAGCTAACTAGACTAGGTCCCTGCCATGGTTGGATAGAGCAATAAATCTTCCTTTTTTATTGCAGTGTGGTGGGTCTGTGTCCCCAGTGGTCTTTGGGGATCTTCAGGACTTGGGCACAACAAAATGTGTACTGGGGCCCAACCCTGGTCTTTATGATTGTTCAGCAAGCATCTTAACTGCTGAGACATCTTTCAGCCCTTCAATCAGTTTTTATAGTTCATTTATAGACCAAATCTTAGCTACATTTTAAATTAATGACCACCCATCCTTAATATGACCCTTATCAAATTCATAGAAGAGTAAGGAAGTTTGTCCTTTGGCAGATGTCCTCAAGGCCTGCTAGTTTTCTGGGGTAAGAATAATATTTAGTATCTTAGGAATTCATGAAAGGAAGGCTTGTAGCTGAGAGTCTAAGGAACACAGCACTGGTTCTCACATCTGATTCTGAATCCATAGGAGAATCATTGTATGAGTGAGAAGGAGAATTGGTGTTCACTTTGTGTTTTTCCTTTATAAGAGTTGTCATGGTCATGGTGTCTTTTCACAGCAATAGAAACCCTAACTAAGACACTTTGTAAAGGAACCCCATGTTTTATCACCTGGAATTCATTGACAAAAGCTACTTATGAAGTGCTCTGGGAACCCTGGCCCTGGCCAGCAAGCCCTTACCATATCTGCTGCCACTCCATCCTACAAGTGATCAGACAAAACAGGAGTGTTTGAGCTACTGGAGCACCAGGTTGTGAGGACAGACTTATGTTGTACGGAAGCTGTTTTCATCTGAGGAATGAAAAATGAGACCCTCAGCTTTCCCCAGCTCCTTTCCTTACCCTGGCAGCGAATCCTCCTGGGGATGCTGATTCATTAAATGGAAGAGTCTGTTTTTTTCAACATGTGTCTGGAAAAGCAGGCTGATGAAGTTGGAAGGAAACGCTTGGTTGAGAAGTTTCAGTGCCTTCCTCAGCATTTTCTTGGCAAGCACCATCTGCCCCATATTAAAACAGACCTAAGGGAGTTGGGAAGGGAGAGAGGAAAAGCAGTCTCTTTTAGACTTTTAGTTGGTGTGCTATAGACTTAGTCAGTGTGCTATAGACTTAGTCTGTGTGTTCCAACAGTAAATTTGGAGGAATACTTATCTAAAAGCTGAACCCAGGGACAAAACCTCCATGTGCCTTGGCATATTAAAAATAAATGTTTATTAGGTGCCTGCACAAGGAAGGCTGAAGAGTAGGGTTTGATTTGAGCTGTGTATAGTATAAGGGGATATTTACTCATCCATGCACACTGTTACAAAGACATTTCATAAAGATGTCAATCTACTTGGTAGGAAAGAAATCAAGTTATAGCAAGAAAGTATTGAGCCAAGAAGCTTGGGGTTCGAGAATCTTGGGCAGGGATCTGTGTGACAGCAGGTGAGAGGGGGGTATAGAATATATACAGATGACTTCTACTCCTTCTGTGAACTGTCTTGGGACTCAGACATAAAATGACAACTTTATGCCTTCAGTGGCGCCTTACCTGACCTTTGAGACTGTAAAATGTAGCATATTCAAAGGTCTGACTCCAAGAATTTTCATTTGTCAGCGTTTTCAGCAGCTTTTCTCCCTCACACAAATAAATGTATGCCTGCAACCAACCAGCAGAGATCAGAAGTGGTGACTTGTAACAGAAGGTCACTTGCCTCAGAAACTACTGAAGCAAGGGAAGACGGAGTCACTTCAGGTCCCAGGACATCCCTGTGCCTGGTCCCACTGGTTATACTGGGCCTCCAAACTAGATAGAAGCTGTCTACCTCTGTCTGCTAGATTTAGCAATTACCTCTTTTTGTTTCATTATATGCATGTAATTACCTCAGTACTAGGGGGTGTGTTGCCATGGAAACTTAGTTTTCCTAAGGAAGTGTTATCTGGCGGTCTCAAGTTTGTCTGTGTGATGGTTTAGCCAAACTGCATGGAGACAAAAGTGGGTGAGCCTCTGAGGGCTACAGGACTGAAATCAAATTAACATCAGCCAGGAAACCTATAGATATTTTGTACTCTAAAGCATTGTTGGACAGCAAGGCATAAGCTACTGGGGTGTTACTTAGGAGGACTGTGACGAAATGAAACATTTATACTAAGAGTGAACCCAAATCACTTACATATAAGCCCATTTTCCTCTCTCTAAGACAGACAACTTCAAAAGTGGCAATATTTCATTAGGCTTTGTAGCCTAGGCTGGAATTGTAGCTTAGGCTGACTTCAAGTTTGTGATTCTCCTGCCTCAGCTTCCAAAGAATACCACCATGCCTGGCTTGGTTGCAGTACTATAATTAATCAATTATTACTTTTTTTTCAAGATGGAGTCTTGTGTATCTTAGGTGGCCATGAACTTGTGATATAGCTGAATCTGGCCTTGAATAGATCCTGATCATCCTGCCTCTACCTCACAAGAGCTTGTATCACAGGTATGTGCCCCCATGCCAGGCATATGATGCACGATGAGTACAGTGGTTTGAATAGAACTGGCTCTCATAGATTCATAGGTTTGAATACCTGGTCATTAGGGAGTGGCACTATTAGGAGGCATGGCCTTGCTGGAGCAGGTGTGGCCTTGTTGGAGGAAGTGTATCGCTGGAGGTGGGTTTTGGAAGCTCAAGCCAGGCCCAGTGGCTCTCCTTTCCTGCTGTCTGCCTGTGTGCTAGCCATGCTTCCCACCATGATGACAATGAACTAAACTTTTGAACCTGTAAGCAGGCCCCAATTAAATGCTTTCATTTATAAGAGTTGGTGTGGCCATGGTGTCTCTTCACTGCAATAGAACATTGACTAAGACAATGAGGGTACTTGAAATTGCTCTAACTGTTTCCTCAGTCTGAGATCATCTCCCTTCTCAGCGATGTGATTTTTCTAAGGAAAGAGCTGCTGGCAGGGATGAACATGGAGTAATACAAAAGCACACAGGAGCTGAACTCTGGCTGTGTGTCTGAGTCTTAGGGGCGGAAGCGGAGGAGGTGTCGGACAACAGCTTACTTTATAGTTGTCACCCAGGATGAGATAAGCAGATGCAACTTCTAGGAAGTAGTACAGGGCTTTGTTGTTTTCTTCTAAGGCTACAAAATGTTGGGCCAGTGGCAAGAGGACAATCTGGAGCAGCTCCTCACACTGACATGATTCCAGAGGGATGATATCTTCCTGAGATGACTTCATCCTTATGATAATGTTGTCAAAGAAATGCAATACTAGTTCCTTTATTTCTGCATCACTGTTTAAATATAAGAATAAGTAGATCATCAATAAATTATAGACATGGAACAGATTTTGATATGAAGTTACTTTTGAAGACTAACAAAATCCAGTGTTGCTTACTGGCCAGATGCACCATGCAGCCCCTACCAGTTTCTCTATGTACCTAAGAAGCCTAAAGGGCTGACCCCGAAGGGACCCCAAGAGTAATTTCATGACAATTGCTTCTGTTCTATTTCCTAAAAACCACATATGTGCATACCTGAGATTCTCAGGGAATTTGTATTTCTTAGGGAGCTCTGATTTAGCAAAGATGACTTCCTCTTGAGCTAGAAAATAATTGAGCAAATGAGACATCTGCCATCCGCCAAAGACTCTTATTCCTTTTACCCAGCAAGGAACCACATTTCCCAGTCTGCCACTAACCCCCTCCCCTACCCCCCACCTCCAGGTACCTCAGCTTAGAAAAAGCCACGTGGTTCTTTTCTCAGGTAGAATCAGATCATGAGTGATGGGTATCACTTCTGAAGTCCATGGGTTTCTACCCTGTTCTTTCCTTAGACAGGAAAGCAACTAGTTCTGAACAGCCAAAGGAAAGCAAAACACGACCAGGAGGAGCCTGAGTCTGTAGCTGTCTGCCAGGCTACTTGTCAAAATTTCAGCTTTTGTCTTTATATTCCTGACTTGTGTGACCATCAACCTGCATGCAGAGCTTTGCCATGATTCACACCCTGCACAAGAACCCTACCTCCTGAACTCTAATCAGTCCTTTGTAATTGGTGCAGCTCTACCCAGAACCTCACTTTAGATGGCAGCACTCACTGTGTCCTGATTTTTTGATACAGATTTTAATGTCAGTAGCAGTATACATATACTTCGTTTTCTCTGAGACAAGGTCTCCTGGAGTCCACGCTGACTTTATACTTGCCATCTAGCATGACCTCAAACTCCCTGATCTTTCTGCCTCCATCTTCCAAGTGTTGGGATTACAGGCATGTACAATAATCAATTTAGTTTTATAATAGTAATAAATATATTTTCAATTTTGAAAAAAATGCAATGTTAAGGATAATAAGTGATAGCAGTCAGCACTCAGTAACAATTGTGTACATTTCCCTGACATCTTACTTGCCCTGGTAGCATGAGACCTACCACTCATGAACCATTTTCTGTGTTCCTAAGCCCTTGGAAGACTTGACTCTAAGATTCTAAACTTAAAGATGGACCCTCTTCTTTTACGTTATTTACTTGCATGAGTGGACATATTGCCACGTGGTGTCAAAATGCCATTTAAGTATTTCTGCTTTATACCCATAGATTAGTGCTGCTCTCAGCCTTGGTCAGGGTTGCTTCCGGTTGCAGTAAGTGATGATTAATGTAGAGACTCAATACTGGATAAAGTACTAAGAAGGAGTGACTGTGGGGTGCTCAGTCTGCTTTGACTCTTCCGAGGCTCAGGGAACCCCCAACATGCCACCTAACTGGACTCCATCCCTGCTGTGAGACATTTTGATTTCAGCTCAGCTACCCTTCACTTGCCAGATCTCTGTGTGGAAGTCCCAGTGAGACGGACTCTGCTACCCCAGGTGCATTGCCAGCTCGTCCCTGCCCCATGAGCCAATCCCCACGGCTTGTGTCCCAAACCTCAAGGGGATTGAAGGCTTTAAACTCCTGACTCAACCCAAAGAGATTTGAATGTCCAGGGCTTCCCAGCAAGAGTTGGGACTGATTAGAAGTGAAGTAAATTTTACTTTTAAATCCTTGAGATGTCGCAATCTTCTTGACGGTACTCATATCCAAAGTGTTGAGTCGAATGTCCACTATGAAGTGGTGGTAAGGGATGAAGTCCCTATTCCTGCAGTGGTTGCATCGATGGGCACTCTCCTCCAAAAAGCGGGCGCATTTCAGATGTAAGACTTTCTTCTGGTCCTTAAGCCACAGTTCATAGGCCGTTTTCTGCATTATTGGTTTGCAGAAGCGAAGGATGTGGCACTCAATCACCTCTCCTTCCATTTCCCGGAGCTCCTCATCATTATGACCTACAAGGAGAAGGAGGGGCTCTTTAGCCAGGCAGCTGCTCCTTCCTAACACACATCAGTTCTTTAGTTATGGTAGGTTGTTCTATAAAATCTTTGTGGTGCTGGGGATTGAACCTAGGGCACGGTGCATGCCACACTAGTTCTACCTTCCTCTACATCTCCAATCCTCTTAGCCCTTTCATCTAGACATGCCTCTAACCAAGGGGCAAAGACAGGTTTTCCAGGTGCTACTCACCTAATCCCTCCCTGGGATTCAGGAACAAAGAGCGGTAATGCACCTCAAATGTGGTCACATTTTGCTTTAGGGCTAGTTGAAGATCTTTGCTATTCCGGAAGCAATCGAAAACATTTGATTCCACTAGCATGGCCAGGGCCTTGATCATGGTTTTCATGTTCCAGCAGGGGAGAATCTCAAACAACAATTCTGTGGTGAAGGTTAGGCCAATGATGGCGGCACATCTCACCAGCATCTGGTGGGAAAGGCTCATGCTGTCCAGCTGGACCAGAGAGACTTCTGTGGGTAGGAAGCCACACAATGGGACACTAGTTATTTACCATTACCAGACCCATTCTAGAGGTACACGACTGTTTAGAGTTACAATTCCTGTATGTAGAAACCTAAGCCAAGTCAAAAGAAGTTCATTGCTTAGTACCGATTTGTAGATAGCCCTCATGCTGGGAATACACAAGATGCAGTTTCTACGGTCTATGTATATGACATGAGTAAGACAGATTTTAGGGTATTCTGGTTTAGTGTCAATGGGTGACAAAGATGTGTGAGGTGGAGGTACAAGAGGCCATAGCAGTCAGGTCTCCCTTTCCTGTGCTTTTGTGCTTTGAAGACTTCTCCAGCTGCCTTTCTGTCTTCACTGGCTCTTCTTTTCTGTGGACCTGCTCGGTTAAGCCTAAGGCTCTCCTCCCTAACTGCTGAAGGGATTCATTTATACTCATGACACACATTATCATCTCTATTGCATTAGCAATGGTCAAAGAGCCCAGAGCACCAGTCCCAACTCTTCATCTCAGCCTGAGTTTCATTGTTCATGTGTTCCTGGCCTTCTGATTTTATTTTTGGGGTGTGTGTTCTGAGGCCTAAACCCAGGGCCCCCAAGAATTCTCAACAACTTGCTCTGCCACCGAGCTACATCCCTAGCCCCTTCTTAGACATTTTTAAAAAAGATTTTTTTTACTTATGTGTGTGATCCTGTATCAGAACATGTTCACTGTGTGCCCTGGAGGCCAGAAGACAGTGTCAGACCCCCAGGAACTAGTTACAGGGGCTGTAAGCCAACCATGTAGGTGCTAGAAATGGAACCCAGGTCCTTTGCAGGAGCAACAAGCACTCTCAACCAAGGAATCATCTTTCTAGCGCCCTTCTTGGATATTTTATATTCATTGGAGACAAAATTTGAAGTTCTCAGTGTGTCCACAGAGCACAAGCAGGTGGAAGTTGAAAGTATGTTAAGACATCTTCACACTTCAGGAGACTCGGTAACTGAAACAAACACTTGCTGCAGACACAGACTCCAAGTGTTCCCAGGCCATCCTTCCAAAGACTTAAAATTACTTCTGGACAGCATAGTTTGGAGGCTATAAAACAGATTCAAACTCATTATCCTTGAGTGTAATCTTGAACACAAGCCTGCTCTGTAATTTTTTTCTCATCAACTTCAACGTCAGAAAATGTTTCAGTGTTAGATTTTTCTTCCTCAGGATTGGTTTCAGCTTAATTGACAAAGTATTACACTCCATTCTTTGTGTATGTGTATATGTGTACATACATCTTTGTGTGCACATGTGCTTACACATGCTTGTTTATATGTGTGCACTGAGAAGTCCGAAGTCCACATTGAGAGTCACCCTCAATCACACTCCACCTTATTTATTTGCTTACTTACTTTTTTTGTTTGATTTTTTTTTGTTTTTTTGTTTTTTCAGACAGGGTTTTTCTGTGTAGCTTTGGAGCCTGTCATGGAACTCGCTATGTAGACCAGCCCAGCTTCAAACTCACAGAGATGCACCTGCCTCTGCCTCCTGAGTACTGGGATTAAAGGCGTGCTCTGCCAACGTCCTGCTTGTTTGATTTTTTTTTTGCTTTAATATATTTTTTTATTTTTAAATTTAAATTAGAAACAAGGTTGCTTCACATGTCAATTCCAGGTCCCTCTCCGTTTCCCTCCCCTCCTCCCGTGCCCTCCCACCAAACCCCCACAATATCCCCTCATTTCCCCTGGGAGGGTGAAGCCCTCCATGGGGGTGTCTATAGTCTGTCATTTCATCCAGGGCAGGGCCTAGACCCTCCCCCAAGAGTTCAGGGTGAGAGTGCATCTCACATTGTTGGATGGGAGTCCAAAGTCCATTTGTATACCTGGGATAAATACTGATCTACTGCCCAAGGCTTAATAGATTACCTAGGCCTCCTCACTGACACCCGCTTGTTTGATTTTTAAGACAGAGTTTCTCTGTGCAACTTTAGCTGTCCTGGAACTCACTCTGTTGGCCAGGTTGGCCTCAAACTTGGAGATCTGACTGCCCCTGCCTCCCAAGTGCTGGAATTAAAGGAATGCACCACTACCACTCAGCTCATCTTATTTAATTTTAGAAATATGCTTTTTATTTATGTGAATGTGTTTGCCCTCAGAATCTAGAAAAGGGCTACAGGCAGTTGTGAGCCACCTAGTGTTTGTACCAGGAACTGAACTTGGGTCCTCTGGATGTGCAGCAATCAAGCAATCACTCTTAATCTCTGAATTATCTCTTCAGTCCTTTTTTTTTTTTTTTTGAGACAGGGTCTCTCTATGTAGTCCTGGCTGTCCTGGAGTTCACTATGTACACCAAGTTGGCCTCAGATTCACAGAGATGCCCTGGCCTCTATCTCCTAAGTACTGGCATTAAAAGTATGTACCACCACACCCAGTCATCTTATTTTTTGAGATGTGGTCTGTGGTAGTTTGAATGAGAATGGCTCCAATAGGCTCAAATGTTGGTCTCCTGTTGGTAGAACTGCTTGGGAAGGGTTAGGAGGTGTGGCCTTGTTGGAGGAGGTGTGTCACTGGGGGTGGGCTTTGAGGTTTCAAAAGTCCATGCCATTCTCAGTTAGCTCTCTCTGTCTCCTACTTACGGACAAGGATGTGAGCTCTTAGCTGCTGCTCCAGCACATGCCTGCCTGCCTACTGCCACACTCGCCACCATGACGGTCATGGGTTCTAACCCTCTACAAATAAGAGCCCATGATTAATTTTTTTCTCTTATGAATTGCTTTGGCCCCCGGTATTTTGTCATGGTAATAGAAAAGTAACTTAGGCAGGGCGTTGGTGGCACATGCCTTTAATCCCAGCACTTGGTAGGCAGAGGCAGGTGGATCTCTGTGAGTTCCAGGTCAGCCTGGTCTACAGAGAGAGTTCCAGGACAGCCTCCAAAACAATACAGAGAAAGCCTGTCTGGAAAAACAAACAAACAAACAAACAAACAACCCCCCCCCAAAACCAAAACTATCTGATAAAATAAAAGGGCATATTACTAAAAAAAAAAAAGTAACTTAGGTGTTTGTTGTTGTGTATGTGTGTGTTTTTTTCCCACAGAGCCCGATACTTGCCAGTTCAGCTAATCTGGTAGACCCTAAGTCTCAGTGAGCCTCCTATCTTTATCCCCTCAGTGCTGGGACTACAACTATGTGCCACCATGCCTGGTGAGTGCTAGGGAATGATCTCAGGTCCTTCCTCTTGCCTGCACAACAAACACCTTACCGACAGAACTGCCTCCCAGCTCTTTACACTCCCCTCTTTTATGCATTTGAATAAGTATTTCTTCAATCCAGAATATGTACAGAGGGAAGGAAACACCTAACTCAAGGGAGAAAAAGCAAGCCCACTGTATTGCCTGCCTACTTGCAAAAACAAGTACTTAAACAACTTGGTTATCATCTTTCTAGACGAGGCAAAAGCAAACCTACTGAAAAGAAGAATGTGAGTTCAACTTTCTTTACCTTTTAGTGATGCTGGAGGTGACAAGTTCTTTAGCCTGACACCACTTGCAAGGTAACAGACTTCGTTACGTCCCTCAGACATGGAAGTATAAACATCAATGTCTTCTGTTGGCCTAACAGAATTCTCTATGGGGGAGAAAAAAAGGGAAGGATAGATGAGAATCATTATGCTATCTTTCTATCTGCTTTCACCGACAGCCTCCAAAACAATACAGAGAAACCCTCTTGTAAAAACCAAAAAAAAAAAAAAAAAAAGTCCGCTTTCCCTGAAAACTTTGAGAAGGAACTCAGGTAAGAAAGACTAAACAGAGATGTGTTGATTCACCAAATGTTCTAGAACATTTTTAATAAAACTGACCTATGAAAATCTAAATTAATTCAAATTATTTTGTTTCTCACCCTCCAAAACAAGAATTGATATCACTGGTATCTCCATAATACTTTTAACTTTACAAAAATGGGGTTCACAGCCACCCTAGACTCCATCTTATCACACATAGTAATATGGAGCTATGTGTGCTCATTCATATTCCCGTGGTCTTTTAAGGGCATGGCTATAACCAGAGGGAGATTTAAAATGGTGAGGGTTACCAGGTGGTGGTGAGACATGAGACTTGAGAATAAAGATGCCTACTAAGTTGGTCTGTCTCTACTCCAAAATGTTTATCCCTTAAGTCATTCATACAACTAGGTGAGACACAAATATCAAAATGAATAAAGCCAAGTTCTTCATCTCCTGAAGAGATAAGTCATGTACCATCATGTACCATAAGACTGCCAGGTAGCGCCGGGCATTAGTGGTGCACGCCTTTAATCCCAGCACTTGGGAGGCAGAGGCAGGCAGATCACTGTGAGTTCGAGACCAGTCTGGTCTACCGAGCGAGTTCCAGGACAGCCTCCAAAGCCACAGGGAAACCCTGTCTCGAAAAACAACAACAACAACAAAAAGACTGCCAGGTAGCAAGTGGCTCATCAGTGAGCACATGCAGTAAGTACTAGACAGTTCATATCAATACATTTATTAAAGATTTTAATACAGCATAGCTGTGAGGGTGATCAGTGGGAATCAGGCATGCTTCCAGGCCTCCTGGTGCATAAAACTATGTGGACAGATATTCAAGTAATGAATCAAAACACCAGGAAGAGTGAGCAAGAGCTAACAAAGAGTAACATGTTGTTGGAATAAAGTCAAATGAAGGGTTCAAAAAGACCCTGACTGGGGCCCTTACATTTTCTCATGTTCTTTCCTGTCTATCAGATGTGTAACACACACACACACACACACACACACACACACACACACACTGTTTGGTTAGTTGGTTTTTCAAGACAGGGTTTCTCTGTGTAACCACCCTGGCTGTCCTGGAACTTGCTCTGTAGACCAGGCTGACCTTGAACTCACAGAGATCCATCTGCCTCTGCCTCTCAAGTGCTGGGATTAAAGGCATGTGCCACCACCCAACCACATTCTTTGGCCCAGTCCAGGAAGTCTAGGTTAGTTGGTTTTTTTAGCACTTAGGGCCTTAGATGTAGTGCTTTTTTACTCTCTGAGAAGCCCTCTTCCACAGGAAGCAGCTGTGGGCTAGCCCCAATCTTTGCCCTCTTTTCTGAAAAAAGACTTAGGGACAGACAGAATACTAGTAAGAAGAAGTCACTTACGGAACAGGTTATTCCAGGTCAAGTTTGTCTTTTCCTCAGACTCTGCTTGCTGAAAAAGGAGAACTCTGTGGTGGTCAAGGTTTTTAAGCAATTCTTCACAGTAAAGTGGAATCCCACAGCTCCCCTCTATCAGGTACCTGTAGGGAAAACAAGGCAATGTGTTCACATGAAAAGCCAACTGTCAGTAAAGAACAGACTCTTTCCTCCTCCGTGTACTTGTTTTCAAGTTTGGGGATCGTTTTTCTCCTTTTTGTTTCCAGTGCTAGGGACTATGCATTTGAGGTGTGGGCTCTGCTACATTCGCCTCTGACTTTACAGTTTCCAAAACTGAAGCAATATAACCAGGCACATCCTCTGTCTTGCTTCTCCTCTTCATGCCATGGGTGGTAATTCTGGTTAGCTTTGATTAATTCTTTCAAAATTTCTTTAAAACATATAAACAGGTTCTAGGAACATGGCTCAGTGGTTAATGACTCTTGCTGTGCAGGCCTGACAGCCTGAGTCCCCAGAATCAGTGTAGGAGAGAACCAACTCTCAAGGGCTATCCTCTTGTCAACACAAGCATAAACACATAGAGACACACACTAATTTTGTTATTATTCTCTCTCTGTGTGTGTGTGTGTGTGTGTGTGTGTGTGTGTGTGTGTAAACAGGAGCCTGTTAATACTTTGTCATGGAAGGGAAAAGAGCTAGTGGGACCCCCCCTTTTCCCTGAGGTTTTATATGTTGTTAATGATTAATGGCAGAGGGAGAACCATTTTCTTCACTGGTCACTGTAAGAGACACTTTCTTATGTAGTCATTGGTAAAGTGCCCACTCTCCTGTAAACAACCCCTCACCCATGCTACTATAAGCAGCCTTAATCACACACACACACATACACACACACACACACACACACACACACACACACACACACACACCAGGAATGTAGATAGGTTATCTGGTGAAGAGAAAAATCTAATAACAGGACAAGAGAAGTTAACAGGATTGGGTGACCTTAATGTACATAATATACATCTATGAAAATGTCATAATGAAACTCATGTGTAATTAATAGATGCTAATAAAAGCCACACTCAGATTCCACCACACATACCTCTATGATTTAAATAATATTTTAAGTTTTATGTGTATGTGTGTTTTGCCTGCATGTGTGTCCATGTAGCACATGTATGTCTGTCTGATACTCTCAGTGGCAATTGGATCCCTGGAACTGGAAGTACAAATGGTTGTGAGCTCACCATATGGATGCTAAGAATCAAACCCTGTCATCTGGAAGAGCAGCTAGCACTCCTAACTGCTGAGCCATCTCTCCAGCTCTTGTCTTATTTTGTTAGGTGAAAGGCACCATGCATACTAGGTTATACCGCAGCTTTTTTCATTCCACAATGGATCCTCGTCAACCCTCCATGTCAGCAGACGTTTCTCATTCCCTTTTGTTATTACCCACCATCCACTGGATGGATTCGCCCTACTTTACCAAGTTTAATCACTAATGGATGAATATGTGACTTGCTCCTAGTGTTTTATAGTAAAAGCCTCAAGGAAAACTTTGAACATCATTTTAAAAATTTGTATTATATATTTGAAATAGATCCCTAGAAAATTTAGGATTGATTAATTGAATGATGTTGGACTGGGAATTAGATCAGTAATAGGAGTGATTGCCTTGTATGTTTAAGGTCCTTAGTTCTATGAGGGGGGAGAGAGAAAGAATAGAGAGTATGACTGTATACACTTATAATCACAGACAGAGAGAACACACTTGTAATTTCAGCACTTGGGAGGATGAGGAAAGTGGATCCCAAGTTCAAAGTCAGGCTGAACTACATAAGATGATCTTGTCTCAAAAAAAATTCCTAAATGTAGGCTAAAGAGATAGCTCAACAGGTAAAATTATGCTGCATGAGGACCTGAGTTCAAATACCTGAATCCATGTAAAGAGCGTCAAGTGATCACACATGCAGACAGGAGGATTGGCATTAGTTTTTAGCTTAGCTCTGGATTCTGTGAGAAACCCTGTCTCAATATAACAGGTGGAGAATGACAGAACAGGACACCTGACATTGCCCTCTGGCCCACACATACACACATGGGTGCACATACCTGCATACAAATGTGCATATACACCACACACATTCACACATACGCAAACATACCCCCATATGCACATGCACACATGCCCATACACAGAGAGAAAATAAACAAAAACAAATACAAAAGGTAGACTTAATGATTATAGTTACATACACATTCATCTACTATACATATATGAGAATCACAAGCACCCCCCCATATGTGTATAAGAAATACATTCCTTGGATTGTACTAAGTGAGTTCTTGTCCCATGCATCTTTCTTCCTTGGGTAGGGTAACCTAAATAGAAAACCCTGGTGTTAAGTGTCTGTAATCCCAGTACTTAAGAAGCCAAGACAGGAGGATTTCTATGAAGTTAAGGTTACCCAGGTGGCACAGTAAACACCAGCCCAGCCAGGACTGCATAGCAAGATTGTATTTCCAACAAATTGAAACAATTCGAAATGAAAAACCAAACAAAACAGAACAGAATGACACCAGAGTGGCCAGCTAAAGGGCTACTACAGTCTAGTTGTTAAGGGGACTGCTGTCAAGATCCTAGAAGAATCACTGACAATATCAGAACACACTCCTAAGAATGAGTTTCCAGTCTCTGCCTCAGCCTGAGAACCCCACCAGCAGTCCCACTATCGCCAATCAGGTAAGACCTTGCTGAGCTGCAGGTGCAGTTTGTACAGTTTACCAGCTTCTCTTTCCTGCTAATTCCCAAACACGCACGATCATGCTCCCGGTCACTGCTCACCAAAGAAGGCAGGTCCACACCCAGTGCAATGAAAGGGAAGCAGATCAACTAAGCAATGCTTGAGGAGGTATAACGGGGATCCACACCAAGGAGGTGATCAACACACATCCTACTAAACATATGTATGGTCCCTTCAAAAGGCAGGGCAGCACAGGCACTGAAATCATCACTTCAAAATACATCCCAACCCAGGGAGGGGTGATGGCTGAGCTGATAAAGTGCTTGTCACATAAGCCTGAGGACCTGCATTTGGACCCTCAACACTCACATAAAAGCAGGGTGCTGTTGAATAATCCTCTTGGACACTGTAAAGATTTGTCACTCGAAATGGTTTAATAAAATGCTGACTGATCAATAGCCAGACAGGAAGTGTAAGCAGGGTGACCAAACTAAGCATGATGGGAAAGAGAAGGGCGGAGTCAGGAGACACCAGCCAGATGCAGGGGGAGCATGAGATGAATGTGCCATGCTAACAAAGGTACCGTCATGTGGCAGAGTGCAAATAAGGAATATGGGTTAGCTTAAAATATAAGAGTTAGCTAGTTAACAAGCCTGAGCTATCAGCCAAGCATTTACAATTAATTATAAATCTGTGTTGGTTATTTAAGACTGGTGACTGAGATAGGGAAAGAAACATCTGATTATAGTTGTGTGCATTTGTAATTCCAGCTCTGGAGAGCCAGAGCCAAGTGGATCTCTGAGACTCACTGGACAAGCTAACTGAATCAATGAACTCCAGGTTTGGTGAGAGACTGTAGCTCAAAAATCAGACAGAGAATAATTGAGGAAGATACCCAGCATTGGCCTCTGGCCTCTAGATGTATCCACATGAACATATTTATAACACACACACACACACACACACACACATACACACACACACACACACATACACATACACACACACACAAGACACAGCCTGAGGGATTTTTCTAATAAAGTTCAGATCTGGGGAATCAATGCAGGGATCAGGAGCTTGGGATAGAAATTACTTACGAGTCCAGCTCTGTGGGGATGCTGCTTACACTAAGGTCGACACAGACCTTGTCACGGATTTCCTGAGGTTGCATGGTACCCAGTGTGATATAGGTGGTGTTCCGGTTCTTCATTATGGCACTGGCAGCCGCACAGGGAATGTCGGAGAAGGGAGTCAGGGACATGATGATGAAAATGGGCATACACCGGATCAGCTTTTCTATGAAGGCCCAGGAGGTTCCATCCACAAACTGGGCCTCATCAATGATGAAAATAATCCTTTCTTCTTTCACTGTCTGGGAAAGGGAAAGACACAGAAGCATGCTAGAAGATTCTGGGATCTTGTGTGTGGGTATGTGGAGAACGAGTATTTATTGAGTTTTATGGTTTGCACTGTATAGACCAGGCTGCCCTCCAAACCACAGAGATGGATCCACTTGACCATGTCTCCAGAGTGCTAGAATTAAAAGTGTGTGCCACCATTACCAGCAAGCGGTGACTTTACAAAGAGGACGTAAGGAGAGGAGGAAAGGAAGGAAGGGAGGTGGGAAACAGGAAACACTAAAGCCAGTGTGGCGCACACCAGTGATCCCAGCACTTGTGAGATGGAGACAGGAGGATTAGGAGTTCAAGGCTACCTTTCACTATGTCATGAACTCAGAGTCAGCCTGAGTTACAAGAGACACTTTTTTCAAAATAAAACCCTAGAGACAGTTCAGTGGTAAAGTGTATTTCTAGTGTGCCTAAAGCCCTGGTTTGAATTCTTAGTAAGGTAAAAGACAAAAGGAAGAAAATGTAAATTTGAAGGATAAGTAGGGTTGTGGGGGTGTCTGCAAACTCAAAGAAAAAAACCAAAACAGAAAACAATGCTCATTACATAAAAATAACAAATGTGTCAGCCAAAAGCCATTTTAATCTACTGACAAATGATAAATGATCCTGGGGAGATGATATTTTTTTCCTGCCACATACACATAAGCACCATAGGCTACGCAGAGTGTACACAGTCCTAATGGAGTCAGATCTGCCCCTGACAATGAGGTGGCTTGTGCTATTTTGGTTTAAACTGTGGTATAAGTTACACTTTAAATAGACCATGTATCCTTTCTCTTGTACAGGCTACAACTAGTCTGAATTATTCACCTATTCATTAAACATTTAGTGTATATCTTAGTGTTGTGCACAGTTCCAGGTGTTAGAGACATGCAATAGACCATGGATATACAGTCTCTCTCAAGTCCTAGGATCTGTGTGTGCCACTGTGCTAGATACATGTGTGTGCATGTGTGCATTTATTTTTTCCTAATATTTATTTTTAAGTGTATGTATGTATATATATGAATTCTTTTCTTTCTTTCTTTCTTTTTTTTTTTTTTTTTTTGGTTTTTCGAGACAAGGTTTCTCTGTGGCTTTGGAATCTGTCCTGGAACCAGCTCTTGTATACCAGGCTGGCCTCAAACTCACAGAGATTCACCTGTCTCTCGAGTGCTGGGATTAAAGGCGAGTGCCACCACCATCCTGTGAATCAGTGCAGGTGTCCACAGAGGCCAGAAATGGTTGCCACTCTTTGTGGAGATCTTGTGGAGCTAGAGTTGACATGGGTGCTGGGAACTGAACTCAGGTCCACTTAAGTACCGAGTCATTTCTCCAGCTCCTCTCTATCCTAATTCTGAACAGACTCAGCTCAGGTTTGGAAGGATGGGGAGAAGGAAGCACTGTAGGGCATGGCAATCACACGCTTCCAACGCTCTTTGCCAGTAGAGTCTGAGTCCCTTGGGGCAGCTGGCTTTGTGGCCATTTGCCTAGTTTCCTCCCCCAGTGGCTTGACCCTTGGGTGCTCTTACTTGCTCCAAGATCTTCATAAATAGAGCTTCCAGTTCCATTTGTTTTCTTAACGGGCTCATCCTGGACATCTCCCGGGAAACAGGGAACTGTATAGACATTGAGAGTGTTGAACAGAGGGGAACAGCAACAGGAGCGACGAGCCACATGATTGACTCGGAGCAAATCACCCAACTGTTCTGAAGCTTAGATTGCTCAAATGCTACATCCCCCAGTGCCCTCCATGGCTTGAATACTCTGTGCCACTGAATAGTTTTGGGAAAGAAAGGGACACACTCTCTCTTTACATTTGATATCATTTTCATCAACAGGGTGACTTTGAGCCCGAGATCAAACAGGATAGGACAGTACAGCTATGAAGGAACGGTGACAAACATATGAATCAGTAAGTGGTCATTTGGATTTTCCCGAGTATGGCATTTTTAGATAACTCCATTTCTCACAAGAACATGCTACAAAGGGGTGTGGGTGTGTCTCAGTGGCAGAACAAATGTGTGTAAGGCCCTATGTCTATAACTAACTAAATAAATAAATGTAAGGCTTTTTTTTTTTTGGTTTTCCAAAACAAGGTTTCTCTATATGACAATCCTGGCTGCCCTGGTACTTGCTCTGTAGACCAAGCTGGCATAGAACTCACAGAGACCCACCTGCCTTTGCCTCCCGAGTGTTGGGATTAAAAGTGTGCACCACCACTCTCTGGCAATAAATGTAAATTTAAAAAATGTGGGTCAGGTAATTATCTAGACTTCAAAAACCTTATGTTAAGTGTTTGAGTATTATAGGGAATTACACATTATCATTTTGGTTTATCTGAATGTCTTTAGGACTTGAAACAAATCTTGACTAAGTGATTAAAAACATTTTCTTTTAGATTTATTTTATGTGTATGAATGTTTTGCTTGCATGTAAGTATATGCACTGTGTGCATGCCTGTTGCCCACAGAGGTCAGAAGAAGGTGTTAGATCTCCTGGGCTGGGAGTACAAATGGTTATGAGCCACTATGTGGCTTCTGGAAACTGAACCCAGGTCCTCTGCAAAATGATCAGTGCTCTGAACGGAGCCATTTCTCTAGCACCTTGACTAAGTGTTTTAAAGATTTATTTTTAACTGTGCATTTGTATTTATGTGAGTGTAAGTAGCCAGAGAGGCCAGAAGAGGGCATCAGATCCCCCTGGAGCTGCAATTACAGGCAGTGGTTGATTGGTTGTCAGCTGCCCAGTGTGGATGCTGAGAACCAAATTCAGGTCCCCTGCATCAGCAGCACATGCTTTTAATAGATCAATTGTCTCTCTAGCCCCAGATGACCAAGTTGTTTTTAAAAATGAATATAAATGCACTTCAAGGAGAACAGAGAGACATTTTCTCAACACTTCGAATTGCAGAAACAGCTAGAAAAGGATAAGAAAGGTGTGCTGACTAGTTTTATGTCAATTTGACACAATCTAGAGTCATCTGAAAGGAAGGGACCTCAGTTGAGACAATACCTCCATAAGATCAGACTGCAAGCAAGCCTGTAGGGCATTTTCTTAATTAGTGGTTGATGGGGAGGCTATTCCTGGGCCAGTGATCCTGGGTTCTACAAGAAAGCTGATAGGTATGGTGGCAAATACTTTTAATCCCAGTACTTGGAAGCCAGCCTAGTCTATAAATCGAGTTCCACAGAGAAACCGTGTCTGGATAAACAAACAAAACAACAACAAAAGCAGGTTGAGCAAGCCATAGGGAATGGGGAACAAGCCAGTAAGCAGCACCCTCCACAGCCTCTGCATCAGCTCCTGCTTCCAGGGTCCTGCTTTGCTTGAGTTCCTGTGCTGACTTCCTTTGATGATGGACTATGATCTGGAAGTGAAAGCCAAATGAACCCTTTTCTCCCCACCTTGCTTTTGGTCATGGTGTTCCATCACAGCAACGTTAACCTAACTAAGACAAAGGCTAAAGACACACGAAGTCAGATAGCATCAGGCAGGAGCTGCTGTGCTTGGCCCATAGCTAATTATTTGCAGGAGTCTAATGCAAGCTAGTTACCTGAACATGGAAGATGTCATTGAGAAGACAGTGGAATTTATCATCCAACAGCATCTTGACTTTATTTTGAAGACTGGTCTGTCGTTCTTTGTAATGTTTACAAGTATCTAGACCTAGTACATTAGCCATGAGTATCTGGATGGTATAAAAATTTTGGTGGAAGCTGATCTTAGTCAGTGCAATAGCAATAGCCCTGTTCATAAGACAATCGAGAATCAGGACAACATCTTAAATACAGTCCCTGAATATAGCAAAGGCTGGAGGAAGTTCTGATTTCTCATACTCAGCTGCAAGGGTAGAGCTGCTCTTTATTCTTGCTTCCGGTATCCCAACCCTTCCATCGTTCCATGATGTTAACCCAGATATCTTCTCCTGCCTAGTTCTGCCATCACTGCCCTGTGCCCATCCTGCTACAACAATATGCTACTTCCTGTGCCTGCTGTCAACGACCCTCTGAAAGCAACCCTTCAAGAAACCTCAGTGCTATAGTGAGGTACCAATTTTGGGGCCTTGGGATGTAGTTCAGCGGTAGAACATTTGCCTGGCATGTGTGAAGCCTGGAGTTTGCTTCCTAGTACTACCCAAAGCAACTTAAAACCTGAACAAAACAAAACAATGAAATGAGGGAAATCTTGCAGCATTTTCTTATTTAATGTTCTCCAGGGTTCCCAGGGCCTATTTTGTGTGATTTACAGTCTCTCCAAAGCCTCATTCTGTCATATCTCACTCCTTTCTGCCTAGCCTTCTACTCTCTACCACCACCAAGTGGATGGGAGTTCCCTACAAGCCAGGGCTGTGTCTCCTCTCCAGGACTTTCCTTCTGTTCATCCAGGGATTGCTATTACTATCATAGCCTATCATCTGCAAGGGCCTCTTGGGAGACTTTCCTAGTGTCCTGAATGCAGGCTACCTACCCCATCTTTGCGCTTCTGTAATACTCTACTGCATCCTTCTGCCACTGCCCTCACAGCATTCTCTTCCTTGTCATCTTCTCTAAACTCCTCAAGAGGACAGATCACATAGCACTCATACTAAGGGCACTGACATCCTTGGAACACATTCATGTGTTCCAGTCACCACAGCATGTGACCTTATGTGGGAACAGTGTAGTTGCAGAGACTCACTCAGGATAAGACTGTAATTTGAGCTGAGTGTGGTGGTACAAGCCAGGAATCTTAGCATTCAGTAGGTGGAACTAAGAGGATAGAGCGTTCAAGGCTAGCCTGGGCTACATGAACCCTTGTCTAAAAATATGTAAATATGTATACATAGAAAATACACAGAGAGATGCTGTGTGAAGGCAGAGATTTCTGGTTTTGTAGTACTTTGTTTCAGTAGCCTGGTAAATAATACAGCACTTATTAGTTCTTGGAACACAGTGAGAATGTATTAAGTAATGTAATGACTCAATGTTTCTTGCTGTAATTATGCCCTTTTGAAACTGCCTATTCTTAGGCATGACATTAAAGAGTGATAGAAGTTGGATAGAGATAAGATTAACAAGCACTTCCACTTTATACGCCCTTTAGGTTGTGAAGGGAAGGCATAAAAAACTGTTGTCATGATCTTGGTCACCATCACTGTACAATCCTGTTCCTCAAAGTAGTAGACAGCTTATCCCAAAGAGAAGCCTTAAGGTTTGTCTTGGGTGAAGACAAAATGTGAAGTACACAAGCTCTGCCCTCCAGATGGAAAGACTTGCGGCCCAGCATGCTTCAGCCCTATTAAAACTAAAGGACTTTAAGAGTGACCTCCTATGGGGTTGTCCCCTGTCAGGTTCCCCAGACAGACTACAACCATGGTTGTCACGTATCTGCTAGATGTTGCCACCTACCTAGACACTTACATTAAGTGGGAAGTTTTCAAGTCTCCAAGTTTGCCCTGACATCAAAGTGGGGTTTCCAGAAATCAGCCCCATTCCTCTTTCCCTTAGTTTGAAAGTCTTATTGCTAATTACCTAAATTCGGCTATAAGGGTCATGGTTCCCCAGCAACTGTAGTTACCTAGCTCACCTAAGGCAAGTGACAGACAGAAGACACCGAAATCAGGGAAATTCTTTTAAGGATGTCAATATTTTCCAAGGTCACAAGAAACATGATTTCAAGACACTTACCTATGGTTCTCATGCCTAGAGGCCAGGTACTCAATTTCCATAAGCAAATGGCTTTTCCCGATTCCTGGCAATCCTTCATACATTAGAACTCGGCTGCAGTTCATCACCAGAAAGTCCTTCATAGCAGACATGAAGTAGTCGATCTCCCTAACACGTCCTGTTGTTTATTTATTTTTTTAAAGGAGCAAACCCATTGACAGAAAATAGTTTAGAAATAGGTTTTAAAAGGCACACAGTGATACCCCTGCTAAGAATGTCTTTGAAATTCCCATGCAATTTGCCCATGGAACTTCTTTGTGGGTTTGTCTTTCTTTCTTTCTTTCTTTCTTTCTTTCTTTCTTTCTTTCTTTCTTTCTTTCTTTCTTTTTTTGTCTCATGTAGTTCAGGCTGACTGGCCTCAATGTTGCTTTGTGGCTGAGAAAGACCTTGAAGCCCTGATCTGCTGCTTCTGCCTCCCAAGGGCTGAGATTATAGGCATGTGCCACCATACCTGACTTAACTTGTTCATGGAATGTCTTAAGAATACTCTATGAATTCTTAAAATAAGAAATATTTTTTCTAAAGGTATAGTTAGTCAGGTTATTTTGGAAGTTTATTTGGTTACTACAAGCTGGGAAGGAAAGTTCTTTTGTGGTTGCATCCCACCCCTACCCCCACCAGGCCAGGGATGGAACCCAGATCTCTGAAATCCTAGTCAAGTGTTTTACCACTGAAATATATCTGTATTATCAAGAGATACACTGTAAGCTCACTACAATTCCATTTTCTTGTGCTGTACAAAAGTCGAGTTTCTTTTAGATTATACAACTAGGAATTGAACCAAGGCTCTCTAACCTTAAAATAGATCTTATTTTTCTGTTTTCTTTAGCAGACTGATTATACAACTAACACATGCTCACTGTAGAAAATATGGAAAATGTAGGAAGAAAAAAATATAAAAACTGTGCTGGGCGACAACCCTACCACTTTTTTTTTTCTTGGATGCTTTAAAATATATGCAGTAGGAGGCCCAGGCTGAAATCTGATACTCAGCCCATGGTCTCCAAAACCTGGGTGGACGCAAAGGAGCTGGAAGAATTGGACTTTGATTGCAACTTTCACAGCAACTTCTGTGAAAAGAATTGGGGGCTCACCCTGGGTCGTTTCTACTTTCTTTGCTGGACAGATAATTAAGGAGGCCCCACTGTGTTAGCCATGGGTAGAGTAGCCACATGTTCAGGTATTGTCTAATGTCTTTGCTAAAACAGGATCATAAATTCATGTACAAGTGTTCTAGAGAAAAGGAAGGTATATGTTTTGCCCGGCAGTGGAAGGTTCTGGGAATTGTTTAACAGAAATCACCCTGCAGTAGACTCTATTGCCTCCCTAGAGTGAAGCATGCCCTACATGAAAAGCATCTGAACTTCAGTGCCACGAGTACTTCTTGGGATGGAAAACAGGGCTTTAGGGGACGGTGAGTATGAGTACTCTTCCACCTCTCTAGCTTTGAGTGTGCGAGCCTGGGTTTACCAGGCATACCAGCTGCAAGCCTGACAATGGGGATTTTCTGATGGACCATGTACTGCCGAACAGCTAAGGAGCTATTGACTTCCTTCAGGCTTTCCAGACACTGAGATTTCAGCCTAACACTCCTCCAAAGGAAGGGACAGTCTCCTCTTAATGGCCCTGACACAGTTGCAGCTAGGATTTAACTTTGGATATGACTTTCTGAGATGTTAAATCTAACAGAAGGGATCAGCAAGGGCGCCTCCAAATAACTGTCTTCAGAATCTATGTCCAGGCTATGTTGAGTCTCTTTCACAAGTACATTACCGTCTCTTTTAGATCTACTTCCTCTCCAACTTGAATTAACTTTCATAGGGTCCCTATCACCAAGAGCCCCAACTACATTACTTCTACATAGATTGTAGGTGGCAGGGGACTGAACTTTGTGTATGCTAAGCACACACTCTCCTACCACACTACAATTTTCAGCCCTTATACACTTACACTTAAATATAAACGGTAAAACAGAATTTCTTGAAGGAAAGTAAAGAAATACTTTCAAAACATATGGATGAAGAAATATTTCTTAAATAGCACACACAGAAACACAGGTGTAAAATAAATTGAATTACATGAAGGAATTCTGCTCATTAAACATCAAGTAAGTGCTTGCCTTGGCAAAGCATACAATTGAAAATGGAATTATAGAGAGATATACAGAAAACATACAAATCTGTGAAGGGTTCCATATTTAAAGAGAAAGAAAAACCTAGTGTGGTGTCACAGGCTTGGAATACCATTACTTCAGGGGTGGAGACCAATGTAAGACAGCATCTCAAACCACCACCAAACACCAGATAAATAAGCATGCACATGCATGTGGTCTAATATATGTAAATGTGTACATCTGTATATATACATGTAGATATGAGTGACATTGTTGGAACAAAGAGTATGCCACGGGAAAAGTCAAAGGTTCATACAGGTATTTTCGTGTGTGTTCACTTCGTGCTTTTGTGCCCAAATGTCAGGCAAGAACTAGGTATAAAGATATGGAATTCAACTTCTCACTGTTCTCCATCAACTTCTCACTATTTCTCCCACTCTCCTCTTTTCCCTACCAGCTGACCTTACAAATATCAGCTCCTTTGTAGAGCTGAAGTCCCCTGGACAGTGACCAGGGGTGGCAGGAGATACTGCCCTCAACCTTTATCCCGGGCTTTCTTCCCCGGGACTTGCGAACCTTTCCCTGACCGTCCTGTGCTCTTCTCCTTCAGTCCCTCTCCAGATGTCTGCAGGCCTTTCCTGGTTAGTTGGTGCTTTGTTTTTTGTTTGTTTTGTTTTTTCAAAGGGAGGAAGGAGAATCAAAGATTCTGTCCCAGTGGAAGGGAAGGTGCTGTCTGAGGAGGGGGAGAAGCAGGGAAGAAAGTAAGGTAGTATGTTCCTATTATCCCAGATCTCTCCAAGACCTTTATCATCAAGGGGTGTTGGATTTTTTCAAAGGCTTTTTTCTGCATCTAGTGAGATGATCATGTGATTTTTGTTTTTCAGCTTGTTTATATGGTGTATTACATTGATGGATTTTTGTATGTTGAACCATCCCTGCATCCCCTAAACATAATAAAAGCTATATACAGCAAACCAACAGCCAACATCAAACTAAATGAACAGAAACTCAACGCAATTCCGCTAAAATCAGGAACAAGGCAAGGCTGTCCACTCTCTCCATACCTTTTCAATATTGTACTTGAAGTTCTAGCTAGAGCCATATGACAACAAAAGGAGATCAAGGGGATACAAAGATACAAAATGGAAAGGAAGAGGTCAAACTTTCACTATTTGCAGATGATATGATGGTTTACATAAATGACCCAAAGAACTCTACCAGGGAACTCTTTTTTTTTTTTTTTTTTTTTTTTTTTGGTTTTTACGAGACAGGGTTTCTCTGTATTGTTTTGGAGGCTATCGGTCCAGCCCGGCCTCGAACTCACAGAGATCCGCCTGCCTCTGCCTCCCGAGTGCTGGGATTAAAGGCGTGCACCACCACCGCCCGGCTTACCAGGGAACTCTTACAGCTGATTAACACCTTCAGCAAAGTGGCAGGCTACAAGACCACCTCAAGAAAATCAGTAGTCCTACTATATACAGATGATAAAAGGGCTGAGAAAGAAATCAGAGAAACATCACCCTTTACAATTGCCACAAACAACATAAAATACCTTGGGGTAATGCTAACTAAACAAGTGAAAGACCTGCATGGCAAGAACTTTGAGTCTTTAAAGAAAGAAATTAAAGAAATCTTCAGAAAATGGAAAGATCTCCCATGTTCTTGGATAGGTAGGATCAATGTAGTAAAAATGGCAATCCTGCCAAAAGCAATCTAGAGATTCAATGCAATCCCCATTAAAATACTAGCACAATTCTTCACAGACCTTGAAAGAACAATAATCAATTTTGTATGAAAAAAAAAAGACCAAGGATAGGCAAAACAACCTTACTCAACAAAGCAACATCTGGAGGCATCACCATCCCTGACCTCAAGCTCTATTATAGAGCTGTAGTCCTGAAAACAGTTTGGTATTGGCACAAAAATAGACAGGTAGAACAATGGAATCGAATTGATATTAATCCATACACGTATGAACATCTGATCTTCGACAAAGAAGCTAAAAATATACAATGGTAAAAAGAAAACATCTTCAACAAATGGTGCTGGCATAACTGGATGCTGGCATGTAGAAGAATACGGATAGATACATGTCTATCGCCATGCACAAAACTTAAGTCCAAATGGATCAAAGACTCAACATAAATCCAGCCACACTGAACCTTTTAGAAGAGAAAGTGGGTGGTACCTTTGAACGAATTGGTACAGGAGACAGCTTTCTGAACATAACACCAGTAGCACTGACACTGAGGTCAACAATAAATGGGACCTCCTGAAACTGAGAAGCTTCTGTAAGGCAAAGGACACAGTCAGCAAGACAAAAAGGCAGCCCACAGAATGGGAAAAAATATTCACTAATCCCACATCTGACAGAGGGTTGATCTCCAAAATTTACAAAGAACTCAAGAAGAAAGTCTCCAAAACACCAAAGGACCCTATTAAAAAGTGGGCTGCAGAACTAAATAGAGAGTTTTCAATAGAGGAGTCTAAAATGGCTGAGAGGCACTTGAGAAAGTGCTCAACATCCTTAGCCATCTGGGAAATGCAAATCAAAACAACTCTCAGATACCATCTCACCCCTGTCAGAATGGCTAAAATCAAAAACACCAATGACAATTTATGCTGGAGAGGTTGTGGTGAAAGGGAAACACTCCTCCACTGCTGGTGGGAGTGCCAACTTGTACAGCCACTTTGGAAATCAGTATGGAGATTCCTCAGGAAAATGGGAATAAACCTACCACAAGACCCAGCAACTCCACTCTTAGACATATATCCAAAAAGATTCACATTCATACCACAAGGTCATCTCTTCCAATATGTTCATAGCAGCATTATTTGTAATAGCCAGAACTTGGAAGCAACCTAGATGCCCCTCAGAAAAGTGGATAGAGAAAATGTGGTACATTTACATAATGGAATATCACTCAGCAAAAAAAAAAATGGAATCCTGAAATTTGCAGGCAAATGGATGGCACTAGAAGAAACCATCCTGAGTGAGGTAACCCAGTCACAAGAAGAGAAACATGGCATGTACTCTCTCATATATGGATTTTAGCCATAGATCTGGGGAGTGCCAGCCGACAATCCCATGGCCAGAGTGTCTGGGAAACAGAACCTTCATTCAGTGGCTGATGGAATCAGAGGCAGACTCTCACAGCTAAACACTGAACTGAACTCAAGGAATCCAGTGACAGAGAGGGAGGACTGATGAGCAAAGGGGTCAAGACTGGGTTGGTTTAACCCCCAGAAACAGCTGACCTGACAAGGGTTAGCTCTTGAATCCCAGACTGATGGCTGGGAATCCAGCATGGAACTGATCAAGACCCCCTGAATGTGGGTGTCAGTGAGGAGGCCTAGGTAATCTAGTGAGCCTTGGGTAGTAGATCAGTATTTATCCCAGGCATACAAATGGACTTTGGGCACCAATCCAACAATGAGAGATGCACTCTCACCCTGAACTCTTGGGGGATGGTCTAGGCCCTGCCCTGGATGAAATGACAGACTATGGACACCCCCATGGTGGGCCTCACCCCTCCATGGGGAAATGAGGGGATATTGGGGGGGTTGGTGGGAGGGCATGGGAGGAGAGGAGGGAAACGGAGAGGGACCTGGAATTGACTTGAGCACCCCAGGGGAAAAGGTCATGGTGAGAAAAGAAGGAAGCACAAGGGTCAGACAGCAAACAAAAGATAGACTCTCATGAGGGTCAAAGAAAAGGAGGGAGCAGGCACAGAGATGTTTCCTGGGGGTGGAGCGTGAGGACACAGTGCCTCCCCAGCCCGCTTCTACCCTGCTCCAGCTTAGCCTTTTCTTGGTCCTCTTTCCCACGACAGAAGCTGTGGCCAGGGCCTCATTGTGTCCCTGCATGTTTACACATTCAGTCCTCTAGTCCCTCCTTTCGCACGGACACTATTTCAATCATTTTAAAAGTATGGTTCCATGAGCATAAATTATGGACATGCAAGAGACAAGGTCTTTGTTATGTTGTCCAGGGTGGCCCTAAATTCCTGGGTTCAAGAGATCCTCCTACCTCAGCTTCCTGAATAAGTGGGGAGCCATTATATTGGATTTAAATTATTTGTTTTTTTTTTTAAAGATAAGCTCTTACTCTGTAGCTCCAGCTGACCTGGAATTCTTATATAAATCAGGCTGCCAGTAAATTCACAGAGATCTACTTGTCTCTGCCTCTTGAGTACTGAAATTAAAGATGCATGACACCATGCCCCGCTTTATGTACATTTTAAAATAAACATAAATAATCCAGAATGTTAGAAGCCCTGGGGCAGGGAGAGGTGAGGAGTGACAAAGCAGGAAGGCACATGTAAAGATTCCTAATGCTTATTTTCCTTTGTCTTTTGTATATATATATATATATATATATATATATATATATATATGCACATGTGCAGTATACAGATGTTCAGTTGTGGGTACACATCTGCTCATGGACATGGATGCCAGAGGTTGACAGCAGGTATCTTTTATTATCACTCTCTAGGTTAAGTCCAAGACAGGATCTCTCACTGAACCCAGGGTTCAGCCACTGGTTAGACTCCCCAGCCAGTGAGCACCAGGGATCCACCTGTCTCCACCCACCAGCTCTCCCGGGTCACAGAAGTGTCCAACGATGCCCAGCTTTTTATGTGGGTTCTGGGGATTTGAACTCAGGTCGTCATGGTTATATTGCAGATACTTTCATCACTGTGCCCTTTCCCTGACTTTGTTTTTCTATTTCTTGACCCAGGTGATGAGTATATCTTCATTTTGTCATAATTTATTAGCATGCATACTTCTCATTGGTGCCCTTTTTATATGTCTTGTTACTACAGTTCAACAAAGAAGTTCTAAGAAGAGGGAGCTCGTGCAATATGCCCAAGGCCCTGAATTAGTCTCTAGTTGCCCCCCCAAAAAAACAAAGTAAGTTTCAAATTAAGGCTCACTACCTACCCAGCAAAGGGTAACCCTCATATCTGTTGCAGATGAGATATGCCATACCAAACATGCTAAAGAAAAAAAGAGAGAGAGAGAAAAGATGTTAGATTCAAAACAGAAACACTGAAAGCAAAAGTGACTAGTTCTTTAGCCTTTTTGTCAGCCTCTAACAAGTCTCCATGGTTGCAAATAACCAAGAGGGGAGAAGAGAAAGACTACTTGTAACAGACATTATCGTAGTGCCTGGCACACTATTCAGCAAATGACTCTTGTGCCTGCATTGGCGGACAAGAGCCCTGGGGTGGGGGTGTTGGAGCTAAATAACACTGGATGTGCTGCAGGGTCTCACATCCTGGAGAGATTCTGTGACCTGCTCAATAATAGTCCGACTTTGCTGAGAACATGCTATGTGTATAACAGTTCTAAGTGCTTTACCAGTATCTTTAATTCTGACAAACAAAAAGCATTAATAAGTATGCATGACTCCTGAGTTGCGGCTGTAGCCCAGTGGGAGAACATTCACCTAGCACACATGGCACCTCAGGTTCAATTCCCAGTATTGCCAAAAAATAACCCACAAAAACCAACCAACCAACCAACCAAACAAACAAACAAACAAAAGAGCAGAGGGGGAAATACTACTCTAATGTCCGTTTTACAAATGAGTAAACTAAAGAGTAGAGTTTAACTTGCCCAGCATCCCATAGCTAGTGGTGACCGTGTCTAAACACAGCCCAGGGTGCATGTGCATTCTAGTGTGCATTTCACGCTGGGCCATTCCCTTCTCTTTTTTGCCATGCTACTTTGTCATATTCTCTGGTGGCACCTATCAAACTCTCCCATGCAATGTACAGCTAACTTTATAAAGCCAAAATTTCAGGGCAGGAACCAAGTCCTACTCACAGCTGTGTCTTTATGCTTTCTTTTTTCCTGCAGAGATTGTATAGAAAAATCATGGCGTGTGCAGGCTTTGGGGCTTGTGTGGTGGTTGGCTGTAAGTAGTGATCCACTTCCTTACCCCTATGTGAGCCCTTTGTGGTCTAGCTTGGCACTGCCTTCCTGCTCTGGCTTTACCTTGGGAGTGCTCTGACCAATCGGATGTCAATAAACATGAGAGAGAGAGAGGCTTGAGAGATGTTTGTGCATGAACTGCCTCTTGTTCTTCATATAATACTGTGACAACATACCTGGTGGAGGACGAGACCCATGGAACCAAATTGCTCTAGTTCTATAATCCCAGCTGCCCTAGCTGTCTCAGCTACTGTCATCTTGGGTCAGCCAAAAACCTGCTGAACCCCAGGCATGTGAATAAAGCAGTGTGAGATTGCCCCAACTGAGACATTGTCAATGGTGTTCCATATTTTCCTGGGGGGGGGGAACAACTTGTTAATTGAGTTGGGAATGCAACTCAGCCCTAGCATGAACAAGCCCCAGTAGTACAAAAAAAGTTTGCTGTTTGTACGACTGAAGTTTATGGTTGTCTGTGAAACTGGGTTACTGAAATAGTTTGAATCTTGGCTTCTTGGCTTTACTAGAGAGAGATGATCATTGATGAGTCATGTAGTAGCATTTACATTTACAAATTGGAGATAATTGCTTCTACAGCATACAGTAAAACATAAGAATAAACAGTGTTTTTGCGATAGAATGTATATTTAATAAGTGCTCACTAGAAATCATCATTATCCATTCACTTAGTCAATAACCATTGTATGATGACCCATATGTGCTAAAGCAGGGTGCTAAGCCCCAGAAATACAGCATGAACAGAAAGAAATTTCTGAGTCAACTGCAGCCTTGGTTGACTTAAATTCTAATTTGTTCCTTGAGTAACAGTTTCCATTGTCCCTGTTATTCATTCATGCACGACTCATTTATTCATCATAGCTTATGGCCTACCTTGTGCCAAACACTGGGGATATAAGAGTGAACAAAAGATTATCAGTATCCAGCCTCATTGGGCTCACAGTGCAGTGAGTAAAAAGGGTAGCAAGTCAGTAGTTGTGATGTAGGAACTGGGGGTGTAATTTGGAGGCAGAGCAAGTGCTTAGCATGTATGAGGCCCTGGGATCCATTTCTAGAAGCAATAAATGAAGAGTCTGTGGGATAGTGTGAAGTCAGTCTACTAGAAGTATGTGTTGTTGAGTTACGCAAAGGTAAAAAGATGAAAAGGACTCCCTTGTGGGGTTTGGGGTGAATCCCAGAGCCACCCTCACAGAGGGGAAAATTCCTGAGCTATAATTTAAATATGGACTGGGCAGAGTGGTGATGATAACAAGCCATCAGACACTCCCAACGAGGGTGTGCAGGGAGTTGAGAAAGCTCCCTTGTATGTTATTGCAAGGAATTTGACTGTTAGCATGAAGTGATTAGCAGCTATTGAACAATTTTAAGCACAAAGGGACACTCACACATCTAAGCAGGGATCTAGGAAAGACCCAAGAACAATATCTTATCTTCTTTTAACCCTCTTGATGTTGGACACACAGTTAGCATAATCAGTGGGTATGGAATGGTGACCAGGTGCATCTGGTGTGTATTGGAATCAGAGGACTCTTCTCTGTTTGCACAGCTGCTGAAGAATTGCCCTTAGACTCTCTGGCCTATGTGAAGGATGAGCTCTTCCATCTTGCTGTATTGGTATAATGAAGAAAGATGAGGACAGGCTAAAGTCTGCACCCAGGTCTGAGAAAGGTATAGATTTCAGCTTCGTGAAATGGTTTTGAATCTCAAATCGGGGACCAATCCTCGGCTATCAAATCTCCCCATTACTAGAAAACATAAAAACAATCAATGCCCACACTCACACTTTCTCATTAAGGCCCAAACACTGATACACTGGTCCCGAATCTGCAACACCTTTCATGACTTTCTTTGGGAGCTCCTTAAAAAAGTAGGCTGGTAGATTGCTGCCATCATAGGTGACAGAGTCGCAGGTCACGATGCCTGGGTAATACATCATCATCCTGGCAGCAATATTGACCTTTTGACCAATGACTATGACAGGAAGGGCAAGTCAAAGAGGAGAAAAAACAAAAGCTGTTAAACTCCACATAATCTGAGGACACTCCCCGAAAGGCTTTTTCCCTTTATTTCTTCTGTTGTCATGAATACCACATGAGTTTAACCTTCACTTGGCCAGTACCTATTTCAAACAGTCTTCAGCAGTTAACTCAGCTGGTTGGTAGCAAAGTTTCTGTCTCACCTGGGAAACCAAGAAGATGGTCTGCGTAGGGATAGAAAGTCCTTAAATATAAAGAGGTGTTTGTAAGGGGGATGGCCACAAGCCTGAGGGTGCTTGGGTAAGCTGTAGCTTGTCTTTTGTGATGAAGTAGGCAAGCTCTGTGTTGGTCTAAGGCAGTGCTTCTCAACCGTCCTAATGCTGTGACCATTAATACAGTTCCTCATGGTGTGATGACCCCCAACCATAACATTATTTCATTGCTACTTCACAACTGTAATTTTGCTACTGTTATGAATCATAATATAAATATCTGATATTTGATCCTGGGGGGGTCACAACCCACAGGTTGGAAAAAAACCACTGAACCCCTCAAAATGGTGTATTCTGCTGAATGAAACATCATTTGGTAATTTAGTGCGCGCGCGCGCGCGCGTGTGTGTGTGTATGTGTGTGTGTGTGTGTGTGTGTGTTGTTCATTTGTTTGTTTTAAAAGAGTCTCTCTATGTAATCTGGCTGGTCTGGAACTCACTATGTAGACCAGGTGACCTGGAACTCACAGATATTGGCCTGCCTCTGCCTCCCTAGTGCTGGGATTAAAGGCATATGCCACCACATCTAGCCATGATTTTGTTTTCTTTTGAGACTCTGGTGCTGGTGTTGAGCCCCTGACGGTCCATTTCTGCTACATAGGCCATAGTTCCAAAGGTCCCAACGCTTCCCAAGAACAGCACCACCTGCTGGAGACCAAGTGTTCAAGCACATAAGCCTATGGGGGACATTCCACCTCTGAACAATAATGACTCCTTCAAACTGTTTTCCAGCATGTTTTATAATGGGACCAAAAATATTCTTAATACATTATTCCTTGTTATAGCCTAACTTTCCTTTGAGTCATTTTTACTTCTCCATTTATCTCAAATGTCAGGAATGCCAAGCCCTGCGGGCAGTTGTCTCAGTATAGGGATCTAGTAGCGTAGTAACCATTTCCCAAGAGGCCAACAAACACACCACGGTTTGACTAGCTCTGGCTTCACATGTTTCTTTCCCCGTCCCCAGTTCTCCCTCTGTATACTCCTGGATCTATCATCAACACCTTGAGAACAGAGTAAGATGCCAGCTCCTCTGTTCCTTCCCTGTCTTGCTTCCTGACCCTTAACCTCTTTGATGATGAAATCATTCAGTGAGTAACCAGACCTAGCTTCTGGGGCCAGATCTGCTGGAACTGGAGTTATAGATGGTTGCGATCCACTATGTAGACACTCGGAGAAGAACCCAGTTCTTCTGGAAAAGCAACAAGTGCTCATAACTGCTGAGCCAACCCTCTAACCCTGACTGACTTTATACTTTTCTTAAAAAAAGATTTATTTATTTGTCTGTCTGTCTATCTGTCTGTCTGTAGTGTTCTGCCTGCATGTATTGCTGCATGCCAGAAGAGGACACCAGATCTCATTATAGATGGCTGTAAGTCACCATGTGGTTGCTGGAAATTGAACTCAGGACCTCTGCAAGAGCAGACAGTGCTCTCAACCTCTGATCAATCTCTCCAACCCATCTCTCCCCCTTTTTAAGGTTAGGTAGGTGCTACTCAATCTTTCTGAGCTAACAGAATTTCTTCCTTCCTTCCTTTCTTTTTAATTTACCTATTTTGATTTTTTATTGGTGTTTTGCATATATGTATGTCTGTGTGAGGGTGTTGGATCCTGGAGTTACAGACAGTTGTGAGCTGCCATGAGAGTGCTTAGAATTGAACCTGTGTCCTCTGGAAGGGCAGTCAGTTTTTGTAACCACTGAGTCATTTCCAGCCCAGACTTTATACTTCTTATACTTACCCAGGGCACTGGAAACACACACACTACAGGCCTGGCATTGTCAGTGAACAAAGCAACATGGCTTTGCTCTAATTGGAAATACTAAACTCTCTGGAAGCTGAGCCCTTATCTCACCTCCCTGCCTCTTCTTTTCTAAGGATCTCTCTCACAGAGCCTAATGCCACGTAATATGTGCGTTGAAAGTGGAGTGAAACTAGGTTGGCTGTACACACCTGTGTACTCATGTCTCACAGTGTGTCCAACGATCCCACAGAAGACGATCCCACTGGCAACGCCGATGGAGACAGTACTGACGCCACAAGGACAGTTGTGGAAGAGAGAACAATAATGAGCATTTACAAAGAAGACGGTGAGCATAGAAAAGGTGGTAAGGGAGGAAATGGCTTAGGAAGGGGAGGAGAGGCAGTTTCAAACACACAACTCTTTTTTTACACTCAGTTTAGGACAATTATACATAGCTGAGAGGTGTGAAGGAAATGATGTTTGAGGCACCCAAGCAAGTTACTCACTCTTTTCCTTCCTTCTGGCTTCCTGTGCCCCCAACCTCTCTGTCCCTAGATGGCCCAGGAATGCTAGCTGGGATCAGGGTCGACACTCACCGGATCTTGTGGACTTGAGAACAGAAGTCAAATATGTCCACGGCACTTTCCAAGGCATGGGTGATTTCGTCAGGCGCCTTTTCCCCAGGGAAACCAAAGACACAGAGGAAGGAGCACCCCTGTAAGTGAGAGTCAGCAAGCAGCTCTAGTGGCCCCCAGCTGATGGCCTAACCAAGACATGTCACAGCAGTCTTCCCTTTCTGTTTCTGCTACATCTGTCCTATGCCTGGCAAACCAGGTAACTCCTAGGGCGTCATCAGTAGTGAAGCTCCCTTTGTGAAGGACCGACTTTAGCTCTAGAGATGGCTCCTGCTGAGCTACTTGTGTGTACTCACGTCTGCTCTTTCCTGTGGACAAGGCCTTGGGCTTTGAAGCAGGACGTTTAAGTCTAAAGGCACAGCAGGGTGCTGGAAAAGGCACCAGCTTGGGAATAGAACCTGTCAAGATGACTTAGAACATGCCCATCTTTAGTCCAGCACTAGGAGGCAGAGACAGGCAGGTCTCTTGTGAGTTCTAGAAAAGACTGACCTACATAGAAAGTTCTGGGACAGCCTGGAACACAGTGAGACTCTGTCTTTAAAAAAGCTCCCAGGTGTGTGTGTGTGTATGTGTGTGTGTGTGTGTGTGTGTGTGTGCACATGCTTGAGTATGTGTGTTTGTCTGGAGAGATGGCTCAGCCATTTGCAGAGGACCTGGGTTCAGTTCTCAGCACCCACATAGTACTTCTTACTCATCTATGACTCCAGTTCCAAAGTCTGTGATGCTCTCTCTTTTAACCTCTCTGGGCACCATGAATCTTTGTGATGTACAGACACTTATGCAAGAAAAATACCCATACACATAAAGTAAAAAATAACTTTAAACAGATGGCTCAGTGAGTAAAGGCAGACAGACATGGTGAAAGAAAAGAAGTAATTTCTGGAAATTATTTTCTGACTGCCACATACAGACCTTGGCACACATGTGCTCATATGCATATGCTCCTAGAAAATAAAATGATTCAAATTCTTTTAAAAAGATTATCAAGGTATCATGGCACTCAGGAGACAGAGGCAGGCAGATCTCTGAGTTCAAGGCCAGTCTGGCCTACATAGTGAGTTCTAGAACTGTCAGAGTTGCATTGTTGGACCCTGTCTCAAAACAACAATAAAGACTGGTACCCTAGGTTAAATGTCCCATCATCTGTTCCCTCTACCTCGCCAATCAATGTCCTTGGCCTTAAGTGCTAGCCTCACACTACCAGTAAGATTCCCATTCTGCAGTTCGTACTTACCTTATCAAACATGAAGACCTTATTGATCTGGCCTCGGAAGACCTTCAAGACAGAAGTGATGTGCACACAGGCAGCTTGGATGGCTGAACTTATGACTTCCACTTTGTCTTGCTCTTTAAACATTAAGTTTATAAACACTATTGTCACGGGACGAAGCTCAGATAAATAGCCTCGAAGCTGTTTGTCGTCAATCTGCAAGGCAGAGGGCAGCTTTCTGCAGTGTGTGTCCTAGGCAGGAGAGCCTTTCAACACCACTCTAGCCCACACCCCAAGTCACTGCCGGGAAGAAAGCCTTTTGAGACACTGAGGCAACTGAAGCTATCACACTGTGAGATACAATCCACAGCCAGCCCATGGGAAAATGAGAACCAGATCCCATTATCCAAATCTTTTCCATTTATCCCCAGCAAACACACACACACACACACACACACACACACACACACACACACACACACACACACCACTCATCAATAAAGATTTACACAGTTGCTAATTTGGCCAGCAACCGCTCCATTACCAAACAACCAAATCCCTCATGCCAACATGTGACTTCACCGTAAGAACCACTATTACCTTTTGATCTCTTATTTTTCCAGTTAGGTAGAACAATATTATTCTATGTCACTTAACCTTGTACTTTCTTATTCTGGTGCCTTCTGGAATATTTTTAGACTCTATCCCACTATTTTCAGATAAAAATGTAAAACCCAGCGTCAGTGGTTCCATTTTACAGACTAGAAAGCAGAGGCATGGAGAAGTAACACAATTTTTCCAATTCCCTACACTTGGGAGTTGAGGGCATCTGTTCTTTTAAAGGACTATTAAAAATAGGCCCCTAATTCCAGCAGTTTAAAAGAATCACAAGCCTGGGGCTGGAGAGATGGCTCAGAGGTTAAGAGCACTGACTGCTCTTCCAGAGGTCCTGAGTTCAATTCCCAGCAACCACATGGTGGCTCACAACCATCTGTAATGAGATCTGGTGCCCCTCTCCTGGCTTGCAGACATACATAGAGGCAGGATGTTGTGTTCATAATAATAATAAAAAAGAATCACAAGCTGATCAAATGCCTTCCTCTAACTGAAGACAGCTCAAAGCTTCTACAAGGGTGATTAACAGATTGACTAGAACTTCATGGCTATAGAGAGTTGGACTGCTACAGATCCAGATATTGTGTTATCTTTAGACCCCTTAATAACCATCCATTGCCTATCTCTTGAGTCTGGCCTAACATCTTTTTGCTTATCAAGTGAAACCGTTGGAATGTGTTAATTTAACAGATCCCATAGTTCCTAGGCAACCCCAATACTAAGAATAATATTAGAAAACATGGGACCTATGGCACTTTGCTATCATCCACCTGCCTGATATTCCCACCAATATACTTGAAAAATATCTTGATTTATTATTGTCTTTTGTGTAATGCCCATGGAAGACTTTCCATGTTGGAACATATTATTTGGGACAACCTGAATCTCTGTCCCAGGGCCATTATAACTTCTCTTTGAGGTAAGACTTATGTGTTGAGCCAACAAAACTATATATATATATATATATATATATATATATATATATACATATATATATATTTAATTTAGGAACATTTTTTTTACCAGATTCTGTGCTTTGTTTACAATTTTGTCCTCCTTGCTGTTGAAGAGATTCCTGCCACCTCAAAATTGAACACAATGAATTATGAAAATACCTGCTTCAGAATGATTTCCATCACATACTTTTGTAGGGACAATTCAAGTTCAGGGTCAGACTCCAGCATGCAGGCAAGCCTTAGGAAGTCTAAGAGGGCAGAAGGAAAGGGCAAGGTCAGCAATGCTAGAGATAGGAGCCTTCTTGTTCCCATGTCTGGAGCTTTGCTCCTCATGGTTTCTTAAGGAGACCCAGGGACATCGATGATCAAAAAGGACCAAGGTAAGCTGGGTGGTGGTGGCGCATCCCTTTAATCCCAGCACTGGGGAGGCAGAGGGAGACAGATCTCTGAGTTCTAGGCCCCCTGGTCTACAGAGTGAGTCCCAAGCCAGGACAACTAGGTCTACACAGAGAAACCTTGTCTTGAAAGATCCTCATCAAACACATACACACTAAGGGTCAAGGGAAATTCACAAAAGGGTTCTTACAGGTTGTGGACTTCTCTAAATTCAGGTGAGTGTGATGCAGTATCAGGACCAAATTAAAATGCTTTGTAACTTAGATTCTTATTTGTGGATTTGATCTTGAATTTTGTACTGTAGGTTTCTTGGGTGCCTAACTGTATTCTTATGGAAGTTTGATATGAATGGTTGGGGAAGAATTGAATAGAGAAGACAAGAAAGTCAAACACAGCACTCTGACTTCCTCAACACTTAAGGAAAGAGAAGGAAACCAGCTAAAGACTCTGAAGATGGGTAGTTTGGGGGATAAAAGCAAAACTACCAAAATAATGTTAGAACCCCAGGAAAATAGAGAACATAATATCCATGGAATGATTAATCCAAGTCAAGTGTGGCATTTGTGCTACAAGCCCTAGAACTAAAGAAACAGAGACAGGAAGATTGCTAGGGCCTTACCTAGAAAGTTCAATGTCAACTTGGGCAACATAACAAGAACCCACCTCAAAAACAAAACAAACCTGAACTAAATAACAGCAATAACAAAAGCCACACTGGTGTGGCAGCATGCTACTTCCTTTCTCCATAACGAAATTCTAAGTACATAGTCACCTTCCCACCCTGGCTACCAATTCCCATTTACTATCTTTCAAACACCAGTGAGATAAAATATAAAGCATCATTGACTCCTACTTGCCCTCAAACTTCTTGTAAGTTTCTATATATCTGTATTTACATGTTTATTGGTCCCTTCACTCACACATTCACTAGTAGGTGTGTCTTGCACATACCTTGGAAAATGTGTTGGTAATTTAGGGTTGAGGCAAGAGGATCAGCAGTTCAAGGTCATTCTTTGATACATAGAGGGATTGAGGCCAGATGGAGCCACTCGAGACTGTATCAGAAAACAAAACAATAACAAAACCCAGGAGTATTTGGTGTGGCATGTAGCTCGGTGATAAAGCACTTGCTTAGCATGCACAAAGCCCTAGTTTTGATCCTTTACATATAGGCATGGGGGAATTAATCCAAAGTCAACCACCTAGGCAAGGCTGGGGGCTGAGAGTATAGCTCAGGGGTAAGGTAGAACACAAGACCCAAAGCCCTGAGTTTAAGCCAAAGCACTGTTAAGAAACTAACTAAATTAAAACTTCCACATAACAATAATATCCAAAGCCAGTCACCTAGGGTCAACCACCTAGAGTGAAGCTGAGGAAAAGATCACCAGACTCTAGTTCATGGTTGTAACTAGTGGATTTGACACATTCTCAGACATGGGGAAGAAGGAAGAAACTGGATGTCGGGAAAACAAGATAAGTTTAGTGTAAGATGCTGAGGCAGGAGGATAAGGAGTTCAAGGCCAGTTTAAGGTACTTAATGAGACCCTGCCTTCCCCCAAAATAAATTTAGAAATTAAAATTAAATTTAAAACGAAAGCTAGAAGAGTAGGTAAACACCCCTCCAAAGATATATGCAATATACCTTTATTGGGAAATGAAAAGAGGGAATGCAAGAACAGATAAGCACATGACACAAATAGATATATAGAAACTTAGGAGATGTTTGAGGGTAAATTGCAGTCAAAGATGCTTTCCATTTTATTTCATTGATGTTCTGAAGAAAATGGATGGGAATCAGTGCCAGGAGAGGGAGATGGCTAGGAACTCAGAATTGCTATTCTGGAGAATGGGAAGTATATAGTCTTCATGTCAAGGTCAAGGGCCAGAGCTGTGTAAAGAAGTACATCTGCGCCTGGTGGTGGTGGCGCACGCCTTTGAGTCCAGCACTTGGGAGGCAGAGGCAGGTGAATCTCTGTGAGTTTGAGGCCAGCCTGGTCTACAAAGTGAGTTCCAGGACAGCCAGGGCTGTTACACAGAGAAACCCTGTTGTGTATCCACTTGTCACAGAGCCGCTGACGTTGGTCCCTACTGACCACTCCAGAGGCAAAAGGTCCACGCATGGAGGCTACTTACTTTTGTGTTCACCAGAAGGATAATAATCCATGAAGGCCATACACTTGGTGAAAAACTCATCAAAGTTAAAAGTAGGGGGTGGTTTTAAGAAGCTAACCTGGATAAAACAAACAGTAAAATTCCAGTTATTCTGAGGGCTGTATGACTTTGGGGATATCATCTTGCAGTAGAACAGTATGCTCTTGAGTGTCTAGGACATGACACACAGTGACTGGCACACTTGGGGATGTTCAGTTTTTATTTTCTTTGAGACAGAGTCTCACTCTGTGGCTCAGAATGAATGATGTACCATAGCTGGCCCCTTGGACTTCTGGCCATCCTTACATCTTGGTCTCTCGTATGTTAGAACTACAGGTATGACCCACAAAGCCCATTCAGCTGTTATTATTATTACTAATAGTAGCTGTGACAATGTTTTTCAGAATAGTGGATTGTTTGAGACAAGATCTTACTATGTAGTCCTGGATGACCTAGTTGGCCTGGAGCCCACAAAGATCCACTTATCTCAGCTTGCTGAGTGCTAGGGTTAAAGGCAAGTGCAATCTTGTCATGCCTAGTAAGGCCACGTTGCCAGGCCCAGTACAGGGGATTGAACCCAGGGCCTTACAGTCCTCCACTATGCTACATCCACACCCTGTTTACTTGTGTGTTTGTTGTTTGAGATAAGCTCTTGCTAACTAGCTCAAGCTAGTCTCTGATTTGGAAGGCTAGGTTCTCCAGAGCTAGGACTATAGGATGTGTCTGAGCATCAGGTTACAAAGCATAATTTTGAATTGAGGCAGGCTGCAGTTGCCAGTAGTGCATGCCTGTAATCCTAGCTACTTGGAACGATGAGGCAGGAAGATCAAAAACGTAAAGATTTCCAGTGCTACAAAAGACAGTCAAGGACAACCTTGGCTACTTTGAGACTCTGCCTCAAAAAGAAAATACTAAAATGCTGGGGCTGTAGCTCAGCGAGATAGGGTACTTGCCTAGCATGTGTGTGGTTCTATTCATCAGTACTATCCAACAAGATTCTGTTGAAATTTTAAAGGCTCATGGGCATAGCTCACACGGAACATATGCTTAGCTCCTAAGTCCTAGGTTCAATTTTTAGCTTAAAAAGAACAGAAGAAGTTTAAATTTCTTTTCAATAACTTTTTAAGACCTCAAGGTCAGTAGATACACACACAAAGGGCCACCCCTTTATAGTTTTCTACCCTGAGGATCTTTCTTCTTCTCTAACTCTTTCTGAGCATTTATTTTCTGTTTTGTTTTTCGAGGCAGGGTTTCTCTGTGTAGCCCTGGCTGTACTGGAACTAGCTCTGTGGACTAGGCTGGCCTCAAACTCACAGAGATCTGCCTGCCTCTGCCTCCCAAGCATTGGGATTAAAGGCTTGAGCCACCACCACCCGGCTCTTTCTGAACATTTTAATTCAAATAAAACCTGAGAAAAACACATGTCCTTTTTTCTCCTCTCTTTTCCCTTTCCTACCATCTCTCCTTCCCCCTCTTCTTTCTCTCTCTTCTTTTCTTTCTACAGTATGATACAAAGTTGGAGGTTATTATCCATTGAAGTCTGGTTATTAGGTAGAGACAGCCTCTTAGAGAAATGACAGTATACACCCAAAACAGGAGTGCAGCCTTCCCAGGAGAGATCCTCACCCCATTTCTTTGTTAGAAGTGTTTAAAAACAAAGAGTGTTAATTCCCCACCCCAAAGTTCTCAGGAAAACCATGAATTCTGTAGTATGATACAATAGGACTGGCATGTCCTCTAGTCTCTGGTATTCCTGCCTCCCAAGATGCAGTAACTTAGTCCAACAAACATGAAGGCACCAGGCAAAACCAGATGGGGTATACCTGGCAAATGGCTGACAGCCCACCAGGGTTAGGAGGTTGTTGGGTAGAGAAAATAAGCACTACCATTCAGGGGGTACACATACAATCTCAGCAGCCTGGATGGGATGTGGAGACAGAAGATCAGTTGTTTAAGGCTATCTTTAGCTATATAATGACTTTGAGGTTAGAGTGGGCTATGTGAGACCCTGTCTCAAATGAGGGCCAGACCTTACAACTCCGGGCTGGCCTTAGACCATCCCATAGTGCATTTACTCTCAGTGGGGGTGGGGAGCATTTCCTTCTTTAGTTCACCAGCCCTGGCTCCTCCCACAGGACTTGTCCTTAAGCTAACCCAGACTCTGGAGTCAGCCTGCTGGCACACACTGGCAGCCGCCACACTCTCACCTTAACTGCTCTCTGATCCGGAATCCTCTCGATTTCAATCATGCTCCGGTCACAGAGCTGCCAGCAGTTTGGTGACAGAATAACATCATTCATATGGGCCATGTTCTGTGCAAGGCGCACATCATCTACGGCCTGGCCAGTCACCAGAAAGTAGTTGCGAGTTTCATCCCCAAAGACCAGCATGGTGATGTGGCCGGCAGCCAGTCCTGAAGAAGGAAAGCAATGGGTTTGCACAAGTTCTGGGTTACTTCCCAGAAGCACTGGGCCTTGGAAAAATCAGAATCTTGATGTGACACGACCTCTAAGCAAAGTCTTATGGCACTGCTGAATTTATGTAATGACAAACTACCTACCCTCTATTGTACTTAATGTTTGCTATAGAAGTTTGACAAGCAGCAAGAGATACCAATAATATTAATTCCTCTATTGAGTGCTTGTTACAACATGCAAACCTTATGTGGCTCAGGCTGTCTGTAAACGGTATACAAGCCGAGGATAATCTCCTTACTATCAATACAAGATCTCATGTAGTCCAGGACGGCCTCAAACTTGCTAAATTAATTGTCAAGGATAACTTTGAACTTATCTTCCTGCTTCCACCACCCAAATGATAGAATTAAAGTCATGCACCATCACACCTGGTTTGTGAAGCATCAGGAATTGAACTCAGAACGTTGCACATTGTACTCTTGCAACTGAGCTACACCACTGGTTATCTTTTTTTTTTTTTTTTTTTTTTTTTTTTTTGGTTTTTCGAGACAGGGTTTCTCTGTGGCTTTGGAGGCTGTCCTGGAACTCACTTTGTAGATCAGGCTGGCCTCGAACTCACAGAGATCCGCCTGCCTCTGCCTCCCGAGTGCTGGGATTAAAGGCATGCGCCACCAACGCCCGGCTCACCACTGGTTATCTTAACACTTCTCATCCTCTTGCCTCATCTGAGTACTAAGATTATGTGTTTCTTGGGATTCAGGGTATCTTGAAGGCTAAGCAAACTGTGTTATATCTCCAATCCCAAAAGTATTTATGTCTTGAGACAAGGTTCCCTCTATAGCCTAGGCTGGTCTCAAACTCACAATAGTTTCCTGTCTTGAGTGATAAAACTATAGACATGTAACATCACATCTAGTCTACTTTCCTTTTGTAATATACTACTATATAGACATCATGATCATCTCAAATTCTCTTAAATGGTTGGTGAGTAAGCACAAGTTTGTATTCTGGTCAGCCTGATTCCAACTTCAAAGCACAATGGTAGGATCAAGCCAGCCTGTTCTAGGAGGAACCGGATCCCAACTGCTATAGCATCCGATCTTTCCCCAATGCTTGCTTACCTTTTGTTTGCTTATTTTTGAGGTTGTCTTGTTATGTGACCTGGGCTGGCCTCAGACTCCCAGCTATCCTCCTGCCTCAGCCTCCCGAGAGTTGGGATTACAAGCATACACCCTGGCTCCATACCTATTTTGACTCGGATATCCAGGCCTTCTTCAACCTCCTTGGCCTCAAACAAGCCATGGATCTCCAGACTGCACTTTACCACCACCGTGATGATGTTTTTCAGTTGCTTCCGTTCCACTTTCCACAGGGCCAGCAGTGCGTCACCTGTAAGAGAGGCTCTGGGAGCTTTAGTCTTGCCCTGGGCATCAGTGTACTACTGTGCATGAACATTGCATAAGCTTGTGCTGCTGCAAATATTTCTCAACCCAGTCCCTGGCCACGACTCCCTGAGGTGCCTCCTTTGTAACAGGGCAGGCACCTCAGTTCTTCCTTCCTACCCTTCCCATCTCAGTCAGCTTCCATACCTGCAAATTTTAGGATGTCTCCTCCAAAAATCAGCACTTCTAAAAGAGAAAGAAAGAAAAGTTAAGTCACACTGATTCTTTAGTGAACATTGCTCATTAATGAAATAGAAGCAGGTTTGGGAGCATGGTTGCATATGCCTGCACTCTTGGCACTTAAGAGGCTGAGGCAGAAGAATCATTGTGCATTTGAGCTCAGATTGGGCTACATAGACCCTGTCTCTGAGGAAGATAGATAGACAGAAGAAACTAGAAAGAGGGTAGCAAGAATAGTAATTCAGAGAATATGTTTCTATCAAACATGTCTTATTACTTCCATGTAGGCCTGCCTCCTCAGCTACAGTACAGTGAGCACCACAATCAAACCATGTCTGTGCTCTAGAAAGCAAAAACAACAAAACAGGAAGCAGGAGGACAGAATTCCCCTCAAGCCCTAAGAATCATTGCCCTCCTCCCAGTGGATAAGAATACTCTTCTAGCTGGGCGTTGGTGGCCCATACCTTTAATCCCAGCACTTGGGAGGCAGAGATAGGTGGATCTCTGTGAGTTCGAGGACAGCCTGGTCTACCAAGTGAGTTCCAGGACGGGTGGGTCCAAAACAATACTGAGAAACCCTGTCTCGGAAAAAAAAAGCAAAAAACAAAACAAACAACAACAACAACAACAAAAGAATACTCTTCTATAGGACAGCCTTTAAGGGAGCATGGCCTGGTGGATGAATGACAAGACTCCCCAAGAAGAGGAGTAAGGAAATGGGCTCTATTGGTTGTCATAATGTAAGTAGATCTTTGTGTTTGCTGGTTTTGTTTTAGTGTTGGGGATGAACACAGAGCATGTCAGTCAAGTTAGGCCAGGGTTCGAGGGGTTCTCTCTCTCTCTCTCTCTCTCTCTCTCTCTCTCTCTCTCTCTCTCTCTCTCTCTCTCTTCTCTCTCTCTGTGTGTGTGTGTGTGTGTGTGTATTTATAAGTGCATGCAGGTATCTACAGAGGCCAGAAGAGACCATTGTGTCCCCTAGAACTGGAACTGGAGTTATGGGTGGTTGTGAGATGCCCAATGTGGGTGCTCGGTGCTGGTGCTGGGGATTGATCTTCTACAAGAGCAGCAAGAACTCCTAAGCTCTTCCTAACCCCCCTAATGCAGGCTCACCTAAATCTCACTGTGTGGCCTAGACTAGGTTAGAACACAACCATTTTCCAGACTCAGCCCCACAAGTGCTAGGATTAACAGATGTGAACCATTACCTGATCTGCTCTCCCGAGGGGTGGGTGGGTTTGTGTGTGTCTGTGTGTCTGTGTGTGGGGGTGTTTGCTGGTAATGGAACTTAGGGCCTCAAGCATGTGTTGCATGCTGGGAAAGTACTCTACTAGTATGTTTTTTGGAGTTTTGAGATAAGTTTCGTAACAGACTAGCTGGAAACCACTATTTTTTTCAGGTAGCTTCCCGTTTATGTTCCTTATACCCCTGTTTCCCAAGTCTTGGGGTTGTATGTTTTGTTTCTGTTTTTAGGGAACATTAGCCTGGTTAACAGCTCTGGCTACTTTTCCAGAGGACCAGGTTTGATTCCCAGCACCCACATGGCAACTCATAAGCATCTGTAACTCCAATTCTAGGGAATCTGACACCTTCTTCTGGCATCTGCAGGTGGCAGGCATGCATGTGGCACTCAGATACCCACGCAGACACAGTACCCATACACAAAATGAAACAATAATAAATACTTTTTAAAGAACATTGACCTAGATATAGTGATGTGTTCCTATAATCTCAGTATTGGGAAGCTGAGGCAAGAGGATTGATTGCCTTGAGTTCAAGATCATATCTATGGAAGTCCCAAGCCAGCCTTGGCTATAGACTCAGGTCTTTATCACAAAACATACTTTCTCTCATGTAGTCTTAGTGAGACTTGATCACATTCATTTAGTTGTAATATAGCATATTAAAAGTACTGATGACTGTACTGGTTTGTTTTTTCTTGTTGTGATAAACATCATGATCGAAACGACTCCGAGAGGAAAGAGTTTATTTTAGCTTGTATTTATAGTCATCATAAAGGAAAGTTAGGACAATAGTTCAATCAGGAATACGGAGGCAGGTATTGAAATAGAGACCACAGAGGAGTGTTGCTTATTGACCTGTTCTCATGGCTCATCCAGATTTTATATATATATATAACAACTCAGGACCACCTGCCCAGGGGTAGCAGCACCACAGTGGGCAGGTATCTCCCACGTCAATTACTAATCAAGAAAATGTCCCACAGACTTGCCAACAGGCCAACCTGAGGAAGGCATTTTCTCAATCAAAGTTTCTTCTTCCTAGGTGACTCTGGCTTGTGTCAAGTTGACAAGACAGAACAAAACAAAACACTGCTTACCAGAAGGATGGCATATTCATGAATATGAATATGAAGAACTCTAAGTCACTGTACTCTACTAGTCAAATACCGACAAAGCAATGGCTTGAAATGTTCTCTAGCAAAACCTGAGCACACTTACTCTCCACTATCGCACTTATGTAGTAGTTGAGGATCTCCACCAGCTGCTCGGCCCCTCGATCCATGTACATGGCCGTGCTGAACTTTTCAGTCATCGCAGTAAAACCTGTAAGAAACTGCAGCTGGCTTCCTTCGAGTCAAGCAGAGCCAGCAGAGGGCTCCACTAGCCCGAAGTGGGCTCGACAGTACTTCAAAGAACCTTTGTGTCTGGACAGGCATTAGCCATGCAGCACTTAATAGGTAGGGGTCAGGAGGAGTCATCTTTTCTTTCTAGGTATCCAGTGATGATGGCATGTTGTTGGAAATGAAAGGTTTTGCTCCATGGCTTACAGGCCACACTTTTTTGAAATTCTTCTGAAGAGACATGTTTAGTATGAGGATATAAACACAGTAGATCATCTCCTGAGTTTGTCAGGAATGTGTGTGGGACTTGGAGGACAAGACTGTGAAATTGGGGCAGGGACGCTGGAGTCAGAAGTCCCACATGGGGAACTTGAGTGTCTTAAAGACATACCTGTGAGTGAAAGCTGGAGGAAGGGAAGATGAGAGACACCTAGGGGCAGAGGTCATTTTCTTTCTAGTGTACACAGTGATACTAGCCACCTCAATCACAACCTGCATGTGACTTCTGATGTAAGCTTGCTGCTCAAGCGCTTTAAGCAAACATCCCTTTTTCACTTGCCTGAAATATCAACAAACATCAGAACTCCATCAAAACATTTCACTGACGGCCGCTCTGGAGAGAAATCTCCGTAGACAATGAGGTCTGGTAAGTGAGCTGCGATTTTGACGATGGCTCGGTCTTGTAATTGCTCCCTTCGAACACTCATGTTCAAGGATAACTGTCAGGATTTTCCAGCTCCAGGAAGCTGTCCCCAACTAAGTCTTCTAGAAACAAAAGTTGGGAAAGGAAGAACCCTAATGTGTGCTTTTGTTTCTTTACCTATTTTTCTCTAGTGGCTACTGTTCCACCCCTTGGATGGCTTACTTAAATGACAATGTCAGAATTGGTGACACACTGGTGTCACCAAACAGCTTCCAAATCATGACCCAGAGACTTAGTATCAGTTTTGAATGCTCTGTCTAGCTTAGGCACATGTCTAACTAGCTCTTTTAACTTCATTTGTTTCTCTTTATCTACCTTTTGCCTCAGGACTTATTCTTCTATATATCTTACTTTCACTGCTTCTCTATGTTTGCCTGTCTTTCTGTCTGTCTGTCTGTTTGGTGTCTGCCTGACTTTTTACCCTGGCATGTGCCCCTATCTCTATCCTTCTTCTCTAGTTCCATTTCCAGCCTTGATTTCTCCTCCTATTTATTCTCTCTGCCTGCCAGCCCTATGTATCTTTTCTCTGTCTAGTTATTGGCTGTTCACCTCTGTATTAACCAATCAGGTGCCTTAGGCAGGCAAGGTGAAACAATTGCAGCACATCTTTTCATAATTAAACAAATGCAACATAAACAAAAGTAACACACCTTTACACGGTTAAAGTAATAGCCTACGGCATAAACAAATGTAACACATCTTTGCCCAGTTAAAATAATAGTCTACAACAGTGTGGGGGACAGCAGCACTGTTCAATCTACCCAGATTCCATTTTCTCTTGTTTCCTTGTCCTTCATCCTCTTTTGGCCTGCTTTCTCTTCTCCTTTATAGAAATAAAACACAGATGTGAGTTCTTGTGGGTACATACTGACACGTGGGTTATTAGGTTATCTGTAAGCAAGAGATTAAGTAAATCAAGCTATCATGTTAAAGGAAGAGTCAGAGAGCTCGAAAGGGTGGGTGAGGGCGTGCAAGCAACAGTTGGAAGGCTGAAAGGGTTTAAGTTGTAAGTGGGAGGGTATGTTGACATTTCCTTTTACTGCCAGTTGGCTCTCAGAAATTAGTATTGACTAAGACCTTCCTTTAGGTGGGGACATCAAATGTTCAAACTCAAGTGAGGTTAAAAAAGAATCTCTAGCAGTGTCCCCATCTCCAGCAGGTATTCCTTGGGAACCTGCCTGCCACACAGGGAGGGGAAGCAGGTAGGCTAACTGTGAATCTTCACCTCTCCCTCCTCTCCTCCAAATCTAATACCCCAGTCTCACCCCTGCCCCATGTAGCAGACCATCTGCTTTGGTGTCCCCCCACCCTGCCCCCATCTCCAGTGGGTCACATAGATTTTTTTTCTCTAACCTTCCTTCTCCCAACTCCTTCCTGTATCCCAGGGCCTGTCTCCAGCAGGATTGATTCCCCTAAGGAATGTTCAGGTGAAGCCTGCCAGAGAAGCAGGCAGGCCAATGTGACAGGTAGGCAAGTTTCAGACCTTCATACTCCCCAATTTTCTCTAAATCCAGTTGTACCCCCTCCCATCCCCAGCTCTGCAGCAGATATCTGCTGTGGCCTCTGCTCAGTCTCTGCCCCCATTTCCAGGGACTAAGCAGACCCTGGTAGAACACCCTGTTTTCCTCCCTCCAATGGACCCCTTCAGCCCTCTAGCCCATCCCCACTCTTAAGTAACAGCTCCTAATACCCAGAAACACATTGTACCAGGGACCCCCCCAGTGGCTACACCTATCAGGACCCCAAAAGAATTTTCTACCAGTTAACACACATCTATCACCACACTCTCCTAAGAACCAGGAAGGGAAACAGAAGTCAAGGGACAAAACACCTACCCAATAAAGACCAGACCAGATATCAGCACTAGAATTACAATCTTCCCAATCCCAGATGCCTAGACACCAGCACAAGAACACAATAGCCAGGACAATATGTCTCCATTAGAGCTGAGCAGCTCCTATGTAGCAGAGGCCCTGAATATTCCAACATAGCAGAAAGCATAAGAATGTCTTTGTGAATATGATAGAGGTCCTTAAAGAGGAAATGAATAAATCCACTAAAGAAATCTGTGAAAAAGACAAACAGTAGAAGGAAATAAATAAAACAGTTTAAGATCTGAAAGAGGAAACAATCAACAAAGAAAACCTAAACTGAGAGAAATCTGGGAATGAAAACTTAACAGACACCTCAGACACAAGCCTCACTAACAGAAGACAATAGATTGAGAAGAGACTCTGAGGGAAAAATAAAAGAAATGAGTATTTCATTCAAAGAAAATGTTAAATCTAAAAAACTTTAGGCACAAAATATCCAGGGAACCAGGGACACTTTGAAAAGACCAAACCTTTGAATAGTTGGAATAGAAAAAGAAGAAACCCAGGCCAAAGGCACAAAAATATTTTCAACAAACTCATAGAAGATATTTCCCTAACCTAAAGAAGAAGATGCCTATCAAGGTATACAGAACAAGAATACAGAACACCAAACAAACTGAACCAGAAAAGAAATTCTACTGGGAATATAATAATCAAAATACTACATGAACAGAACAAAAAGTGAATATTAAAAGTTGCAAGGGAAAAAGACCAAGTAACATGTTGTAGGAATTTAGGAGAATCACTGTATTGGGGTAGACATTAGAATGAACAGCTGTTTTTTTAGAAGTACTTTGATCTTGAAGAACCATTGTGGTGGTAAAAGGTAAAGCATCCTTGTGGGTAACAGTGATTATTTTCTGTGATTTGTAGAGTTGCATTACTGAAGGGGCATTGCAGCCATGGACACAAGACGCCTCTGGCACACCTGAGGCACTTGTATTATTGTGTATTGCAAATGATACATAATAAAGGACTATGGTCATGAGGGCATGTAATGCTACTTTATTTAGTAAGACATGTAAATTAGATTAGGGACCTTGGTATGTGGAAATTCTTTGTGTAACAATCAATAAATACACCTTTGTATGGTTGTCAGGGTTCAGTCCATCAGAAACGCTTGACCTTCCTGCTGCTGCCTTGGCCTTAAAATTTCGTCTTGGAGTGACCTCTTTCTTCAACTGACCTGCACTACACAGCGCACCCCGACATTGACATATAAACATTAGAATAACACTGACTTCTCAGTGGAGACCCTAAAAGCCAGAAGGGCCTGTACAGATGTGCTTCAGACTCTAAGAGATCCCAAAGTCATAGCACTAAGTGTCTACCTAAAGAAACTGAGGCGTTCTCATACTAGTAATGTAATAGCAAGCCGGGCGGTGGTGGCACACGCCTTTAATCCCAGCACTCTGGAGGCAGAGACAGGCAGATCTCTGTGAGTTCGAGACCAGCCTGGTCTACAAGAGCTAGTTCCAGGACAGTCTCCAAAGCCACAGAGAAACCCTGTCTCGAAAAACAAAAAAAAACAAAAAAACAAACAAACAAAAAAAGGTAATATAATAGCACACATGAAAGATCTAGAACAAAAAGGAGTAGACAGGAAGAAATAAACTCAGGGCTTAAAATCAATAAAATAGAAACATAAATAATACAAAGAATCAGTAAAATAAGAGTTTATTCTTTGAGAAAATCAATAAGATTGAGAAACCCTTAGTCAAATTAACTGAAAGGTAGAGAGAGAAGATCCAAATTAACGAAATTAGAGATGAAAAGGGGGATATAAAAACAGGCACTGAGGAAATTCAGAGAATCACAAGGGCATACTTTAAATCCTGTACTCCACCAAATTGGAAAATCTAAAAGAAATGGATACTTTTCTCAATATATACCAACTATCAAAGTTAAATCAAGATCAGATAACCAATTTAAACAGATCTATAACCCCTCATAAAATAGAATAAGTAATCAAGTCTACCAACTGAAAAAAGTCCAGGGCCAGATGGTTCTAGCACAGAATTCTACCAGACTTTAAAAGAGGAGTTAATACCAGTACTCCTCAAATTAGCCTACAAAACAGAAACAAGGAATATTGCTCAATTTGTTTTATGAGGCCACAGTTACCTTGATACCTTAACCACATAAAGACCCAACAAAGGAGAATTGCAAACCAAATTCACTTATAAACATAGATACAAATATTCTCAATAAAATATTTGCAAACTGAATTCAAGAACACATCAAAAAGATCATTCACCATGATCAAGTAGGCTTCATCACAGGGATGCAGGTATAGCTTAATATACATAAATTGATAAATGTAATCCACCATATAAACAATCTGAAAGACAAAAACTGCATAATCATCTCATTAAAAGGAGAAAGGACGGCCAGGCGGTGGTGGCGCATGCCTTTAATCCCAGCACTCGGGAGCCAGAGACAGGTGGATCTCTGTGAGTTCGAGGCCAGCCTGATCTACAGAGCAAGTTCCAGGACAGCTTCCAAAACAATACAGAGAAACCCTGTCTTGAAAACAACAACAACAACAACAAAAATTCTAGCAGGGAACTCCTACAGCCTACAGATGATAAATTGTTTCATCAAAGTACAAAATAGGATACAAAACTAACTCACAAAGATCAATATATACAAATGACAAATGGACTGAGAAAGAAATAAGGGAAACACCCTTCACAGTAGCCTTAAAAATATAAAATATCTTGAGGTAGCATTATTCAAGCAAGTGAAAGACTTACATAATAAAAACTTTAAGACATTGAAGATGTCAGAGATGGAAAGATCTCTCATGCTCATGAATCAGTAGTAAAATAGTAAAATGGCCATCTAAACAAAATCATTCAACAGATTCAAGGCAATTCCTATCAAAATTCCAACACAATTCTTCAAAGATCTTCAATATAATTTTCAGCTTCATATGGAAACACACACACAAACAACTACAAACAACAACAACAAACAAACAAGATAGCTAAAACAATCCTGAATAATAGAAGAACTGCTGGAGGTCATGCCACCCCCAAATGCAAATTGTACTACAGAGCTATAATAATAAAAACATCATGGTATTGGCACAAAAATAGATACCTTGATGAATGGGATCGAATTGAAGACCCAGACACAAATCCACACACGTATGGGCACCTGACTTTTTATTTAAAAGTCAGAAACACACATTAGAAAAAAAGCAGTATCAGGCTGGAGAGATGGCTCAGCAGTTAAAGGCTAGGCTCACAACCAAAAATATAAGAAAAAGACAGCATCTTGAACAAATGGTGCTGGTTAAACTGGATGGCTGCATAAAGAAGAATGAAAATAGATCCATACTTATCACCCTGCACAAAACTCAACTCCAAAAGGATCAAAGAATCAACATAAGACCAGATACACTGAATCTGATAGAAGAGAAATTGGAGAACAGCCTTGAACTCATTGGCACAGGAAAAGACTTTTTGAACAGAACACTGATAGCACAGACACTAAGATCAACGATAAATAGGACCTCACGAAAGTGAAAAGTTTCTACATGTCAAAGGACAGTATTATTTGCACAAAGTAGCAGCCTACAGAATGGGGAAGGATTTTTACCAACTACACATTCAGCAGAGGGTTAATATCCAAAATATATAAAAAATTTATAAACTGGATATCAAGAAAATAAATAATCCAATTTAAAAAACGGGCTAAGGATCTAAACAGAGAATTCTCAAGAGAGGTTACTCAAATGGTTGAGAAGCACATAACGGAATGTTCAACATCCTTAGCATCAGGGAAATACAAATAAAAACTACATTGAGATTTGAGATTTCATCTTATACCAATCAGAAGAGCCAAGATCAATAAAAAAAAATGACAGCTCATGCTAGTGAGGATGTGGAGTAAGGGGAACACTCATTCACTGCTGATGGGAGTGCACACTTGTACAGCCACCATGGAAACAGTAGGTTAGTTCACATGCCCAGTGGTAGATGGCCAACAGAAAATAAAATTAAGAACATCTTTGGAGGTTCCTTTTCTCATAATGCCATGCTAGGACTTCTGTTTTTAATTTTTTTAAATCTTATTTTATCCTTTTCTTTAAAATTTGTTTTTCTTAAGACTGTGTTTCTCTGTGTATCTCTGGCTGTCCTGGAAATTGCTCTGCAGACCAGGCTGGCCTTGTACTCAGAGATCTGCCTGCCTCTGCTGGAATTAAAGGTGTGCTCTACCACCACCCAGCTATTATATTTTATTATATATTATATTATATATATTTATATGTAATATATGAAATATATTAGAATATACTTTATATATTCACTATACATACATATATACACATAAATATGTATATATGCATATATATATTATTTTTTACCCTATAGGAATTGCATGTATATATGACTTCTGGTTTTGTGTCTTTGTGGGAATCCTGAATGGATCTCTGCATCTGTATTTATTTCTTGTGTCATTTCTTGGGTGCTTCTCCTTCTGCTTACTTTGTCCTTTTCTAATTTGTTTGTTTTTGTTTTAGATGTCAGTTTCTTTTCTAAGGAGAGGCAGAAAAGGGAGGGTCTGGATGGGCGGGGAGGTGGGTGTGGGGAGGAGGTGGGAGGCGTGGGGGGGAGGGGAAACCATAATCAGAATATATTGTGTGAATGGGGGAAATCTATTTTCAATCAAAGAAAAACAACAACAAAATTCCAACAATGCAAAAACTCACAAGCCCCGCCCAAAAAACAAAGCAGAGCCAAACAAAACAGAAAGAAGGAAGAAATGCAAAAAGGAAAATGAAATCTACTCTGCTGGTCTGAGCAGTGCTGGCCTCAGAGTCTTCAGAGGAAGCCTCATTCCTGGAAAAGGTTGCACAGGACAGAATAGGAAGCACAGCTGCTAACTTGGGGTTGGTTCCCAGTCAGCAGGAAGGAACTGCCCTACCAGAAAAATAGAGTAATCACATATGTTTCTTAATATTTTTAAGAAGTGAGGGAAACATTAGCCTACTTGGCGTACTTGAAAATGTCTAGAGACCTCTAAAATGAGTATTTCCATGCTATATGACTAGAGATATTTTAAAGATAAAAATAAAATCTGGATCTGGGAATTGGGGGCATGACTCAGTGAGTTCAGCATGCAAGTGAACTGGGTTCAATTCCTAACACCAAGATAATACGTAAATAGCAAATATAACAGAGACTTGGGGAAGATGCTAGAGCTAGAGCTAAGACGGCCTCAGGGTATATAAACTGATGATATGACCACTCCATGATATGGTTAAGGGGGAGGTTTTTATTGTAGATAGGAAGAGAGAACAATCAGAAGCATCTGAAGAGTCCAGAACAGGGATTGGACATGTTTAGCAGACTGGAGAGAGAGAAAGAGAGAGAGAGAGAGAGACAAAGACAGAGACAGAGACAGAGACAGAGAGGAGAGAGAGACAGAGACAGAGACAGAAACACACACACACACAGAGAGAGAGAGAGAGAGAGAGAGAGAGAGAGAGAGAGAGAGAGAGAGAGAGAGAGAGAGATTGAAAATTGCAGGGTTATAAGGAGAATGAGTAGCTGGGGAGAAGGAGAGAAGGACTAGGATGCTAGCTTGGACTCTGAAATGTGTAACTGGTACTTGTGATAGTGAGGGAGCCTGGAGGTCAACATAGTCATCACAGACAACCCATTTGTTCCTTCTGTCACTGATAAGGGCAATGATTTCTTTTGGTAATGAGCAACAGGCTTCATAAGTTCTATCTAACCACTAGAAATCCTCCTATAATCCAGAACTGTCTTTTAGAGTTTAGGATTGATTTAGTTGATCTGATTGGCTAGGCGGGTATCTCCTTTCTCCCTCACTGCTCCACTCAAGTCCATTCCAAAGCTCAGATTAGGTTGGTGGAATAGGACGGTAGGTCTTCAGTCAAGGATATAAGAGTACCTGCATTCCCCTGCCAGAACCTTCAAATAAGCTCTCAAATGCACATGGCATTTGCCTATAATTCCAATACTTGGGAGGCAGAGACAGCAAGAACCACATGGCCAAAGCTGCCAAGTTCTGCTGCTTACTAGGGCTAGAACATGCCCCCCTTGTTCAACTACATTTTTACCAGTTTTCTGTTTTCCATGGTTACCTTTACTGTTTGAGTTTGGCTGTCCTTCAACTTGCTCTGTAGACCAGGCTGGCCTCAAACTCAAAGTGCTGGGATTAAAGGCACTACCACACACCTGGCTCTAAGATTTTCTTCAATTCCTTTTCACAGGTTGGAATCTGGAGGACATTACTAAGTGGAATATGCCAGGCACAGAATGATAAATACTGCATGATGTCACTCATGTATAGAATCCCAAAATACTGAACTTGTGTAGGTAGAGAATGCATTTGTGGTTATCAAGGCTTGGGACATGGTAGAGGAATAAGATTTTGGTAATGGTATAAAGTTTTAGCTAGATAAGACTGAACAAGTTTTGAAAATCTAATGTACACTGTGGTGTCTTGTGGAATAGTATTTTAACTAGGCAAAGGTGTGTTACATTTGTTTATGCTGCAGAATATTACTTTAACTATGAAAAGATGTGCTACTTTTGGTTTTGCTGCATTTGTTTAATTACATAGAGACGTGTTGCATTTGTTTCTTTCACCTTGCCTGTCCAAGGCACCTGACTGGTCTAATAAAGAGCTGAATGGTGAATAGCTAGGCAGGAGAGGGATGGGCGGGACGGAGTTGACACTGCTACAGTGACTACAGGTAGTTATGTATGCAGCACTTGTAAAATGCTAATTTTTTTGAAAGAGGAGTGTGATAATCTTGCTGTATGAGGTTATGTGGGTGTTTACTGCCTGATTTAATAATCACAATTTATTATGAAACTATACCTACAGCCTCAAAATATCTTATCAAGGCTGAGAACATAGCTTAATGTCTTGGATTTGATCACTAGAAATAGACTACAAAAGTGCTAAAGTAGTTACCTTTAAATGGTGCTTGACATTTCTCTCTTGCAGGCAATTTCAAGGTCCTTGTCTCAAAAGATTTTGCTCAGGGTCCAAAAAGAGATGCCACAATAAGCGCAGAGTCTAAGGCTGAGGGCTATAGGAAAGAATCTTCTCAAACCATGTTATTCTATACATGTGCTCTTTGTTGTACTCTCTATGGTTCTCTTTTCTAATTCTTTTGTCCTAATGTCTATAATTTTTAGCTCTAATTCTCTGCCTCAACTTTAATTCTGTTTCATTTTTTTCTTTTACGTTTTTTTACTTCCTTATTTTTCCTACATAATTATCCTTTTATATTTCTGCCAGCTTTTTCCTCCAGCTACTACCTCCCTAGTCCTCTTTCCAAATCCCTCGTCCCTCAGAGAAGCAAAAGATAATAATTACAGAGATAGGGTTTTTTCATATTGAAAGTTTTATTGAGGGGGAGGTAAGAAAATACGGGAAGGAAAGAGAATTGAGGTAGAGACACAGAGACAGAGAGAGGACAGAAGAGAAGGGGGAGGGGTAAGAGCCAGGAAAAGTCCTGTCTGTCCCTTCAGAGGAACAGCAGGAAAGAGAGCCAGAGTGAGTCTTTTACTGGTCAGAAGCACATTCTTAAGCTAAGCAATACAGGTAGAGCCATTGTCACAGCAATATAAGGTTCCAAGGCCATAGGAACCAGACAGGGAGGGCACAGTGCCCAATGACAACTTTAAGATTCAGATCTATGGTTAGTAGACTGGCAAGTGAAGAATTGGCATGCTTTTCTTAATAACCTTGGTTGGACATTTGTGACTCTGACCTTGTACATAGTTATAAGGTTTCAAACTTATGATCTATTTACAAAATGCCTTTAGTCTGAACTTGCTCTAAAGTGAAAGTGAGTTAATTGTGTGCAGTTAGTCTGAGTAAGAGAACAAGGCAGGCTATGAGTCCACAGTCCTTGTGGGACAAATAGATCTGCATATGAGGCATGTCCCAGTATATATTCTATATGTCAAAATTATATAGCCAAAGAAAAGTCATCTAGACTAGATAATGTGCCCAGCAGATGGAATGTTTTCACCAGATAAACACACAAGCAGTGGGAAAACACCCAACGCTATTCTAGGGAAGAAGTGTAGTTCTTAGGGACGAATGAAGTGACTCATGAGAGAAATTACAGACAGGAGCAACTGGTCTCCACAGCCAGTGATCCCATGGCCTTGCCAAGTGGGGTTACTCCATCAGGAATCATGTGTCTGGTGGGTTGACCTGTGAAACACTACTTAATACCTGCTGTAGCCGGGCGTTGGTGGCACACACCTTTAATCCCAGCACTGGGGGGGGGGGGGGAAGAGGCAGGCAGATCTCTGTGAGTTTGAGGCCAGCCTGCTCTACAGAGCGAGTTCCAGGACAGCTTCCAAAACAATACAGAGAAACCCTGTCTTGAAAAAAAAAAAACAAAAACAAAAACAAAAAACAAACCAAACAAAAACCAAACCAAAAAAAAAAAAACCAAAACAACAATAACAACAAAACCCACCTGCTATATCTCTCATGGCCCCTGACAGGTAATATTCTTCCTTTGTCCTATACTTTTAACAACTTAATTATAAGTCATGGCGATATTCTTCTATCACCATGTGTCTTACAGTGTGTGAATGCTTCTTGTACATGGATGTCCATGTCATATCCAAGATTTGAGAAGTTTTCTATTGTTGTTTTACTGAAGAGTTCTCTGTGCCTCCAACCCATAGCTCTTCTCCCTCAGGCGTGCCAATGATCTGGATACTTGGTTTTTCAAGGTTATCCCAAAGGTCTTGTGTTATTTTCTTCATGCCTTGTCTTTTATTCTTTGTGTCTGACACTAACAGTTCCAAAGATCCGTCTTCAAGCTGTTACTCTCTCTTCTGTTTCATCTAATCCACCTGACCTTCAGTTTCTCGTGTCCTCCGTGATTTCTGTCTGGTTCTCTTGCAAATTCTGTGCTGCCTTCTTTAATTCACTTAAAAACTGTTAGTATTTTTTCATTTTTCTCATATTTCTATGTTGAGACTAGTTCATTTTGGGGATGAGTATCTTTTATGGGATTATATGATGGCTTCCTTAGTGACTTTCTCTTGATAATAAAATGTGTCTTGGGAGGTATCAGTCCTGTTTTTGACTCACAGCACAAATTCTCATTCTTGTCATAATCTCCATGGCTATTTTTCCATCAGGTATTTCCCTCATATGACTCTAATGCCACAGAGCTAGAATTGGAAGACTAACAGCTGCTTGCTCCACCCCCCCTTAAAGATTTATCTTTATTTTATGTGTGAGAGTTTTTGCCTGCATGTATATCTGAGTATCACATACCTGCTGCCTGGTGTCCACTGAGGCCAGAAAAGGGTATCAGATCTCCTGGAATGCGGTAGCTAATAAGAGTTGTGAGTTGTCATGTGTGTGTTGGGAATTGAATCCACCCATATTCTCTGCAAGAACAGCAAGCACTGTTAACTGCTGAACCATCTCTCCAGCCTCTTGAGAGCCTTTAAATAACTCTTTCGAAGCCAGGTGGTGGCACATGCCTTTAATCCCAGCACTCAGGAGGCAGAGGCAGGCGGATCTCTGAGTTCAAGACCAGCCTGGTCTACAAGAGCTAGTTCCAGGACAGCCTCCAAAGCCACAGAAACCCTGTCTCAGAAAAACAAAAAACAAACAAAAAAAACCCTCTTCCGACATGTTCTCATGTAGTCCCGGTTGACTGCAAACTCATCATGTAGCTGAGGATGACTCTTTCCTGACTTATGATACCATAAATTACCTTTATGTTTTTGAACTTTATGTACAAGGTGTATGCCTCTGGTTTTCCCTTTCATTTGTGGTATTAACTCATCTCACTGAGTGTGCATCAGTATTTGTTTAATGCTTTAGTGCTCTGCCATCTGACTATACCTCAAAGTATTCATCCATTTTACTATTGATATATGAGCTTTCCAGTTTTATGCACTATATGTAATACTTCTAAGAACATTCTTTTCTTCTGAGAGGACTCGCTACATAGCCCAAGCTGGCCTTGAACTCGAAGCCCTCCTCAGTTTCCTAAGTGCTGGGATTAAAGGGCTGCATCATTACCCATGACTTTAAAGCACATTCTTGTATATGCTGTTTGATGAACATATGTATACATTCCTTTCAGGCACACACTTACTTTTGGAATTGCTGGGATGCACATACATTGAGCTTTTTGGTAACAACTCTCATTTAGTTTTTGCTCATAATCATAAACTGAACTCTGCAATTGAGGTTGTCTTAGAGGAGAATAAAGAAGATATGGAACCCACAGGAGTGCAGTGAGAGCTCAGATCCTGGGGCACTGGGCATGTGGGGAGGGCATGTTCCTGCGTGATGGAAGGCACAGTCTGCTGGGCAGAATGCACAAGTCAGAGGCATTTTTAGAGCTGTCCACAGTCAACAATTGTAATCTTCCTGTTGATCTTGAGTCCAAAGATCTCCATTGCTTCTATGATGCCCATTTGCTCCCCAAAAACCACATGCTTCTTACCTAATCACCCATCTTGGCAGTGAGAGGAAAACTGGGAACTCTGTGTTTTCTCCAACATTTTCCATAGACAAGATATCAAGACGCTAAGCTTGAGGATGAACTTAAATTTCTTCCCACTTGGTGCCAGTGCCATTATGGCCTGTAAGGGAACCACCCCGGCACATAAATTCTGAAATAATTCTAGGAGAAGAGGAACTCCCATAACCAAACCCTCTCTATCTGAGGCTCAGAGCACAAAAGTTTTATGCTGTCTTTGGATCATTGTCTGTAAATGGCTAAGTGATGTCAACAAAGGGCTTGCCATCATGGTGTTGAAGAACATAGTGGAGTTGACCAGGGCTGCCAGTAAGAGAGTAAGAGAATACAGTAGAGAGCATCTCCTGCAAAACTTGGATTTTTAAAAAATATTGTGTGTGTGTGTGTGTGTTTGTGTGTGTGTGGTGTAGGCATACATATGTATGGGTGTATGTGCCTCTGTGTACATGGGAAGCCAGAGGATAATATGCTTGGTGTCCTGAAAACTCTACCTTATTTTTTTGAGGCAGGCTGTCTCACTGAACTTTAGCCTGGCATTCGGCAAGTCCCAGTGATTCTTCTGTTTCTCTCTGGTGCTGGGATATAGCATAGGAAGTGCATTAGATTTACTTTTTGTTTTTCCAGAAGGACCAACTAGGTCCAGTGATTGGCAATTATGGAGAGGGGGAGGCAAATACAATCTAAGGATGAATATTCCGTCTAGGAAGTTTTAGAAGTACTGGATGACTAACTGCCTGTGAGAAGGCAATTAGTATTCTTTTTTGTTCTGGAACTCACTATGTAGACCATGCTGGTCTTGAACTCACAAAGAGCCTCCTGCCTCTGTGCTGACATTAAAGGCTTGTACTACCATTCCTGGCCACTTAATGCTCTCTTAAGATACATTATTTTTTCAAGTCTAAGAGAATTTCATACTTTTTTTTTAACTCATGCATGTGTGTATGTGTCTGTCTGTTTACATGCCACATGTGTTATGGTTACCATGGAGGCCAGAAGAGTGAGTGTGTCATATCCTCTGAAGCTGGAGTTGCAGGCAGCTATGAGCAGGGAACTGAATTTTGTTTACCTAGAAGAGTAGCAAGCTTTCTTAACCACTGAGCCATCTCTCCAGCCACAAAAATGTATTTTGACCATATTTAATCCACATTCTAATCTCCTGCACTTAATTTCTTTTTATTTACTAGAAATGGCACAAGCATAGGGGCCTGAGTTTGGAACCCTAAAGAACATGAAAGTGGCAAAAGCCCTGGGTGTGTGGAGCTTCCTCAAACTCCCTGGTCTGTCCGTGTGCCAATCAATCATGAGTGACCTTGCCTGACAATAAGGACTGAGAGAGACCAAGAAAGGATATCTATCTAGTGTCAGCCTCTGGCTTCCACACACATACATCCACACCCACAAGTACATGTTACCCCCACCCCACAAGCATGCTAATATTCTGTTGTTCTAAATAATCTGATTTGAGGACTTGGCGCAGTTTTCTGTTATGATTACTAAGCAAGGAAAGCAGGTGCATTTTGAGATTAAAAAGATGAAAGTAAAAGTGAAACCAGAATTATTATTGTGTATATGAGATAGGCACAATGGACTCACATAGCCCAGGCCAGCCTCAGACTTTATCTGTAGTTGATCTCCTGATCTTGCTGCCTCCATTTTCCAAATGCAAGGGATCACAGGAGTACACCAACACACATGGAAGATTATTTGTTCATCATCTTTTTTTGCTTTGTTTTTTTTTCTCTCGAGACAGGATTTCTCTGTGACTTTGGAGGCTGTCCTGGAACTAGCTCTTGTTCTTTTTTTCTCTTGAGAAAGGGTTTCTCTGTGACTTTGGAGGCTGTCCTGGAACTAGCTCTTGCAGACCTAGCTGGTCTCGAACTCAGAGAGATGTGCCTGCCTCTGCCTCCTGAGTGCTGGGACTAAAGGCGTGAACCACCACAGCCCGACTTGTTCATGATCTTAAAAGGCAAGTATATCTAAAATAAATAGCTGAGAGTTTTTCTTATGATCTAAGAAAAAAATAGAAATTTTCTATTTTAGAAGAACCTTTCTGCTCTGAGTTCTGTTAGTAAATAATAGTGGCAGAGATATTCACTCTCCACAGACTCACCACAATGCTGTAACAAATTATGAACTTTACTGGTTGCCTTGGAACTCACTGGGTAGACCAGACTGACCTTGAATTTAGAGGTCTACCTGCCTCTTCCTCCCAAACACTGGAATTAGGGTTACCAGGTGGTGGCGGCAGCACACACCTTCAATCCCAGAACTCAGGAGACAGAGACAGGTGGATTTCTGAACTCAAGGCCAGCCTGGTCTACAGAGCAAGTTCCAGGACAGTCTGAGAAATAAAAACCTGACACCTTGGGGGATACTATAACCTATAGAAAAGATTAATCCTATCATTTTGAGTGCCTGTGGATGGTCCCCTGAATTCATTGCTTGTCCAATTCTATCACAGTCAAGCAGAATGTAAGTGTAAGCACTGGGGAAATACAGACAGGAATGAGGACTACTCCAAAGAAAAGAGCAAGTGAGGATGCAAAGACACCACACACATTTTCTGGATAAATCAGAGTGTACCTTTCATTGTTTTAGAAAAACTAGCAGTACCAAGACATGAAGATTGTGGAGAAATTAGGGTTAGTTATACCCATTATTTCCCTATTCATCTCCTATCGAATTTTCTGCTAGTTTTTCAGGTTATGGTCAACTTTTCATCAACATTGTAGTCATCTTTAAACAGAGAACAGAAGGGAAATAGACTGAAAAGAATGGTGTCACAAAAGCTTGCTTGAATACTCTATCTGGCAACTTCTCTTCTGAGTTCTTAATGGTTTTAGTGCCTATAAATTTCTAGGTCACTATCACCTTGGCCAGTTCATATTGTCTCCCTCTGAACTGTAACTCACTCTTTATAATTCACAGCATCTTTCTAGCATCTTCACATGGTAGGCACTCACTAGCTGACTTGATGAAAAAGGAATGGGAAGCAAATAAGGCAAGTTAGAAATACAGAATACCCAAGGCAAACAGGATGGGGTCCCAGTTAAGCCTGCAAACTTTTAATTTGGCTAAAAGGCTGGCTGATATATAAACATTGAACTTGATTACCACTCTCCTCTGACATCTGTTAGCTGTGATACTGGATGGTTTCTCTCCTTTAGCTCTGCTATTCCCACATACCTCTGTTCTCCAAGGCTGAGGAAAGCTTGAGCCTAGATTAGGGACTAGATCTTTCAGGAATGCAGAGAACAGGAAAGGGGTCTGGTGACATTATTTTGAAGACAGCAGAAGTGCCATGTCTGTCCATACCTGACCCATCAAATGACAGTTTTGTCAAAAAGCCGTTTTCCAGGCCACACCCTCATCAGAAGCGCATTGTTTCACGTGTACTGACTATGATTCTGATTGGCTGGTGTCACCTTCCCCTCCCCCGCCACTATGAGTGGCCTACTGCTCTTCAAAGACTGGCTCAATTTCAGGTTCTTATGTCTGTACATGTGAGGCAGTTGGAGAGTTTGAAACAACCCTACACTTTACACAGCTCTTTCTTTGACCATGTGGAGGGTAACAGAATTTAGGCCACAGTCAATAGTTGACTATCATCAAAAGAAACATCTCTTAAGCAAGTGTCCAATTTTAGTCAATGGTTTCACCATACCCTTGCTTTTGTTACGCAACCTTTGTTACCACTGATTAATTTCATTCTGAAAATGTGAATGGAAAATTACATAAATACTCTGTTTTGAAATTACAGTTCTTAGTGCATAACGAAATCTCACTGTGTCCTGTCTAGGACAGGAATCATCCTTCTGTCCAGTATATTCACTCTGTACGTATGACTGGCATGGCAGATTCGTCAGCATTTTGCCACAATTGTCCCATTTTATTACTGTTGTCATTAATTTCTTACTGAAAAACTGTCATAGATGTATAGACACACTATATGCTGAACATCTGATATTTATGTTTCAGCACTCCACTGGGGTGGGTAGGTCTTAGAATAAACAAAAAGGGCACTACTGTAGTGATCAGTTTGTACCAGGGCTATGAATTTCACTGGCTGTAATGAATTTACTACTTGTGAGGTGAAGTTTTGACAAATTATATGTCTGTCTGTTTTGAATGGTTAAGTGTGTACTTCTAACTAAATTTACTCCAAGATCACTTAATTTACTTAATTTACTCCAGGATCTACTGAGGTCCTATAGGGATTTAAGTTTTCTTAATCTAGTGGGACACTGGCAAATTATGTTTTAAAAGGAGCTGTCCTGGTTAGTTTCATGTCAATCTGACACAAGCTAGAGTCATCAGAGAGGTGGGAACCTCAATTGAGAAAATGCCTCTATAAGATCACTAGCCTGTAAGGCAATTTGTTAATTAATGATTGATGTGAGTGGGTTCAGCACATTGTAGGTGGGGCCACCCTTGGGCAGGTGGTCCTGAGTTTTACAAGAAAACAGGTTGAGCATGCTATAGGAGCAAACCGGTAAGCAGCACTCCTTCATGGAGCCTCTGAATCATCTCTTGCCTTCAGGTTCCTGCTCTGTTTGAGTTCCTATCCTCAATGATAGACTATGATGTGGAAAAGTAAGTCAAATTCTTTCTTTCCCAATTTTGCTTTTGGTCATGGTGTTTCGTCACAGCAAATAGAAACATAAGACAGGGCACATATTTAAAACTGAAAAAACCAGCTGAAAATGTATATGAATATTCTCCACGTCCTTTCCAAAAATTAAATTCAGTGTTTCAAAATGTAGAAACACGTTTTAAGGGGGGTGTTAATTATGCTTATGTTATGGAACCCATTCAGTGTGAATCCAACTAAACAGATCTTTCAGTTGGTCAATGTCAGAGCTTTTCTGTTTTACTACACAAAGAAGCTCTAATATTGACTTTTGCTTTAAAGAGAAGATTCTGAGCTTTGAGGTTGATCTTTGTTAACATTTAACCTTTCACTATCATTTTAACAACTTAAAAAGAAAAATCTGCTTACTATGGAAAAACAAATAGTATCGCTGAACTTTGTCTCAGTACTTCCTTGAGTGGATGCTAAACCACAGAAAAATTTAGAAAGGTATTAAATTTTTTTTGAGTCTAATAAAGGACTTTGGATCTATCTCCAATGGAACAGCATTTTCTGAACTTTCTTACATTTATTTGGTATATAGCACCAGGCAGATGCTGTGCTAAAATGTTGTTTTTTGGTTGTTATTTTTGGTTTCTCGAGACAGGGTTTCTCTGTGCAATAGCTTGGCTGTTCTGGAACTCACTCCATAGACCAGGCTGGCCTTGAATTCAGAGATCTACCTGCCTCTGCTTCCCTCGGGCTGGGATTGAAGGTGTGTGCCACCACCTCCTGGCAACTAAAATTGTTAACAAATTTTTATAATAACCCCACGAACCAGTGCTAATACTTATCTTCAAACTTTACATCTCGGAGGAAGATGTTCACCAGATTTCAGGCAACGTGGCAGAGCTGAGTTGAAACTCATTCCCTATCAGAGGTAGCACTGGGAAAACTTACTATGAAGCTGTCAATAAGGACTTGGTAGAAAAGCTTGATGCAGAACTCAACTACATTGACTAGTGCCATGGTGAAAGTTACTCTTATGGAGTTCAGCATCTACAGTGATAGACTTGTAGTAAATAAACTCTTATAAGCCTTTGAGAATAGATGTAAGATGGATCTTTATAGTTCTGCTTTTTTTTTTGAGACAGTGTTTCATGTAGCTGAGATGAACCTTGAAATCCCAACCTTCCTTCCTCCACCCATCCCCAAAAGTTTGAATTACAGGTATGTACTACCATATCCACCCCTCCATTTTTGCTTCCAGGCACAATCTTGCTATACTGTTCATGCTGGTCTAGAATTCAAGATTCTCCTGCCTCAGCCTCCTCGTGTTGGGATTACTGGTATGCATCACCCACTTCTGGCTTCAATAAAATTTGTGAACCAACAGGAACATTGTTCATTAATGTAACTGAAAACAAGGCTTAAGATACTCTACACAAGAAACACTATTTCTTTCTGACTGTCTTCAGTCTTACAAGGTATTAAAAAAAATATCTGATCCTCTCCTCTCTACTTCCCAACGCTGGAATTACAGCTTTGTGGCACCATAGCTGGCCAACATATACATTTTACTAGCTTTTTTTTTCAGTCTGTGACATACACTCATGTTTTTCCTTGGAAACACATGTACACATGTGGAAAAGGATGTTTAATATGTCTTGTGAAAAGTAGTAACAAATGGGACTGTTCTGAGTTATTTTTCTAGCCTTGTTATATAATTTCAATTTTAGAGTGTGTGTTTAGCATGTACAAGTCCTATATTGAACCTACCAAAAAGATGTCTAATTTCTTCAAATATTGAAATAACTTGTTTTGCTGATTTAAGTGGTTATAGTGCTAATAAAGAGTGATTTTTCTAATAGTTTTAGTTCAGTACTCCAAATTTAAGGTCAAATCAAATAGTTTATTTTCTAATATGGAGTAATCTATGCCCATAGTCTCCTAGATCATGGAGACATATTACAAGCCTATAAAGAAAACATTAGATTGCAAGTACTCTGGGAAGGTACTTAATTTACCCAAAGCCACAGTTAATAAGTGAAAGAACTAAGATGTAAATTCAGGTCAGACGGACTCTATAGTCTTGTGCTGTATTATATCAGTTACTGAGGCAATTAAAAGTTTAATACTCTCCAGGTGTTGGTAGTGCATGCCTTTAATCTCAGCACTCAGGAGGCAGAGGCAGGCACATCTCTCTGAGTTCGAGACCAGCTTGGTCTACAAGAGTTAGTTCCAGGACAGCCTCCAAAGCCACAGAGAAACCTTGTCTCGAAAAAACAAAACAAAACAAAAGTTTAATACTCTTTATGAACCAGGCTATGTATTAGCATTATCTCAATGTTAACAAGATAGCACATTTTTGTAATTTCCAGACCTGAAAATTACAGAGAGGAGAGTTTGAAGCTAGCCTGGGCTATATAGCAAGTTCTTTTCTTAAAGAAAACAGACAGAAAAACAAAACAAAACCTCCAAATTGTCTTAACTCCCCGTCACAACAATCCTACTTAAAAATCTCTAGCTGTGGGTTTCCCCAGAATTTGTCTTGACCCCTTTGCTCATCACTCCTCCCTCTCTACAGCTGGATTCCAGGAATTCGGCTCAGTACTTAGCTGTGGGTCTCTGCTTCTGCTTCCATGAGCTACTGGATGAAGGCTCTAAGATAGCATTTAAGGTAGTCATCATTCTCATTATGGAGGAAGGGTATTTAAGGTAGCCCCTCCACTATTGTTTAGATTGTTAGTTGGGGGGTCATCCTTGTGGCTCCCTAGACATTTCCTTAGTACCAGATTTCTCTTTAAACCTAAAATGGCTCCCTCTACCCCTATTAAGGTATCTCTTTTCTTGCTCTCTTTCTTTATTCTTCCCTTGCCTCGATCTTCCTGATCCCTCACCCACTAACACCCCCCCCCCCAATTTGCTCAGATCATGAAACTCACAGTAAACAGCTGACCTGAGCAAGTGGGAGCACAGGGACTCCAGTCTGACAGCTGGGGAATCAGCATAGGACCGAACCAGGCCCCCTGAACATGGGTGTCAGTTGGGAAGCCAGGGCAGTCTGTGAGACCTCTGGCAGTGGAACCAGTATTTATCCCTAGTGTATGAACGTTGGGAGCCCATTCTCCATGGAGGGATACTCTCTCAGACTAGATACATGGGGGAGGGCCTAGGCCCTGCCCCAAATGATGTAACAGACTTTGATGTTCCCCCATGAGAAGACTCACCCTCCCTGGGAAGTAAAAGGGGGATGGAATGGGGAGTTGGTGGAGGGCATGGGAGGACAAGAGGGAGAGGGACTTGGAATTGGTATGTAAAAGAAGATTGTTTTTAATTTAAGTGAAGAAAAAAAATCTCTGCTGGGTGTTGGTGGCGCATGCCTTTAATCCCAGAACTGGGAGGCAGAGGCAAGTGGATCTCTGTGAGTTCGAGGCCAGCCTGGTCTACAGAGCAAGTGCCAGGACAGCCTCCAAAGCAATACAGGGAAACCCTGTCTGGAAAAAACAAAACAAAAAGATCTCTTGTCCTGAAATTCATTAAGGTTAAAAAACCCAAATACTTCAAGTTACAATGCTAGGCATTCTGCTAGCCACTTCTTACCTTTTGAACTTCACTGCCTTCCACGTGTAGCCACTTGACCATCCTACAGTGAGAAGTGGGTCTTTAGCCCTTTGACCATGTTTCTGCTTGCTTGAATGTGCTTGCTCTTATAAATCTTGGTTAACTAAAAGATGAAGCTGCAGTATGTATGATCAAGTAAGATTTATTATGGACAAGTGGTAGAAAACAAGGTTAGTGCTATCCATAGGTTAAGTTCCTGGAAACATGTGTAAAGAGACTGTTATTAAAAGTTTGCTTTATTTTCCTGTGGAGTCAAGTGCTAGCTATTAATTACAGTTAGATTTCTTTTTCATTCTTTTCAAATGTTATCAGAACAGTTATCATCACCTTATCAATAATTAAATAAACTAGGTTCTAATGTTTCTGTCCACATCTGGATTGTTCAGGTGATCAGGAACTCTTACTTAATTCCTTTAGCTTTGAGTTCTTGATTATATCTATAAAGAAAACAAAAAGATGACTCATTAGCAATAACAGCAGGAAAAAAGAGGATGGAAAGCACATTCTACTTCTTTCCCATTGTCAAGTGGCTACATAACTGCAAATATAATCTTCTAAGGAACTTACAGATAGAAACAGGCAGAAGGAAAAGTGAGACACTCAAAGAGTTCATTTGCCTCTGCTGCACTTCAGATCGCAACTGCCAAAGTTTTAACTGCTTATATGGCAGGTTTCCTATCTAAACAGGTAATTTTTAAATTTTAACATTTACGCATACACACTCGAGCATGTGCAAATGTATGCCCAAGGCTGTGGTGGCACACCCCTTTAATCCCAGTAGGTGGATCTCTGAGATCAAGGTCAGCATGGTCTACAGAGGGAGTTCTAGGACATCCAGGACTATATGGAGAAACTGTCTCAGAACAACAAAACAAAACCAGACCCAGGGCTCACACATGCTAATGCTAGGCAAGCACCGAACTCTGAGCAACATTCACTGACGTATTCTCATTCATTTAAAACAAAAAATTATTTCTGTGTGTATCTGAGTGTGTGTGTATGTGTGTGAAGGGTGCTTCTAGAGACCAAAAGACCATTCTCGATCTCCTGGGGCTTGGAGTTGCAGGCAGGTGTAAACCACCTGAAGTAGATGCTGGGAATCAAAATTGAGTCCTCAGCAAGAGCAGCTGGCATTCCTAACAGCTGTGGCATCCCTCCAGCCCTCTATGTTCAACCCTGAATGACCCACAGCTAATATGAGTATTTACACAAAATTGGCAAAATGTGGGGCTGGAGACATGGCTCACAGGTAAAGAACACTGACTGCACTTTCAGAGATCCTGAGTTCGATTCCCATCAAAGACTTGGTGGCTCACAACCATCTGTAATGAGACCTGGGGCTTTTTTCTGTCCTTCAGGCATACATGCAGGCAAAATACTGTATACATAATAAATAAATAAATAAATACAACTTTTTAAAAATTGACAAAAGGTGATAACTACAATTTTTTCACTTTATCTAAGACCAAAATCAAGTGGAAATGAATTCTTGCTTGATTACTAGAAGCAAAACATACTTTCTCCTACAGACAGACTAATAGGTTATAAACACTTAAGTTTATGTAAACTTAAGTTTTCTCAACTCATTAATTCAGAGAAGACTCAACTATAGAGGCAGAGTCTTTCTTCTCTATAATCCTTTAAGTTTAATTAACTTTTTTTCTGTTTATAGTAGAGTAGAAAACCATATAATATGAAGCTTACCCTACTTCTTAGATGTCTTGAAAAATTTTTACTTCAAATATTTGATCGTAACACAACTATTATTTGACATGACAAATATTAACCTTTTTGTATACTGTAGCTTGTATATGTGTGACAGGTCAATGAGAGGTGTTTTCCTCAATTGCTCTCCACCATTTTTTTTTTTGAGTGAGAGTCTCACTGAACCTGGGAGGACTGAGTATCCAGGGATCCTCTTATCTCTGCCTCCTCAGCACTGGAATTACAGGTGAGCACCACCATGCCTGGCTTTCTCCACTCCTTTAAAAAATGTACCAGGCCCCAGTGTTAACTACTGAGTAAACAGCTTAAAAACTTTCCAGTGTTCAGGAGGCAGAGGCAGGTAGATGATCTGTGTGTTTGAGGCCAGCCTGGCCTATGGAGTGAGTTCCAGGGCAGTCTCCAAAGTTACAGAGAAACCCTGTCTCAAAAACAAAACAAAACAAAACAAAAAACATAACAACAACAAAAACTTTCCAGTGTTCATGGAATACTTTGCAATGAAACCAGTGACCTCACTCTAAATGTGATTCCCATACTATACCTTATACATTTAAAGCTCACTCATTACATATAGATGAAAGCAAGTGATAAAAGGCTGATGCTGGGAATTACTTGTAAATCATGAGTTTTATATGTTGTGGTGGCTTTGATGAGGAATGTCCCCATAGGCTCATGTGTGAACATTTGGTCCCCAGTGGTGGTGCTGTTTGGAGGTTATAAACTCTTTAAGAGGTGGAGCCTTGCTGTATAAAGTACTGTCATTGATGGCTGGCTTTGAGATTTCACCATCATGCTCCACTTCCTGTTCTCTCTCTGCTTCCTATATGTGGATGAAAATGTGATTAACCAGCTTCCTGCTCCCACAGCTATGTTTTCTGTAACTACTGCCATGCCTTTCTTACCTTCATAGAGTCTGTTCCTGTGGAACCATACGCCAAATAAACTCTACTTTAAAAATTGCTTTTGGTCATAGTATTTTATCACAGCAGCAGAAAATCAACTGATACAGTTATCAGAGACAGAAAGAGAAGTGGGGGAGAACTACAAAAAATGAGAACCCACTTAGACAATAAACTGTTGGATTTAAATCTAGGTATCATTAAGCTTAGCTGCTTTTATCTTATTTGTAACTTTCTAGACTTTGACAGAACTGACACATTTCTACTTCACGCACAATTTTGTCGAAAGTATATGTGAAATGCAAACACACATGCACACACGCACACATCCATCCATCCATCCATCTAGGTAGCTTCTGAACCAGTTCTACTGCACCTTGGTAGTAGGCTTACCTCCATATACGAAAGAGCTGAGAGGCTCCTGCTGACCCCACAAAGAAATTAACAGCGAACAAACTCCAATTTTTTGGTATAATTACAAGTGAGTACCTTGACCAAATAAACCCTGTTGAAACAAAGCATTTTTTTTAAAGGCACAGACTTTTCTCTCATAATGTATTTAATGTTTAATTATCTGAGCAAAGAATAAGACCATGACAATAAAAACAGGATGAAGAACAAAGAAATGCTGTACTATGTCTTTAAAAAGTACCTTTAAGTCTTATTATATAAAATTGCATATTTACATAATTATACAATACATAAAAATTCTCACCATATAATTTTTAGTATTATACAAAATTCTCAGTTCTTACATTAAAGGGAGACTTTGCTAGGAACCAATGCCTATTAACTACTCCATCTTCCTACTTATACAAGTATGCTCATGTAAAAGCCTGGAAAGCAAAACCTCAAACAGATACTTACTCCCAACAACCTTCCTGCCTAAGCTATCCATAATGCAGTGATTCCCTATAAATGGGTAATGTGTGAGAGTAAATATATATGCAGACATTTTTAAATCATTAAATGAAGATAAAACTCAAGAGTTTTGTTGTATGTGGGTTAATTTTGGTTGTGTGCCCAGCCTTTAAAGGCTGAACCATTTCTTCAGCTAGTATGGGGTTACTGTATAGCAATCTCTTTCAGGATAAAAGATTCTATCTTGTTAGAAGTTTAAGACTCAGGATGTTCCTTTTGTTATTGTTGTTGGGAGAGAAACATGGTGGGTGACGGATTTGATCAAAATATATGCATGTATGAAATTCTCAGTAAAAATAAAGGCTCAGGATGACCTGAAGAGAAGCTAGTTAAAACTCACAAAGTACCAGGAAGTTCCTAAAACTCGCCAGAAGCATTCAGTCCCTCTGTTCAAACTTATATAAATAGAAAACAGTGATGAGAGAGACTCTCAGACAAGCCAAGCTACCTGGAAGACATTCAGACTGAGGTTAGAAGAAACATTTTCGAACTTGTCAAGCTGCCTACAGGTTGTGCAGTGAAGTTGTGCAATGAGTTCCAGGCTTCCTGGACTGTTACCCATGCTGGGGTAGGTTTTTGGTCATGCAGCTATCTCAATAATTTCTGGTTCTGTAAATAGCTCCTCACCCTTACTTCTGTAAGTAACTCCAAGAAAATCACTGGTTCACTGAATTTGGTGGTATCAATTCCTTATCTGTACTTAGTAGACATTGTCTCACATGTCCTCAGGAACAGTGATACATTCTCTCCCCCCCCTCCCCTCTCTGAATATGGACGCTTTCAGTTTACCTGTAGCCATCAGCACGGTAGATTGAGCTGTGCTGAGTTTCTCTGCAGGTCTGGCCATGTCAGCTAACCCAGCACACACCAACCCCTGCAAACACATGTTTAAGATACAGAGGCAGGGCATCAGGAGTGAGGCATAGTAATTTTTAATTTTAAGTTAAATAAAATATTTGTGAATTTCCACGATAGCTATATTCATAATACTGACCCTAACATTAAAAACCCCCAGAGCATGACAAGAAGCTACAAGACATTCAAGAGTACTTTCTCCTTTGTTTTCTGTCTCTATCCTTTTTTTTTAGTGTGTGTGGGTGTGTGTGTGTGTGTACACCATCTGTGTGCAGTGCCCATGGAGGCCAGAGAAGGGCATTGTAAGCCCTGAAACTGGAGTTAAAGCTGGCAGTGAGGCATCATGTAGATGCTGGGACTGAATTCTGGTATCCACAAGAGCAGCAAGTGCTCTAATCCTCTGAGCCCCCCCCCATGCCTACTCCTGCTGTGTCTTTAGTATCTTTTATAGAATCACCCACACACATCCTAATGTCAGCATTACTCAGAAAGCTTAGTAATAAGGGGTTCTGCAATTCAAGATATTTGAGGGGCTAAGGGAAGGAGGATTAAAGTTTAAGACCTGTGTCTCAACTATAGAATGAAGTCTTATTCCAAAAAAACAAGGGCTAAGGATAAAAAGGTCAAGGCAATCTGGGGAATTTAGTGAGTATGTCTCAGAAAAAAATGTAAAAAGATGGTCAGTATATAATTCCATGATACAGCATGTGCTATCCATGCATGAGGCCAGAAACAAAAACAAAAGCATGCGGTAACCTATAATTTGGTAATTACACCTAAATAACATGTAACCGCCTCTTGTTACTCTTTACTTCATGCGTTGACTAACAGAACACCAACTGCTGACATCTCACTTGCACAATAGTAGTGTGTTAGGCTGGGGATGCACTTTGGTGGTAGTACACCACTTGCCTGCATATGCAAGCCCTGGGAGCAATCTGTTCTACAAATCAATTAAAACAAAAGTAACTATGTCTGTTCAAAGATCTTCAGGAGGGTAAATATCCCTTATGATGTTTGGAGAGGAGAAAGAAGAAAAAGGGGAGACAAATGCTACTGATAAGGACTCTGCCCAGCATGTTTTTTTTTTGTTTTTGTTTTTTGTTTTAGGAGACAGGGTTTCTCTGTATTGTTTGAGGCTGTCGGTCCAGCCCAGCCTCGAACTCACAGAGATCCGCCTGCCTCTGCCTCCCGGCTTGCCCAGCATGTATTATTCCTGCAAATGTCCCCTGTGCCTCCCTTTTTTTTTTTTTTTTTTACGAGACAGGGTTTCTCTGTATTGTTTTGGAGGCTATCGGGCCAACCGGCCTCGAACTCACAGAGATCGCCTGCCTCTGCCTCCCGAGTGCTGGGATTAAAGGTGTGCCACCACCGCCCAGCTCTTGTGCCTCCCTTTAAAAGACTTTTTTTATAAAAAAATTATGAATCTCTGTAGAATGGGCTGCCTTCCAACTGACCTGACTTCTCTGGTGCTGGGATTAAAGGTGTGTGCTACCTCAACCATGCTAAAAACCTTTTCTTACACCTGATTCCTGTAGCAGCACAAAAGCCTCCTGTCTTCCAAAGTGCTAGTCCTTGAGTAAACCTGATTTCCTTTTCAGCAACTCTTATTTCTACAGTACTGGCTTTCAAGCAGCAAGCAGCCAGACTTGTATCCAGCAACTCAATGGGTATTATTCAGCTACAAAACAAAGCAAATTCTGATATAAAATAACCTGGAGGACACGTTCAGTGAAATAAACCAGTCATGAACTCTCCATGGGACTGGAGAGATGGTTAAGCAGTTAAGAGTGCTTGTTGCAGCTGGGTGTTGGTGGAACACGCCTTTAATCCCAGCACTACGGAGGCAGAGGCAGGCGGATCTCTGTGAGTTCGAGGCCAGCCTGGTCTACAGAGTGAGTTCCAGGACAGCTTCCAAAGCCACAGAGAAACCCTGTCTCAAAAAACAAAAACAAAAACAAACAAACAAACAAACAAACAAAACAAGTAGAAAGGTAGTTTTAGAGAAAGAAGCAGTGGGTAGGGGAGTGTGTAATGGTCCTAAAGTCTCCAAGCTATAAAGCAGATTGGCTATATGATAATGCACTGAGTACTACTTGGATATATATTTAAAAAACAAAAGCAAAAATTATTAAGATGGTAATTTTATATGTATTTTGCCATATTAAGAGTTTACAGGAGGCAGGAGGATCTCTGTGAGTTCAAGGCCAGTCTACTTTACAGAGTGAGTTCTAGGATAGACTTGAAAGCTACAGAGAAACCCTGTCTCAAAAAACCAAAACAGACTAGCAGTTTTCAACTAAGGGGACACTAGAGTCACCTGTAGAGGTTATTAAAACAGATCCTTTTCAACATAGATTCAATGATTTGCTACAAATAACCACTAGAATGGATATATATTATATATGTACCTATATTTGGTATAGAGTGAAAATAATAATCTTGTAGTCAGAAGTCATAGGTTCTCAAATTCTTTTATGTAATACATATATTAGACAGAGTCATCTATACTTAAGCTGGCCTCAAATTCTATACATAGCCAGAGGACAGACTTAAACCCTTGATCTTCTATCTCTGACATCCAAGTACTTTGATATAACACCATGAGTGGCTCTGTATGTTATGTTAAAGAAATGTGTATCCAGCTGGGCAATGGTGGCACTCACCTTTAATCCCAGCAGTTGGGAGGCAGAGGTAGGAGGATCTCTGTGAGTTGGAGGCCAGCCTGGTCTATAGAGCAAGTCCCAGGACAGAGAAACTTCATCTCGGGAAACAAACAAACAAAGAAAAACCAAAATAAATAAATAAATAAATAAAAATAAAAATGTGTATCCAGAGGCCCTTTCTGATAAACTAAGAGTTTAGATAAACTAAGAAAGGTAAAGTATATCCTTCATAAGATTTGTCTCAAATTAGTAAATTTCTTTTTTTTTTTTTTTTGGTTTTTCGAGACAGGGTTTCTCTGTGGCTTTGGAGGCTGTCCTGGAACTCACTCTGTAGACCAGGCTGGCCTCGAACTCACAGAGATCCGCCTGCCCCTGCCTCCCAAGTGCTGGGATTAAAGGCGTGCGCCACCAACGCCCGGCTAAATTAGTAAATTTCTATCAAGGAATTAATTATTTGAAGTAATTCTTGTTAAAACTTCACATTTGTTGGCTGGTGGTGGCTCATGCCTATAATCCCAGGACTCAGGAGGAAGAGGCAGGCAGATCTCTGTGAGTTTGAGGCCAGCCTGGTCTACAGATCGAGTTCCAGGACAACCTCCAAAGTAATACAGAGAATCCCTGTCTCCAAAAACCAAACCAAACCAAACCAAACCAACCAAACAAACAAACAAAAAAAACACCAAAAACTTAAGACTTACCCATTTCATTATTGGAGCCCAGAAAAAAACTGTTCTGGGGCCTGAAAAACAAAAGAAAGAATTAAATTCAGAAATAATCAAATATATTATAAGCATTCCTTTATCAGCTAACACCAAATTCTACTCTGCTTTCTACAGAAAAAAGTTACAAAAGCATAATATCAATCTTCCATGTGTCTTTCTATCACATTAAAAATAAGCTAAGGTGAGCCAGGAGTTATGGCTGAGGAGGCAGAGGCAGGCTCATCTCTCAGGTGGAAGCTGGATGAGTCTACAGAGCTAGTTCCAGGGTAGCCTTCTAGAGCTGGGAGGAAACTCAAGAGAAGCTGTAAGATGCATTCAAGCCAGGCATCTAGTGAGCTCCACAGACAATGACTCCTTTTACCTCCAGAGGGTACAGTGAGGTGAGACAGATTTGTTTGGGGGAATTTAAAGTGTAACTAAACCTGCCAAGTTTAGAACATAACAGAATACTCAATGTTATATATGTGCTTTATACATGTGATTAACAAAATATATTCATTTTTTTTCTTTTTGAGACATGTTCTTGCTGAACTGTAGCTCAGGCTGGCCTGGAACTAATGGTGAGATTGCACAGGCATGGCCCACCATTCCTGGAATCTATGTCATTATGTAAATATGTAATTTAACATAAAAGTGATTATAAAGGCAAATTCAAGGTTAAAAACTCTGATTATGCCCATGTCTATTACTACTGCCTTAATATTCTACTTTACTTGGCAATCATAATTTCTTGAGACAGGGCCTTATGTAGAGCTGGCTAGCCTTGAATTCACTATATAGACCAGGCTGGCTTAAAAATCACAGGGATCCAGCAGATCCTTTGAAGCTGCAGGAAGCTGTAAGCTGGCTGATGTGGGTGCTGGGAGCAGACTTCAGGTCTTCCAGGAGAGTAGCAAGTGCTCCTAACTGCTGAACCATCTTTCCAGCACTCAATAATTTTTATTATCAAATATATTCTGACAATACAATCTAAGGATACATGAATTTGGTACTTATATGCTGAGGAATGAAGGTAAAACTAGTCAGTGTTTCTGCAATCAAACCATTATATTTCTGTAAGACCTCTGTACTTTGTATATACAGCAAAAATAATGCAATTTATGTCTGAGTGAGGTGTTTCAGGAAGTATTTTCTGCCATCAGAAACACCTTAGATTCATTATGGATTTGATTTGATTTATATGAATGACTTGCTCACACGTATATCTGTACAGCACTTGTGTGCCTGGTGCCAGAGGAGGTTAAAAGAGGGCCCTGGATCCTTGGAACTGCAGTTTCAGACAGTTGTGAGCCACTATGTGAGAGCTGGGAATTGAAATTGGTTTTTCTGGAAGGGCAGCGAGTGCTAACACAGATTTTTTTCTATTCAATTATAAGCATCAAAACTTAGAACCTTTTGGTAGTTTTAATTCTCCCAGAAACCATTCAACACTGTCTACAAACTTGTTCAACATCTACAATATGGATAGACAGATGAAGGTGTATGGAAAAAATGTAAAAATAATTTGATATGAGATAGATGGGAAAATGAAGCTTAGCATAATTGACATGATCTGTTCTGTGATCATCTAGTGTTTGGAGAATTGTTCTAAAAATGATATCCAAAGACTTAGATTGCAGTATAAACCACCACCATGTGTGGCCTTATGTTTGAGTCTCAGCACCACACAAAAAAAGTTAAACCAGACTTACCAATATCTAAATTCCCCTACTCTCATTTACCCAGAATCATGTTTTAGGTTTCAGGTTATCAAGGGAGCCTTCTTTAACAACTCCAGTTTAAGCTAAACGCCCCTTTGAACAACCAGCGCAGCTCATATGTTAACTGTCTTCTACACTGGGCTTAACTATGTCCATATAGAGGCTTATCAAGATACACAAATTTGAGGTTTGACTAAGAGTGGCCCTGACATTGTTTTATTCTCAAGGTCAGAATTTGCTTTTCTCATCTCCTTCACGACGACTTTACTCGGCTTTTACTAAAAAGTTTCTCAACTCTTTGAGAGGATGATACCTGCCCTAAACTCAGAATACACCGATTGCTGTAATTTCATTTAGAGTGACTGGGGAGGTTCCCGTCATCTCACCAAGGTCATTTTCCTTTGTCATACATGGGCTCTGGATCATGGGTTGTATCAATTTCATAATTTGGTTTTTATTATTGCTTGAAGCTTGGTTTCATCACTCAAGGAAGTCTACCTTCTCAGTCGCAGGGTGAACAAGTATCCATATTTACTTTTAATTCTTCTGGATTCTCCCAGTCCTCACCATTTCAAAACTATTCTGTTGCTGTTCTTAATTTGTTTTTCTAAATAAGGTCCTTAGGTTCTAGGTTATTTGAAAGTTTAAATGGTTGAACACTTGGGTTAATGAACAATAAAACTTTCCAGTAGGTTTACCTAGTATCTAATTTACCCAAATGTGCCAAGCTAGGTGACAAATGCCTACAGATCCAAACAACCAACCAATCATAAAACAAACAAAACAAAACAGAAACAACCAACTAACCAAGGGAAAAAAATCCTTCAAATATGAAATTAAGTGGCCAGGTTTTTGGACCAAGAAAGATTTTTTTTTTTTTTTTGGTTTTACGAGTCAGGGTTTCTCTGTATTGTTTTGGAGACTGTCGGTCCAGCCTGGCCTCGAACTCACAGAAATCCGCCTGCCTCAGCCTCCCAAGTGCTGGGATTAAAGGCATGCGCCACCACCGCCCAGCTCCAAGAAAGATATTTTAACTAGTGAAAAAAAATTTATTTAATGTTATGAGTGTTTTGCCTGTATTTTCATCATGCTCACACGTGGTGTCCATGGGAGTCAGAAGAGGGTGTTAGATCCCCGAAACTAGAGTTACAGATGGCTACGAGCTACCATCTGGTTAGGGGGAACCAAACCTAGCTGCTCTGCAAGAGCAGTTAAGTGTTCTTAACTGCTGCCCCAAGTAGTGATAATTTTAAATGATGAAAGCAAACTTTAAGTGAGTTTAATAACTTTAAGAGCAAATATGTAAGACTTTCAAATTGCTATTTTTTCTGAGATACTTGAAGACATTGACAAGTAGCAAACAACTAGAGCTGGATATTTGCAAATGTAAACAAGTAACTTTTTTTTTCTTTTTTTGAGATGGAGTAGGTGTATGGCGGTTGTTTCACTGTTAGCCCCCCTGGTTTGGAAATCCCTGATAACATCCAGGCTGACTTGAATTCACTACTTTCCTCTGACCTTAATTTCCCATGGAAGAGGATACAGATATGACCCACCACTCCCAGAACAAAGTAGATTGCTTTTGTTTTTGTTACTTTGCTTTTAAATTGTTAAAAAGAAACTGGAGGGTTCGGTGTGGCTGTACATGCCTTAATTCCAGCATTCAGAGTAGAGATAGGTAAGTTTCTGTCAACTTGAAGTCTTCCTGGTCTGTTCTAGGCCACTGAGGACTTCATAGTGAAACCCTGTTTCTTGGGGGTGGGGGGAAGAGTACAACAAGCAATATTACCATAAACATTGCAAAGACAACTTAGTTTGCCCTTTCATTTGATCTTAATGTTTTATTTTCAGAGTATATAGCAAAAAATTGCAGATAATGTGTAAATTCAGATATAGACACTGTTACTATATCCAAATAAAGTTTTTTTTAAAATTTGTTTTTGGTTTTTTGAGACAGGGTTTCTCTGTGTAGCTTTGGAGCCTATCCTGGCACTCGCTCTGTAGCCCAGGCTGGCCTCGAACTCACAGAGATCCGCCTGTCTCTGCCTCCCAAGTGCTGGGATTAAAGGCGTGCGCTACCAACGCACGGCTAAACCTTGGTTTTTGTCTTACCAGCCTGGTCTACAAAGGGTGTTCCAGGACAGCCTCCAAAACAATACAGAGAAACCCTGTCTTGAAAAAGCAAAACAAACAAACAAACAAAAAAACCCCAAGGTTATGGTATATACAACTATAGTTATTCTCACAAGAGAACATAAAAATAAATGATAATTATGATCTCTAGATCTCTAATGTGATTATAATACCTTAATATCAGGATTAACAGAAGTATAAATTAACAAAGTAGTTATTAACATTTATTTTTAAAGAAGTAACTGTGGAAAATGCATTTAAGAAATTTTAATTTAGAGCTCAACAAAAATAAAGTCATTCTTACAGAGAACTGTACACTCTTAGGCAAGGAATTAACTAACAATACATTTCACCTTTTCTTCCATAAGACTTAGCTCTCAAATGTAGAAAAGGCCTCAACTAGTGATAATTTAGAAACATCAGACAATAGTCTATTATATTTAAAATTATGATCTACCTAAGGATAATGGGATTATAGCAAGTAGCAAAATACTTTTCTTTGTTTATTTATTATCCATCCCATTTATTAATTAATGTGTTTGTGGGAGTGCTGCATGCACTAGGCATGCGCAAGGCGGCCAGAGGACCACTTTGGAGAGGCAGTGCTTCCCACTATGTGGGTCCCAGGGTCACACTCAGGTTGTCAGATGCCTTTGCCTGCAGAGCCATCTTTCCCAGTTTTCCCTACTACTACTGTTTTCTCTGGGACAGGGTCTCACCATATAGTTCAAGGTATCTGTTCATCTCAGGCTGCCCTTGAATGTGACAAGATTTTCCTGCTTCAGACTCCAGGATGCAGAGATTACAGGTTGTATCACTGTGGCTGGCAAGTGGATGATCCTTTCCCCTTCTTTTTTTGGGGGGGTGGGTTCTGTGACAGAACCTCCTCCATGTAGCTCTGGCTTCCCTGGAACTTTCTATCAAGATATGGTTGACTCTGATCTCCCAGATATTTGCCTGCCTCTTCCTCCTGAGTGCTGGGATTACAGGGGTGCACAACCATGTGTGGCTAGGTTGATATACTTTATAAGCCAAATTTTATTTCCCAGTTTCTTTGGCTTGGAGGAATTGTTATCAGTGGAATAAATAAAGTCTATCCAGATCATAGACTGACTGTATGTATGTATGTATTAATACTGGTATTTCATTTTGTGTACCTCTTGGTATGACACACCCTATTTTATAGTTCACAAAATTTTTTAAAGTATGCTTTTTAAATTAGTAGTTTTTTATTCCCAACTGTATTCATCAATGTTCCATTATTACAATGAAATACCTAAGCCCAGCACTTGATAATAACTTTTCTGGGACTGGGGAGATGACTCAGTGGTTAAGGATTGCTCTCAGAGAGGACAGGACTTGGTTCCCAGCACCCACATGGCGGCTCACAAGCATCCTTAACTCCACTTCAGGGGAGTGAATCCAATGACTTCTTCTGACCTACATGTATACCAGGTACACATACATGTGGCACACAGACATATATTCAGACAAAACACACACATAAAATTAAGTGACTAAGTTTTAAAGGAAAAAGAACTTTTTTTTGGCTCATGAGTATAAAGATGTCAGGTCTAAGACCTTTTAGTGATGGCTGTTTTGCTGATAGTCCTGAAGGTAGGGCAGAGTGTTCTAGTCAGCAAGAGGGGAAAGATATGTTAGGTATGTATATGGTCTCTGCCCAAAGTCAGTAGGACTCGATCACAGGCACTTTACCCTAAGGAATTTATCATCTCATTTTATTTACTCCCCAAATGGTCCACCTCTAAACACCACAGTCTGGTTAAATTTCCAGTTACTTAATACCTCACAATGAAGATTCAATCTCAATATATAACTTAGTTGAAGGACATTCAAACCAAATCACCAACTAAGCTGTTAACTAAACATTGTGAAACATAACTTCAAAGTTATGATTTGACAAATGCCTAGAACATTATGCAACTAACTTGTTTAGAGCCACATGCTTTATATACATACTTAGCTGGATGGGTGATCCCTTATGTGAGTTGAGGAACTTGTCTAGGGATCACATTTAGTTATATTCTAGTATTTTTCTACAGAGGTAGATCATTCTGTATCATAGCACATGATATACATAAGCAGAAAGAATGACTAAGGCCTCAAAATTCTGGGCCACATAGTATTCTAACTATAGTATATAGCTATGTAAAATATTTTCTTGTTGCTTGTCAGGGACAAAAGTAAATAAAAAATGTATAACAAGCAATATATACTTTCCAACTATTAATATTCTAACCTTCTATAGCTTTTTAAAAAGTAAGAACTCTTGTATATGAATGTAGTCTAATGCTTGGAAGGTGACTCAATTAGTAATACAAATGTACAGTGGTATTTTCCTACTGCCTAATGAGTAGAACAATAGTCTGTTTTTCTCAGTTATTTCTTTTCTTTTTCTTTTTGGTCTTTCAAAAGAGACAGGGCTTCTCCGTGTAGCTCTGGTAGTCCCAGAACTAGCTCTGCTGACCACGTTGCCCTTGAACTCAGTGATCTGTTTGCTTTCTGAGTGCTGGGACTGAAGGTGTGTGATGCCACTGCCACCACCCCCAACATCACTGCCACCACCCCCAACATCACTACCACCACATTTTCTTAGACTTTTGTCTAACACTAGTGAGCCAACAGCCATATTTTTCATTCTAGTTCTTTTCTATGTTGCTGTGCTTTTCAATAATAAATAAGTTTTTTTTTTTTTGGTTTTTTACGAGACAGGGTTTCTCTGTATTGTTTTGGAGGCTGTCGGTCCAGCCTGGCCTCAAACTCACAGAGATCCGCCTGCCTCTGCCTCCTGAGTGCTGGGATTAAAGGCGTGCGCCACCACTACCCGGCTAATAAATAAGTTTTTAATGATAGGCATCTTTCTTCATTATTTAAAAAGCCGGGCGTTGGTGGCGCACGCCTTTAATCCCAGCACTCGGGAGGCAGGGGCAGGCGGATCTCTGTGAGTTCGAGGCCAGCCTGGTCTACAAAGTGAGTTCCAGGACAGCCTCCAAAGCCACAGAGAAACCCTGTCTCGAAAAACCAAAAAAAAAAAAAAAATTCAATTGCTAGAGATGTAGCTTAGCTCGAAGCCCTGGGTTCTATTCCTAGCACCACATAAATAAGGAACACTGTACATGTCTGTAACCCTAGCACTGGATGTAGAGATAGAGGGTGGAGACAAGTAGATCCCTGGAGCTATCGACATCACCTAGCCATTCTAGGTGAAATGATGATATCCAGGATCAGAGAAAGACTTTATCTCAATGGAAGACTTTCTGTAGAAAAACTTTTCTAAAAACATAAGGTGTCAGATCCCAGTGGGACACACCTTTAACCCCAGCATTTCAGAAGCAAATTTTTGGAAGGGCTCCCTCAGTAGGCCTCTGCCAACAGGAGTTGAAGATTTCTGGTGAGTTTGAGGCCAACCAGGAGAAGGTAGTAAGAACAAGTCTTTCTTTGCTTCTTCAAGACAGGATTTTTCTGTGTCACAGTCATTGCTGTCCTGGAACTAAACTCACAAAGATTTGCCTGTCTTGGCCTCTGGAGGACTGGGGTTAAAGGAGTGGCTACCACACCTGGAGAACTACTTTGAAAAAATAAGACTTTGCCTGGCGTTGGGGGTGCACACCTTTAACCCCAGGACTTGGGAGGCAGAGGCAGGTGGATCTCTTCCGGGAGTTCCTAGACAGCCTGCAAAACAATACAGAGAAACCCCGTCTCAAAAAACAAAACAAAACAAAAAAGACTTTATTTACACAGCAAGGTCAACCTGGGATAGAAGGGACCTTGTCACAAAAACAAACAATAACAACCCCCAAACCCTTTACTTAGAAAACATTTGTTCTGATTTGAAAAACAAATACTTTGTTACATGTCTTACACATATTACACCATTTAATTCTCACAAGCATTCTTAATTTTAAAAGATTTATAAGGTTTGGGGAATTCTTTAAGGCCAGTCAAGACTCAGCCTACCTCTGACTGTCTCCCAAGCCTGTGTTTCCTCTATTATACTTAAAACAGAAGTAACCCAAAGACTTCTGGATGACATGCACAAAGTGCTCTTCATTGTGCAGTTTAAGTACTATAAATAATAAGTCCAGGTGGCTAAAAGCCAGGGCCTTGGGAATGACCAACAAATGAGTACCCTCCAATTCTCTGTTAGTTTAAGTACTTTAAAACTTCCCCTGCCCTAAACACAGAGCTGGAGGGTAAGAATTGCCACAGAACTCAGTTTCTTTGTGACACCCTGATCATTACAGATTGCCCAACTCTTATCCCCTGAAAAATCTTTGCCATAAAATATAGCAAAATTAAACACATAAAAACTAAAAGGCAACCCAACAAACTTCATTAATAAAGTTCTTTAAAAACAAGCTTGATAATGGTGTTATATTGTAGTAATACTATTTAGTGTTAGGCTAAAGTCTATGCAGAAGTATACGTCATTCAGCAATCAAACCTGACACTAGATTTAGCACACAGTCCAGGCGCCAGAGAACTGCTTCAGTCCTTGGCAGAATTAAACCTTTCTAATGAAAACTTTGTCTATGTAAAGGCAAAATCCACCTTCTTGTTATTCTCAGTCTTTTCCACTGAGAATAAATTTTCCTATTATATAATCAAATTTTACTCCCCACCCAACTGAGTATCATTAATTCCCATTTCCTATTAGAAATAACCTAATTGTAGAACCATAATAAAGAGATGGAGGGGCAGGGGTCGTCCAGTTTCTTAAAGAATTATTATTTTCAACTACAAGAATACGCATCCAGCACAACTGACAGCTAACGTCTCCAAAGAATGGAGCGTGTATGTTAGTTTTGATTTTCGCACTGAATACGTTTTACAACAATGAGGACAGAGGTGTAGAATTCTGCCCAAGGTCACACCTTGGCAAGTGGTGGAGCACAATTATATTCGTATCTGCCCACACAAAAAAGGTTCAGCTAAAGCCTGGTCGGTGATTGCGTAATGACTGGGTTTATACTGGATCTATGGAACCGAGAGTGACATTGACCGGGGAGGGGAAAGGGGAAGCGTCTAATTTTGGGAAGGGCTCCCTCGGCAGGCCTCTGCCCACAGGAGTTGAAGTACGACCTTCAGTGCAAACCCTCTGCTAAGTTCAGACAGCTATTCCGCTCTTTCTCACGTGCGTTATAAATCCACGGAGGGAAAAAGAGGAGGCAGCTAAGAGTTGCGTAGTGGCCCGAGACCCCTTCGTGAGAAGTTAAGGTTCAAGTCTGGAGGCGAGGTCGGGAGTACCGGTAGTGCTTAATAAAGCGAAAGCAACAGAAGTCAACAAGGGCACGGGGCACAGATGCTTGGCTTTGGGAAGAGACGCAGAATGAGACAAGGGGAAAGATTAGGACTGACGGATTCCCTGCAGGTGACGAGACTGGGACTCTGAGATTCCTGCAGTAACTGAACTGTCACTGGGCCTCTAATGTTCCAATTCTGGAGGGAGAGGGACCTCGGTGCGAGCCGTTCGTTCAAGAGTCATTACCTGCCGGGTGGTTGTATAGCGGCCTCAATTTCTCTGGCAGCAACAACTCCACTTTATCCATAAGTCGGTGGTAGGAGGCCCGCAGGCCTCGGGAGCCCGCAGCTGCCATCTCGGCGGCGTAGGGATCGACAGCGGCTAAGTGGGAGAGCCGCTGTGTCCTCGTTCCGGGCTGACAACGAAGGGCGGCTCCGTCACTTTCTCTCCACAGCGCTAGGGGTCCGCCTCTGCCCTAAGGCTCCCTTCCTCCGGCTCTGCGAGCCTCTGCTGAAGCACCTAGAGGCCGCTCCCGGCGAAAGCTGAGGGGGCGGAGCCTCAGCAAAAGTCCGCCCCAGCCCGCCTCCTGCGAGTGGGCGGGGAAGACGGAGGCGGAGTCATGGCAACAGGTGCTAAAGAGGTCGTCGTGCCCCGGTGCTTGCGTGAGGAGGGCGAGGCGCTTGCGCAAGCTGAGCAGCCCGTTCTCATTGGTCGGTTTAGTAGAGCGGAAGGGGCGGGACCAGGCGTACCTACTTCCGGCTCTAGAGGTCATGTTGGAGAGGGGAAACTAAAGCTGCGTTTCTGTACCGTCCCTCACTTAAGATTAAGAACGCTGTAGTTAGAATAAGCTTTCTGGGCTTTCCTCGTCCCAACTAAAGATGACGCCGCATACCTGTCGGGCTTCCTTTTATTTGCTTATTTTTTTTTGAGATGGCGTCTCACTGTGTAATCCAGGCTGGCCTGGATCTCGCCATCGTCCAGCCTCAGCCTCCCGAATGCTGGGATCACATGCATGAGTCATCACGCCCGGCTTCTTCCTTTGAACCGAGAGGCGTGAGCGAGACTACTGCTTCGGCCGCTTCTGTCATTCCTCTTTTATCCATAGACAATTAAGGAGTGGGCTAGAGCGACCTGAGAATCCACTCTCCCGGGGTGAGGGCATTCGTGACGCACACGGGCTTTGTCGCGGGTGGGCGTCATCTCGCGAGAAGGCCTGGGAGGGGCGTGGTCCAGGAAGGAGAGGGCGGAGCTCGCGGCCGCCTCCGCCTTCGCCTCCGCCTCCTGCGGGAGGGGGGTCGAGGGAGGGGACTGTTGCTGATCTCTAGATGTTCTGGGTAGTCTGAGGGGAGTATGAGGCGAGCTGTGGCCCGGGTGCCGCTGGGCTCCGGGGGAGAAGGCGCGGCCGTGGCCGCCGCCATCTAAGTCGCGGCGCCAGCGAGGCCCGGCGCGCGCATGGTGCTGGAGCCGCTTGGGTGTTGATCGGCCTGTCCCCTCCCTCTCTTCCCCTCCCCACCCCCCGCGGTGGTCTCCCCTTTCCACCCCAGCCCCCGGTAGAGCCATGTCTCGGAGTGGCTCCTGCCCGCACCTGTTGTGGGACGTGAGGAAAAGGTCCCTTGGGCTGGAAGACCCGTCCCGGCTGAGGAGCCGCTACCTGGGTGAGCGGGGGCCCCGGGGCGGCGGCGCTGAGGTCGCCGCCCAGAGGTGGGGGAGGGGGCGCCGCCGGGGCTGTTGGCGGTAGGACCGTGCCTCGGCCGGGGCGCCCCGCAGGCTGGGTGTCAGGTGGGACGTGGGCTCCTGCACCTCCTACAGCCAGGTCTGCTTTGCAAGCTGCCGGCCGCGGCTCAAGCTGGGCTTCCCTCGGGAGAGCCGGGCCGTGGCCAGTGGGCACTGGCCTGGGAAGGTGTCGGGGTCGCTTGTGGGCTGGGACTCCGGAGAAGACTCGGTGAACCTTAGGAGATGCCACGTTGAGAGCAAAAGTTGACGCTTTGGCTTGCCTCCGAAGCTGTCCCCCGCTCAGCCGAAGAGCTCAGGTGTTGGTTGTCCACCTTCTTCGGCTTCCGCAGGGGTTTGGATGTCGCCCGAGACGCTGTTGACCACCCTCAGGGACTTCACACCCTTAGCTGCCTGGCTGTAAACTGTTGGCGCTGAGCCCAAACCTCTCAGCGATCCCGAGCCCTCCCCACCCCCGCTCTTTCCCAGGTCCAGCCTGCTGTCAGTCCTGTAGACCTCTTTTAGGTGGTGTAGTGTTTCACGTTCCTGTTCCCACCCCTGGAAAACACACTTGGCATTTTCTGTTTCTTAGTTAAGCTTTCTAAAAACAATCTGCAGTACTGAAGGCGCAGTATTCCACTGTTTTCGTTTTGTACCATGAGTTTTGGGAGTGCTGGGTCACGCCTGAGTCAACTAAATAAAAAGTCCTGTTTCTTCAAAGTGCCCTTCCCCTCCCCCAACTCTGTCTTTTCTATGCCAGGTAAAGGGATTTGTTGCCATTTGCTTTCACTACAACAAAAATAGAAGGAAATGAAGTTCCATTACAGCCAATACTATTGGTTGTAATTACGTAGAAGTTTGCTTTTTTGAATATATTTACATTGTAAAAATTCAAATACAAAGAAAGCAGAAACCCCGAGATCACTCCCATTTCAATTTCATTCCACGGCCCTTAGAGATAATGGTTGTTTCTTGATTATTTCCTTCTTAAAAGTACATATGTATATAAATAATGGTGTATATATGTGCATACTCTGTGTGAGAAAACTGAATGCATGGTGCCATAAGCATTTTGCCCCATGCTTTTTCTTCGTATATCTTGAGATCCCTTCAGACTTAAAAGATCTGTGTAAAAGATTACATAGTACTTTATGAAGGACTTTAATGTTCTAAACCTTTTTTTTTTAATTGGGCTCACTATGTTGCGCAGGCTAGCCTTAATTTTTATCTCAGCCTCCTGATAGCTGGGAATACTGTGTGTGTGTGTGTGTGTGTGGTGTGTGTGTGTGTGTGTGTGTGCGTGTGTGTGTGTGTGGTGTGAGTGTGTGTGTGTGTGGTGTGTGTGTGAGTGTGTGTGTGTGAGTGTGTGTGAGTGTGTGGTGTGAGTGTGTGTGTGTGTGGTGTGTGGTGTGAGTGTGTGTGTGAGTGTGTGTGTGTGGTGTGTGTGTGTGGTGTGTGTGTGTGAGTGTGTGGTGTGTGTGTGTGGTGTGAGTGTGTGTGTGTGGTGTGAGTGTGTGTGTGTGGTGTGAGTGTGTGTGTGTGTGGTGTGCGTGTGTGTGTGTGTGTGTGTGTGTGCGCGTGTACCTGACCTTGTCCGTTTTTCTTTAAATATGTGTGCTCACCGTTACAGCAGTGTGCAAGCATCATTTACATATATTGCAGTAAGTACCTAGAGTGCTCGTTTTTCATATTTGTAAAATCCTTTTTAAAAATCCTTGACCTAAAAAAGGTGTACAAATTTATTTTAAAATGTAATTTTCTAGAAAGAACGGATTTTTACTTTAATAAAAAGCAAATGCTAACAATTTGTGTGAGTGAATTTATAATTTGGTCTTTTATTTCAATTTGTTGGGCAGTTCTAAGTATTTGGTTTTGTATGTTTAATATTTCTGATTGAGTTCAGCTGTATATAATAAAGTTAATTAAGCTGTGGTCAGTAGTGCTTTTCAGATGGCTCAGAAGGTTAAAGACACCTGCCACCAAGCTTTGGGTTTGATCCCTAGGACCTCATGTGTTGCAAAGAAAGAACTGACTTCTGAAAGTTGCCCCCCCCAAACAAATAAGTAAAACGTATTTAAAAAGTGTTAAAAAAAAAAGACATTCTTATTCTCTTCTTAGACTTCCAATGGAAATGGAATTTGTGTTAGGTGCAGCTAAATTGAAGAGTGAGACTCCACTGGTTTCTAGGAAGCCTGAGTCACAAATTCCCAAATGTATGAGTGCATATATAGGACACTCTTTATCTCAGACAGCCTCTATGTGTATACTTGGGGAAGAAGTAGACTTTTGAGACACTGTTGCTCTGTAGCCCAGACAGTCCTCAAACCCTTGATCCTCCTGCTTAGTCTCCTAAATTCTGGGATTACTGGTGTGTGCCACCATGTTTAGCTTTAAGTAATTTAAGCCTATCAATGATGCATGCTTTTTATTAGCACTTTAAAAGATTTTAGCTAGTTTAGTTGGAGAACAGCTGTAATCCCAGCACATCCAAGGTAAAGGAGGGAGGATTAGGTATTCAAGGCCATCCTTGAAATAAAAACTAGTCAATCTAATTAACACCCTTCCCTAATAAGTTTCTCTGTGTGTGCATGAGTGCATGTGAGGGGTGGTGGGTCATCTTTTTAAAGTGTTCTTAAAATGCCCCCACCTCTTTTTGAGACAGGAGGCATGCTGAGAGATTGAAGGATACTTAGTGAAAGTCTCTCAAAAAAGGAAGAAAAAGGACCTTTTAAATTCCAAGTCCAAGGACTTAGAAAGTATATTGATTTCTTAAAGATAGGCAGATCTAGACATTATAACTGTTTAGGGTATTGTAGTTTGCATTTTCTCCTAATAGGTTGCTATTACTTGTATTCCTAATAATGAATTACTGCTAAGTAACATTAAAACTGGAATGTTAACTTTTATAGAGGTTTGAGACTAAAGAAACAAAACACAAAGGTTCCACTAAGGAGGAGCTAAGCAAGGAGAGTAGACTCTGGCTACAGACTAATCTAAAGACAAAATTACCCACTTATAAATAAGGTACTCAAAGGACAACACTTCCTATACCACACAAAAAGGATTGCTATGTTCACTGCCTGATCTTAAGTATTTGAAGAAGGGGTTGGGTTGTAGCTCAGTTGATAGAGTGCTTGGGTAGCGTGCAGGAAGCCCTGGGTTTCATTCCTAGCATCACATACTGGGTGTAGAAGTGCCAGTTTGTAATCCTAGCACTCTGGAGGTGGAGGCAGGAGGATAAAGAGCTGAAGGCCAGCCTGAATTCATGAGGTCCATTCTGAAAAATAAAAAAAAACAAGTCATTTAAAAGCATTTTCTGGATATGGTGGCTTATGCCTCTAGCACTTTGGGAGATAGAGTCAGGAGGATTAAGGGTTCTAGGCCAGTTTGGTCTACAAGGAGACATTCTTTAAAAGCAAAAAGGATGGGATGGGGTGAGTAAGTGTGCTTGCTGTACAAGTAAGAGGACCAAATTTGAGTCCTAGCACCCCTGTAAAAAGCTGGGGTAGGAAGACAGGAAGATTACTGGGTTTGCTGGCAGTCATATCAACTTACTAAACAACTCCAGTTTCAGGAAGTGATCCTGTCTCAAAAGAATGAAAGGAGAGATAGCACTTTGTATCCTCTGGTGCACTCACACATACAGGTGAGCATACATGCACATACTATATACATAAGCCACATGTGGTAGTTTTCACATATAATCCCAGTATCTGGGAGACTGAGGTAGGATTGTCTACAAGTTCCAGGTCAGCCTGGCCTATACAGGGAGTTCCATGGTAGTCTGGAATGAGATGAGACCCCATCTAAAAGAAACAAAATTAAGCCAGTAAAATGGCTGGGGGAATAGAGGCACTTGCTGTCAAGCCTTGGCCTCCTGAGTTAAATTACAGGGGTTGACACAGTAGGAGAGAACTGGCTCCCAAAGTTGTCGTCTGACCTGCACACATGGAATATGACTCATCCCTTACCCCAGATAAAAGAAATGTGGGTTTTTTGGTTTGTGTTTTCTAAGATTTTTTTTCTAAATTGTTTACCTTTAATCCCAATCTGTGGGAGCCGGTGGCAGCATGGGACTGTGTTTAAGGTCAGTTTGACGTACATAGAGAAAATATAAAGAAAATCAAAACACAAAATTTCAGCCCAAAATTCTTTTTTAAACACTGGTGAGAATTTACAAAGAAGTTATAATAGTGAAATTTCACTTATACCTTGGCTTTATTTTTAATTAGTATTTGTAGATACAAGTCCTCAGTTCTTGGGTAAAAGAGTAAGATTGCTATGTGATATGTGTTTAGCTTTGGTCTTCATCGTAGTTGTACCATACCGCAGTGAGGTCCAACTTTCCTTGTTAGTATTTGCCTTAGTTACACTTCCTAATTTTAGCCTTAAAAACTTCTGCCAGGCGTTGGTGGCACATGCCTTTAATTCCCGCACTCAGGAAGCAGAGGCAGGTGGATCTCTGTGAGTTCGAGGCCAGCCTCCAAAACAATACAGAGAAACCCTGTCTCGAAAAACCAAAAAAAAATATTTTTTTCTTTTATGCCCACAAATATTTTGCCTCTATATGTGTGTGTGTGTGTGTGTGTGTGTGTGTGTGTGTGTGTGTGTGTGTGTGTGTGTGTGTGTCCACCACATTTGTGCCTGGTGCCTGTGGAGGTAGGAAGAGAGTGTATAGATAGAACTGGAGTTAAGGATAGTTGTGAATCACCATGTAGGTGCTGGAAATGAAATCTAAGTTTTCTGCAAGCAACAAATGCCTTTAATGCTGGAAATCTAGCTTTTTTGGAAGGAGGTGTTTAGAAGTATATTGCTTCAGTTTGTATTTCTCCAATGGCTAAGGCTACTAAATATTGTATTGTTTTCTTTTATATCCATGTACATTGGTTAAATGTGAAGAGCACCTTTTAAATATTTTATGTATACATTTTTACATATATGTATG